GTGAAGCAGTGAAGTCATCTGAACTTATTACAGCTCTGGTCACAACCCTTGCTAAAATACCGCGAAGAGAGGCGGTCCTGCAGCGCATTCAAGGTTTGGTCTCTCAAATTCGCCGGCAGCTGAATGCAAGTTTGGAAAGCCGACAACACTTCGCGAAGGATTCCATCCAGCGGATGCACCTCGATTTTTTGCGAGGGTGAATCGAGGCTCCCGTTTCGGCAGGTGCAACTCAGGCGGCAACCCTGGTTTAACTATGAGCCCGGCCCACGCGGTCTCGTTGGTGGTCTGATTCCAGAAAAAGAGGTTCCTGTGCTCGTCCCGGCAGAGGGACCAGGGAGCCGGCAGGACACTGCTGGCCAGAATGTCGCAAAGAAAGGTCACCAGGAATGGATCCTCCAGACAAGGTAGGAATAGTCAGGACATGGCGGACCATGCGCGACTTCACTGCTGCACATTCCCTCGAATGACCCATTACATCTAAACTCTTCAAAATACTTAAAGGTTGTATACACAATCGAGAGGTGGCCTGCCTCTCCACATCTAACGCAAGCTTCCTGTTAAAGGCCATTGGGCCAGTCATGCCAGTCCTGGCCCTCGACCAGGACGCCATTGGTCTGCAGATACTGAGACCTTTCTTCCAAGGTCCAGGTCGCCAGATTCTCGTCAACCGGAAGCGACTCTTTGGCCAGGTGCGACCACACGCCCTGGTACTCCGCCATTTGGGCGATTCAATGCGATTCAACAGAAAACTTGAGTCTTCCGAAGCTGTTCCTGGTTTGTTGCGGTTGCGACATCCATGCTGGTACTTCTGCTTGACTAAACTTCGGTGCTTCTTTAACAGCACTAGGCAGTGATGGTGAAGAGAAGGGTGTAGACGATGAAACCCTGAGCAGATGCCTCGAGCCAGGATGGGTGGAAGGCGACAGCGCTGGCCGTAGATACCCTGAAAGCCAAACCGCCGGCCCTATTATGAGCCCCATTTTAGCCCGAAAGGCCACGAAAAGAAACCTAGCAAACCCCGTGCTCGAAGCAGGCTGAGGCCGGGTCAGCGTCCGTCCGCGGGAGAGCAAGGAGTCTGGCCATGTGCTTCCTGAGTGAAGCTCACGCAAAAACCTACTAGCCCTACACCAGCCTGCAATATGTGCACACATTTGCGTGACGGTGCTGCATAGTCACTGAAGGCTTGAGCTAGGCCGCAGACACCGGTGCTTCCAAGGGCTTAGTTTGGCCTGATCAACCATCTCGAGACGGGCGCAACTTCATGACGGATCAAACGTTTTTCATCTCCTCAGGCTGTGGCTTCTCAGATGTTCCTCGATGAGCGAAGCTCTCCTTGAGAGCTCGCGCCTTGACAGAATGAACTCTTCGCTATGCTCACAGCAGCGCTCTTCTCTTTTCCTCAAAAGGCACGGGGTCTCGGGTGAGGCGGTCGCTCTTTGAACTCCGCAAAGAGACGGGCCGAAGATGCTCCTCGGATAAGTATAGCAGTAGTATAGCAGTGATTACCAGTGCACTGTATGAAGCTGTCAGCGAAGTTTAAGCCTGCACACAGCTCGAGCAAGCGTCCTGGCCCAGCCTCTTTCGTCGTTGCTGGAGTCTCCTGTGAGCAATGGCACACAAAGCGGCCTGTTCAACTCAATAATGGTGTGGACACAAGTCAGCCATATTCAGCGTCCTGCTTCTGCCAGTTCGCAGCCTGAACAACCATAAAAGCTCTTCGGCAGGAAAGCGACATAAAAGCTTTCTCACTAGCTGCCTTCCGACGCAAAGTTTTGGCGCGTTTCAGAGCTCTCCGAGCCTCGAACGACATCAATGTTCCGATGGAGGCTCACCGGCTTCTCTGATCTGAGATCATCGCCCGAACACGTGGCTCTTTGCACAGGAGTGAAGCTTCAGCCACCATTGTCCAGAGACCTTGCAGACAAGGTGCCCAAGCAGGGATTCCGGGATGGATGCAAAATAAGGTTAAGTTCAACTCAGCAAAGGCCGTCACTAGCACGGTTGCGGAGGGCCGCGGCCCGTCCACCTTGATGGCAACCAAGCGGGCAAAGTTTGTGACGGTCCTCTGGAGCGCTGCCTTCCCACGTCGTGAAGGCGTCATCGGTGCCTCAGTACTAGAAAACATGCTCTTCGTCGAACAGCAAGCGGCGTACAACAAACATCCCGAGATTAACGCCATCAGAACAGCCTTCTGCAGTGGCCGCCGTGGCCTTACCCAGGCTCCTGCACTGGCAGCAGCCAATAGAAATGTAGCAGAATCTAAACTCTGACACAACTGGTCACGCAACAGAATGGGCAGCAGCAGCATTTCATTAGGAAGAGGTAGCCGCAACAACCAGATGTTGGCACAGGCTAGGCAGCAGCCAGGAGAGGCCCAGCGCCTCTTGAGCAGGGCGCGCGCAGCTTTGACGCGAAGGCCTTGGCAAAGTAGTGCCACTGCATACTCGCAGCTCGTCGCCTGGCAATGTGGCTTGGAGCTGTAATCCCTTGGCGCCCATCTGGGCAATGCCTGCACAAAAACAAACGAATGAGACATGCCAGCCACTCATCCGGGGAGAGACCCCATTCATCTTCCATTCGCCTTTCGAGGCGGTGCAAGCATCCCTCTCGCCTTGAACCGACAGCTGTGGCTTAGGGCCGCGACCTGAGGAGTTCAAGCGAAGCCTCGACCTCTCCGGCACGTCGAAAGCCTCTTCGAGGCAAAAGCGTCCCTGAACCCGACATCACCCAGCATTGAGAGATTCTGTGGGCTCTCATTACCATTCTCCACTGTTACGATTTTCGGCCTTAGGGTTAGTCGGAAGGTTCTTGGGTTTTTAGGCTTTTGGGGTGTTAAGGTTTCGGCTTTAGGGTTAAGGGTGTCAGGGCTTCGGGGTTAGGAGGGGGGGACGGGGAGAGGGGGGTAGCACTGGCTTAGTGGTGACCTCACCTCCGCAAAATGTGTATCAGAGACATCATCAGCGTCGTGACAGCGCAGGCCTCGAAGAAGCCTGAGCATTTTTGAGAGGGGGCCCTTTTGGGGGCGGGGGGGGGGGTCCATTTGACACGGTACCGAAAAGCGGAACCAAAATGAAAAGAACCGGTACCGCACCCCTATAATGGCAAAGACTACAATGCACCAGACACCGGGTGCACTGCCAGGTAACGTGTTGGCCGTGCGTATGTTGGGTTGGCAGCCAGCTTTCAGCATGTCATCAAGCGCCTGAGAGAACCACTCTGCCAAAATTCGAATTCCCAAAGAATCCGAGAAGCATGGCAATGTACAAAGCGTAGAGAGCCTGCTGAGCTTCGTGGACGCGACCTGCTTCGCACAGGCCCTTCAGCAGCGTGGTGTGAGCCACCACCTGAGCTCTCCAGGGCGCTTCCGCAGAGCTTCGGCGAATGTCGAATCCGAGATCACTCAACAACACTCTCTTTCTCTTCGTACTACTACTTGCATTACAAGGAACCTGCTGCAGTGGTATTTCTACAATACTTCTGGACATGTTTCCACAAAACCCTTCCGCATCCTGCGTGGCGACAGCCCAGTTCAGTTTCAAGTTGGCTCCCACAACTGCTTCCGCACAAAACCGACTTTGAGTATGTAAGCGTATTATGCCGGCATACGCCGGCGTAGACTGCAAACAGTGTAAGACCATAGCAGCACATCACGAGGAGCCCGATGTGCACGCGCGTAGAACCGAGGCGAGAGCGCCATTCGGAACACCGCCCAGGTGCACATCCCCCTACTGCAGGGTGCCCGAAAGCCCAAACCCTGAAATCCCAAAAAACCGAGTCCTGACCTGCGTCTTTCTGAACCCCTTGACCCTGAACCCAAGACCGAACCCAACTCCGCGACTGGGGGGGGGGGGCCTCCGGGTCCACTGGACAAGGCAAACCAACCAGTCTGCCATGGAGCTTCCCGCACTTCCTGCACGCCAACCCCCGCAAAAGCCCTCCGCAGCGACCGCCATAGGGCAAGGCCCCTGACACAGAAAGGCCCTGCCAAGCAGCCTGCAGCGCAGGACTTGGCGCAGCAGCGGGTGCCAGGGGCACAAGTGCATGCGGCGTAGTCGCAGGCGCAACCACGGGCCGCAACCACACGTGCAACAAGTTTAGGGGTGACAGGGCTATCGGGTTCAGGTTTCGTTCGGGTGTATGGAGCAACAGGCGCAGCCACAGGCGCAACAAGGTGTTCTCGTGGCGGGGCCTGGCCCCCAGCCAGCCGAACAAGGGTGGCAGGGTTCCACCGCTGGGGTCACAACAATCATACTTGGCATGCTTGACGCGCACGAGACCTAGACAAGAAAGAGCACCTGCGATGCCAACACACTCCTACTTGAGCTCTTTTGGATGCCACCCTTAAACAAACAAAAAGAACACTTGCCTTCGCAAGAAAACCCACCGACCGAAGGTTAGCTGGGCCAACTGTATGGCTGAGCCCCCGGCGCCAGGGTCCACCCCACACTTGGTAGACTCAGCTAGCCAAGTCCTTGCCTGCAAGAGGGCATGGGAACAAAATCGCTGCACTGTGCTTCTTCTAGTTCCCCTGCATGAGCTTTGATTGCCATCACTGCCTGGGACAGATCTCCGACCCGCACAGAAGCGTTCACCAGCGCGCCGAACGTCTGGGCCTGGGAATGGACAAAGCGAATTATCCAAGATCTTCCAGCGCCAGTTTGTCCGAACTTCCGCGTTTAAAAACTTGCGCGAAACAACTTCTCGAATCTGAGGCTGCGTCGCTCGGCTGCAGGCCTTCGTCCAATATGTCTTGGAAGGCCTTTCGGGCCTACCAGGCTCTCACAGAATGGAAGAGGAAACGGAGCAAATGCAACAGGTGTTCAGCAGCCGCTAGAACAAGTTCCCTAGCAGCCCAAGAACTTTTCTCGCTGCTTCTCTGAGCGATTCTTCTCGCAGCAAAGCTTGCTGACAGTACCTCAGCCATCACAAGAGGCCACGGCTCGCCATAAACATCTGACATTCCTCCACCAAGTTGCATTCCACCGTCCGCCTTTGCAAGGTCAAGCTCCTGGCGGACGATGTGTGCAAGCAGAACATCGTCTATAAGGGCGAAGGGTTGTGGCACATTGCGGCTGTTCCACTTACTAGGCTTGGGCTCCGGCCTCCCAGCCCACAGCTTGAAGCATGGCGAGAGCCTCTGCCTCTTTGGGCTGAGCGGCAGCCTCACGAGGGAGGAGGAGAGCATTCAAAGACTCAACAGTATACATGAGATGCACGAGGGATAGGGAGGGGAGTGCATGTTCGGCGGCTTTCAGAACAAACGGAATCAGCGCTGCACAGGGTCCGTTGACCGCAGCGCCTGGGCGACGGGGCCGAGCGGCAACTTCATGTCCCGCAAGAGAGGCCCTTGGCTTGGCCACATGGGCTTTTGAACTCTTTTGAACTGTCACATCAGAATCATCAGAGCAGCAACAGAAACATCAGAAACCTGAGAGCCCGGCCGCAACCCCGAAGCCCAGCAGCAACTTCGTTCCGACCTGGCAGTTCTCAAGAAATTGGCCACCCCGCTTTTTTTTCTTGACGCGATGACCTGGCCTTCCGCAACCTTGACCAAAGAAATCTGTCGCTTGGTCTGAGGGTTTCTCCATGGCCGCCCTCGGTGAACGCAGCTTCTGTTATCGCAAACCACGAGGTCACCCTCCGACCACGAGTGGCGATAGATGAACCTGTACTTGGTGGACGCACACACACACACACATTGCAATCCCACAACGGCACAAGAAGAGAAAAGGTGCCAAGACAAACCGAGCCACTGCTCCTGCGCCACGTGCTTGTTGATCTTCCTGCGGTCTCTCTCCCTTTTTGGAGCCACGGGGCAGGTAGAACACTACTTATTACCAATCACTGCAGCACTCACATCCACTCGCAATCTCGCATGAGCGAGTCCAGGTCCCTCTCCTGATCAACGCGCGCCCGGACTGCAGAGGCATGCCCTCGATGTGACTGCAGTGCCGACCAGCGAAGAGGGACCTGGAGCCGGAGATGGCAGAGACATTGCGGCACATCAGGGTGCATCTGGCAGCTGGACCGTTTCAGCAGCCTCCCGGCGGGTGTCTCTCGCACGAGGAAATGGCGTGCAGGCGGAAGGCGCCGAAGGAATCGAGCTGAGCATCCGGTCAGGCCCAGGCTATACCGGAAGTCATGGACACCTCACGGGCAGAGGCGCAAACGAGGCCTACAGGCAGCGTGTGGCAGCATCACAGGCCTCACAAGAGGAGCAGCCCGCAGTTATGACTGCACTGGACCCTTGCCTCTGAAACACGTCACTCTTTGACTCTTTGCAAGACTGCAGCCTGGCTACAAATAAGGCGTGAAAGCTCGGCTTGCTCCGCCGCATCCAATGCACCGAAAGCCGCACGAGAAGAAGCAAACTCTGTCTCTCCACCGCTTCCTGCCGCAGCTGGAAAGAGGCCATCTTTCTCTTCGATTCTTTTAAACTTGCTTTGTCTGGCTTCTGACTTCCTAAACCTTCCCAACCTGGACTGATCAACATTAACGAGGATCCTGGTGGAACCACCACGTTGCCCAGCATGAAGGAAGCCAAAGCTGGCGTCACCTTCACCACAAATGCCCGTGAAATAGGGTCGGAGGGGACCTAAAAATCAAACCCGCACTGCTCATCAAGCTCAGGGCACCTAAACAAGGCCCCACGATTTAGATCAACCCCCCACATCTTGAAAACATCATGAAAAAAAACGTTGCGATCGTGGCCTTGAAGGAAGAGTCGATATGCCAAAGCCCATTGCCAGCCCGCAGTTTCATGAGGCCGCTGTCCGAATGCAGGATGCAGCCTGCCAAGTCCCCCAGCTGAGCTGAAAGACGACGTTACCAGTGGATTGCCCCACTTCGACGACAGGCCTGTTTCGAGGTTGAAGTTTGCAATCCGACCTAAGCTAGCCACATCAACAGGGCCAGTGCTTGACAAGGACTGATGGCTGTTCAGAACTTCGTTGCTTGATGAGGTGCCAATGAGACGCGACGAGCTGGCTCCCTGTGTGCGACCCCCAGCTGGGCCTTCACTGGCCTCGAGCTCGGCACCTGGGAACTGACCTGCGAAGGCTCCTCGGACTTGGATCCAGACGAACTCTTTCAGCTTAAGCCAGCTTAAGCGTGCACGTTGAGAGGCAAGTCTCTTGCGAAGTTGATGAGCTCGTCATCGGTCAAGCACGCGGACTTGAAGACCAGAACAGAATGCCTGCAAGATGTCGGCTCTTCAGCCGGCAAGCACAAGCAACACTCGCTGTCGCCACGAGAACAGCATGAGTCTGGCAATCATTGCTTCCAAGGCTCTTCTCAAAAAGATCTCGCAACAAAGCCATGGCCGAATCCGGATCGGTCCGCAGCTGCAGGCCTTCAACCTTCTCAGAAAGGGTTGAGAGCAGCAAGCAACGGGCGACCCTTCCATGACTTGAAGTCCGTTTGGGCCTTCACTGCGAAGGCGAATGAAGTCAGAGGAGTGACGGTGACGGGCGCATCCTGATGTGGCGGTTACTTCTTCACCCGCAAGTTCGAGTGCTGGGGGTCAAGGGTTATCAATGAGATGACGGAACGCGGCAGGCTTTCACTGAGAGTACATGAGTCTGCGTCTTGAGACAACGATGACATGCAGAAGTGAGTCTGTGCTTCTGCCACCGCGTGAATTCAGCCGACATGGTCTCGCTGTTCTGGAAAAGCCTGGCAAGAAAAACAAGGCTGGTGCCAGAACTTACCACAATGCGTTATCCTGGTCACGGCGATTGTTTCCACAAGAAAGAACGGCCTATCGGCCGAAGCATCTTCTTTGGTCGCAAAAAACTCCTGCCTGCGGAGCAGCACCTGCCGGCGCTGGGCCGACAGGGCCTAGACTGGCGGCCGTTGGAGTTGAGGTAGGCCGAGGAGACCAGCACAAAGTATCCACCGGACCAACTCTGAGCGACTCGCGGCCTTCCGACTCTTCCGACTCTTCCGACTCTTCCGATCATACCCGACTTCACTGGCACAGCTGGCAGCGGGATGACCGGCGGCCGGAAGCTGCGGAAGCTCGTGCGAGGCTGCTGAGGGGCAGCCACGCGCATGGCAGAAAGATGCAGAAGGAGAGAGGGGACAGCTGCTGTTGTGAGGGGCAAGGCTTCTGTGGTGGCGATGGCCAGCTGCCGGGATGTTTTCTTTTCGGTTTTGCTGCTGGAACGCTTAGCGAACCCCCAACTAATTCAAAGGTGCTGCGTTGACTGCGGCAGTTGGTCACGAGCACGCGCCCCCTCGACATATACAGAAGCACCACTAACGCGGCGCCTGCTTCATCTTTTTGAATCGCGCAGCTCGGGCTATCACCTGGGCACAGTGATTGCAATGACACACCAGGAAAAAGCGTCATAGACTCAGATCTTCCTGTAGGCAGGCAAGCCTGGTTGAGGCGGACCAGGCGATCGCGCTGCCACTTTGCCTCGGCATCAAGTATTTTCCGCTCTCCTCCGCTGCTGAGGACAACTGTGGGCGTGGCCATCTTGGGAGCAACTGTGACGGCGGTGGCGGCCTTGAGCATCAGCGTTGGGAGTACAGAATGCACAAAGTGACAGACACATGCAGACACGGCCTCAACCGCAGCATTCTTCTTTCGCTTCATGGCTGGCACGCTTCGAAAGAATGCTCCGGCAACCAAATTCTGCACACTGCTCGATCTCGAGAAGGGTCGCTCATCGGTGAGTAATTCAGATGTTGCACTTTGTGTGCACGCGTGGGGTAGGCACAGTCTCGGCTCAGTAGCTGAGCACGCACTCGGAGCCAAGCAACGAGAGCTGGTGCGTTTTGCTGAGCATGCAGGTTCGCGTTGCACATGGGGCAGTAACAGAACACACAGAGTGGCCTGCAGCGGCGTACAACAGCAAATCTTGAAATGAAAAAGGACTGGCACAGACTGCACGCTTCACGGGCCACGCACAGAGAGACAGAGTCAGGGAGAGAGGCGCACAGAGACGATGGACTTATGTTGAAGCTCAAGGCTTTGTCCAAGAATCCCCTGATAGCATCCTTGACGGCCTTTTCTCAGCAGGGAAACCATGTCTGCCTCCACTCGGGTGCACAGCGCCATCTGAAGCTCCATCCTGACATATGTGTGGACAGACGAGTCTGGCTTGACTGCATACGCCAGACTCCAGCATCAAGCCTGTCGACCGCAGCACAGGAGTCAGCAACTAGACAAAGGGCCGTCGCCTTGGTGGTCATGCGTCGGCGTGGACAACACACGCTACTACATCACGCTACAATATCACTACACACCGTAAGGATCTCTGACAGACCAAGGGACGTCTGGACGAAGGCCTCAGCACAGCAAATGTCAACACTGGTTTCTGCGAAAGACACCCTAAGCGATTGTCTTGAGTGTGTGGCGAACAGCATGCATCTCATGGAAAAGTGCAAGCACCATTGCTGGCTGCTGGCAAGCCTGGCTGAGTGCAGGAGTCACGAGGCGCAGTGAGCTGCAACGAGTCCGCGCGCAGAACGTCACAAAAGCACAGCCCAAACATGCTCCTCCATGACTGAATTGTAGGCGACAGCTCCTGTTTGCATCCTGCGCGAGAGGGAAGCCAAGCGACAACAACAAAGCAGAGACACGTCACTCTGGATTTTGCCAAACCCGTTCCATGGAGGGCCCGATGGCTCGAGTAGGAGGAGTCCCTTCTGCCACTGCCGCGCTGCCCCGCAAGCGCTGCAGCAGTTGTTGCACGTCAGCCTGCAGAAATGAAGGGTTGGAACTGGGCCTTCCCGCGGTGGAAAACGTTTACACGAAAACAAAGTTGACATCGCAAGGCCTGTCTGGAACAAGGCCACGCTGTCGAAGCATGTCGAAGGCAGCAAAGGCACTGGTCCAGTCCGATCCCGCAACAGCCTCAATTTCCAGGTTGGTGCCGAATGGTGCCGAATTGTACCGAAGAACTCTAGGTCACCCCTGCTAGGCTCATGAAATGTCATGAAGCTGCCTGCACTGCGCACGCAAACAGACAGGCACAAAGGATAATTACCCACCGCCTGCTTGCACAACAGTCCCCCGGTTGCGAGATGTTCTGAGATTCAGTCACTAGACATGCGCCTGACTTGCGGTTGTGATGGTTTCTTCGGCTTTCGCTGGAAACACCAGCCGGACTCTCTACGACTCTACGAATCTCTCCGGCAGAGCGGCCAAGTAGGCGTTGAAAGAGATGAGGTCTGGCTGCAGGCCTCCTGCTAGCATTTCGTGAAGAAGAGCCGATGCCTTGGGCACCTGACCAACAGGGTATCCGGAAGCGGTAGAAGCAGCTTTCCAAGAGCCATCCTGAAATCGAAGTTCATGGAAAAAACTGCCTCCATCGCCCGCCCGCAAGCTGTGATGAGGACGTTGCGCGCACCCTCACTCGAGGCCAGCCTGGGCTCACACGCCGAGGTATAGACGAGACAGGCGCAGGCTGCAGTGCTATAATTGCCACAGTACCAGCTACCAGCAAATGTTTTCACAAAGTGCAAGACGCGAAGCACTGGTCTGGTGCCGAGGAGGCTCACCGCTTCTGTCCATCGGTGGCCTGTGCTCATGGCGTTAATCACAGCTCCAGCCAGGACTCCATCGACCTCCCCACCATGGAGGTCGAAGTACACCAAGACGTGCAGGGCTTGCAACCAGCGCTTGGCACAGCACGCAGCAGCTGCCGCAGAAGCCTCTTTGGAGAGGAGGCGCCTTGCAGCCATGGCTGCGAGCAGCGCGGTGCCTCTCCTCCAATCTCCGGAGTCTCGGGGTTGAGAGTGGGCTTCCTGGAGGTTCCACAGAACCTGGCCAGCACTGGCGGTGATAAGTCCTGCAAGAGGGCACAGGGGACAGCATGGTATTTTTAACGGAAGAAGGCCCAGCAAAAAGGAGACCCGAGAGCAACGCACATGCGCTCTCTCACAGATCGAAGGTCCTGTGAAGGTGACATCCGTCAACTCCAGGAGCTGCTCCCTCATGGCCTCCAACGTCCGCAGCGCCGGACCCCAGCTTCGGCTCCTGGCAGGAAGGAGTCGAAGAACCATTCAACATACCCCAAAACCGATACCCCTTAACTCTAAGGGGCATGCCCGCGGAGTATGTTGAAGATTTCTTGGAATGAAAGGCCTCTCAGTCCATAGTTGAGTGAAGTTGAGCCCCCCTAGATCCTCGGGGTCTGGATCCTCAGCAGGGCTTGTCTTTGAAACAAAAACAATAGGTTTGGCGATTGTTTAGCCATTTTTGTCTTTTCAGAAAAAGGTTCGAACGTCCTGGGAAAGGGATTTTGCTCTGTAAAAGCTCCTGCTATCGGCCGCTCCCTCCTCATATAAGAGCAGAGGCATGATTTAGCTCGAACTCTGGTCAAGTGAATAGCCACCAGTTGGCCAACGCATGTCTATCTAGTTCAACTTGTCTTCTTGCTGTCCTCCTTTGTGTTCGAACGTGTCTTTGAATCCTTCCATGACGACGACAAGTGGTAAAAGCAGCACAAGTCAAAGCCAAACAAATGCTGCTTACGTTCTGCTGGAAGGCCATGTTTGGTACTCCAGATCTAAGAGACTTTCCCCGAGGTGGACGGTTGGACATCCCCCAAAGTCCTCCCGCAGGCATTGATGGCTGCATTGACCAGCACCGAGTCGGAGGGAGCGCATGCGAGGAGCAAAGCCTCCTCCCAAACACCTGCCTCGGCACACAGCCCGGCGGCGGCACTGCGCACGAAGATGTTTGCCCGGAGCCCTCGCCACGGAACGGCATCTTCAAACACTCCCTATGTACTCTGTTACATACAAAGATGTTTTTCGAATTGACGTTGAGTGAAACCTCAGGGCACATTGCACGTCGTGTTGTCTTTCTGGCCTTGGCTTCGCAGGCTCCACGCACGCTGCAGCGCACAGGGCCACCGCGATTCCCGGCTACGGGACCAGGGATCAGAGCGCAGCTTCAGGGCACTGAGCGCCTGATCTCTGCTCAGCCGCATGAAGCAAAGGATGCTCTACGAGCAGGGCTCCATTCTAAGAGATCTCTAAGAAATACATTTGGCTGATCAAATTCGGGGAAGCTCCAGAACCTGTCCGTTGCAGCCTTGGAGTTTTACTTGTAGCAGCTATCAGGCTAAGTCAAAGAAGATGCTGATATTTAGCCACAAGCAGCCGAGGCGTGGCTTCTGACATTCAGCCGGATCTGCCACTTTGCTGCAGCTGCGAGGAGGTCGGCCGCGGCAGCCCAAAGAAGCTTGCGGCCTCTGAGCTCTCGGGGGCAACAGTTTGTGAATCACGTGGTTTAGGTAATCTTGTAGAATGCTTCCTACGTGATCTTACGCTCTTACAAAAGCTTACATGCTTCTGCTCGCTGTATCTGGCTGCATTGCATAGCTTAATTACAGGAGCTTACTGTCCTGGTTCACGTCTTCCTGGAGCTTGAGCTCCATCTAGCGGAGCTTGCTTGACAGAGGCTTGCTAACTACCGAGTCACCCAAGGATGTCACCACAGCATTGAACGCCACCGTCTCGCCAGTGCGCAGCTCCTGTTGATAGGGATTTGGTACACGGTACCCGGTACACGTGTTCAGCTGTTGCGAGACTACCGCGTCGTCCATGGCGGCCGCAATGGTCCCAACAGACAGACCTCCTCCTCCTACTATCCCACCATCATTTCTCTGCACTTCACATCTGCACCACGAGCGCACTATAGCGCACTATCATCAACAACGCGAGACCCCCAGCCCCACCCCAGTCCTGCAGATCTTTCAGCAAGGCTAGCGCAGGCTGCCAGGACACCGCACGAGAGTAGGCCCCAATCGACGCTGCAAGTGCCGGGAGCGTGGGCTGCCTCAGTGAAGTGAGAAGTGGCGAAGATCCAGAGTTGTCTGGGCTCCCAGCCTGGCCTGAGCACTGCAGTCTGCCAGCTGCCTTCGTGTCCACGTGCGCCTTGTGGCGAGCCAGCGACGAGCCGGAGCATACTCAAGCCCTCGCTGATCAGATCCCTTGCATTTCCCTTGCAAACCACAGCGAACCGCCTGCCTCGGTTGTAGCATACCACATCCAGATTGACTAGGAAGGTTAAGGTGCCGGGTGTAGGAGGTTTGGGGTGTAGGTTCAGGGGTGTGGGGCGTGGAAGGAGGGTGCAGCAGGATCAGCTGGGTTTACGTCAGCTGCATACTTCAATGGAAGCGATTGGAAGCAGTGGATGCCTGCCAATTGGCTCAAGCTTCTGCCATGCATCCGCACAAGCTGCCATGGCAAATCGGCCTTTGCTCTGTTGCCGCTACCGCTCTCCTTTCGTTCTCGCTCTCGCTTTCTTCCATTTTGGTTCCTGCACTGTGTCATGTGCATCCTTGCCGCCTTTGCTTTACGATCTACTACACATGCTGCTGCATGAGGCTACCCCGAGCCTACTCGCTATGATTTCTTTTCAGCTTCCGATTTCCTACCTTCACCATACCTTCAACTCATCAACGGTTTCAGATTCTTTGGATCTGTTCATCTGCATGGCTGCGGGTCGGCTACGGCTACAGTCTACAACAACATGTGGCATGATGTGGCCATGCGGCCATGCCCCCTTGTCAGCTTCTTTGTCGCTGTCGCCTAGAACTGCTAAATCCTGTCCACGGCTCATCCGCGCAACAGCACCCCCCTCCGCGTACTTCTACGACAAGCAATCTCTGTCCTGCTTCAATGCCAGTGCATGACATGATCTCCGGACGTTTTGATGTGCCTCGCACTGTTCACAGCTGTGCTGTCAGCATCTGCAGATTTGCAAGCTGGCAGCCAACCTGGGTTAGGCCATCCGAAAAGGCAGCGAAAAGGAAACATCATCAGATACCAGTGCAGGTTCTTGAATCAGCACTCAGCGATGCGCGCAAAATCGCCGCGAAATGCACGATCTAATCCTGCAGGATAGGTTGTATTGCTTGCAAGCGTCCTCTGCAACGCTGTCTGTGGCATCGTCTCCCTGCTACATCAAGCCTCCGCGCGACGGAGCCAGCACATCGGGTTTTTCTTTGTCGCCGCCACATCCTGTTGAAAGCTGAAAAGCTCCTGGCCAGGATGTCTGGTTGTCCCTTGGCACTGGAGTCACTGGATAGAACACAGATGAGGGCTCCTTGATCATGCGGATGTTGTAAAGCAGCGCTGTCCATCCTTAGCTCGAACATTTGATGCATGTTTTGTTTTGCAACCCACTCTCGCGGATACAGCTTCGGCACGCCTTCAATGAAGGTCGAGGCAACAAGTCATTGCATAAGTTTAGCAAGCACCGCTGCCTGCAGCTAAGCAACTCTCGCAGCCGATGCCCCAGGCAATGACAGAAACGTCTTCCGGCAAGCCCATGGGCAACAGCCTTGCGCAATGTCAATAAGGACTCTTACATTCTCACAGTCCGCTGTGGAGTCCGCACATTGTTCCAAGACTGTCTGACCCGCGCAGAGACTGCAAGCCAAGCAGCATTTCCGGTCTGAAGACACCACTATTGCCCACCTTGCAGCATACGTTGGCGTAGGTTAGTGCAAGTATCTGGGCACAAGAGCTACTTACAACAGGTGCCTCGCGTACCCTCAGACGACCTCACACCGTCAGCCCTCCAGGCTCAGACGGATCCACCCATGCTTTCAGAAAAGAGACGAAAAGAGCCATGCTCTCAGCAAAGAGAGATCACGCAAGCCGTGATCGGAGAAGGTGCGCATTGCGTGCATGAATATCCGAGAGGGTCATGGAACAGCTAGGACGATTCCTGGGCACATGAGAACTGGTGAGCGAGGCTCATGCACGTGATAAACCCAAATGCTGCTGGTCGCCAGCCCTTAAAGAAGACTTTGGTCGACGCTCGTCATTGGTTCCTCTCTTGCTGCTACACCTCGCAAGTCCCACCTCAATCCACTTCTTCAGAATGGGGTGGAAACCTTGGCGTCACATGAACTGCAAGATGCTCTTCGTCAGTTTTTGCAGCTGCAAACCTCAAGCCCTGCACCGAAGATCTCCATGGAGGGTTCGGTGTAAGGGTTGTAGGCTGGCTTGAAGCCTCCAGGTCACCGCTCTTTCGCAAGCTCAGCGCGTCTCAGCGCCTCTTAGCCCGTCCCAGTGCGTCTCAGCCCCCAGCGCAGCTTCGAGATGCCAATGCGGCTGAAGAAGTCGCGCAAGACCCCGATGAGCTGCGGCAAGCCGATGTTACCTCTCGACAAGTCTCGATCATGGAAGTTAAGGGCAAAGGAAGGGCATGTGGCATGGCAGATACCAAAGACTTATAAAGAACGCACATCGAGAGCCCAGCGGTCCGCAATGAAACCCTCGATTTGATGGAACTCGGCCAAGTGAGTGGCCTCAAGCTCAAAGCCCCATACAAGGATGGCCACTCTTGGGCTGGTCTGCTGGTGAAATGTGGCAGCATACTAAGGCTGCTGCATCGAGCGTCTCGTTTCTGAAGACGCGATCAATGGAAAAATACTTCTTGGGTCGGAAGACTCCTGTTTTCCGATACTCCTGCCGCTCAGATCTGCTCAGCGCACAGAAACAGCAAGACAACAGCAAGAACCCCTTACGTGGCCACAAGCCGCGATTGCTGCGTACTGACACTCATAGAACGTGATAGCATGTTCTTGATCCTACCCTGACAAAAAACTTTCACCACTGAGCGACATGGCTTGGAGATTCACAGACAGGGCCTCACCCAACTTGTACAGCGTCCTGGCCTGAGCCACTCAGATCTAAGCCAATCTGGGCCTTCTGGATCTTCCTCTGGATTGACTGGGAGAGGCACTAATGCACTAATGGGCACTACCGTGACTTTAGAGGGGCTCACTGAGTCACTGGTGGACTCAAGGAGGCGCTGCTCAGGCCAGAGCGGACACCGCTGTTGTGTGAGTTCTGAGCAGCGTCTTTTTGGCCTCATCCTGTGGGCGACGTACTGCATGGTGCTGGTTACGGCTCTCACAGATTCTTGTTTTTTACCATCCCGGTCCTCGCTCCAATCGTAGCGCCACCCAATAGATCCCTGACCGCCTTTCCTTGTCAGGAGCACTGAGAGCAGCAGAAGCCTTCTTCAACATGTTCAACACTTCACACCATGAAGTGGGCTGGTCGTTGAGCGTGCCGCTCGTGCATCTCCTTGACTTTGGCAAGGTAGTCCTCTGGGATGTCCTGTGCCCTGCTAGGCTCCTGCTCTGCATGCCACATGACACGCTCCACATGTTGTCCCCAAACCCGGAACCGTCCCACATCGGCCTCCATGAAAAAAGTATCATGGGCATCACGAGCCGGATGCCTCGCTTAGCAGCACCCCTAAGACCCTAAGACCCTTCTGCGAACAGCAGGACTTTACATTGCTATCATGCTATCATTGTTTTACAGCCCGAGGCAGATGCTGCTGTGGCTGGAAGAGAGCATCGAAGTTCCAGAAGGAACTCTCCACCCACCTGCAAGAAGAAGTATGACGTCGCATCATGCTGCAAAATGAAGCCATTTCGGATCCGGGCTGATTTGTGGTCATCTCTTCGAAGCCCATTTGCATGAGCACTTGTCGCATCTCTGTCTTCACCTCCCAAAGTACGCGGCGTACTGCACATGCAGACATACAGACATGGGCAGAAAACACAACAGTGCAGCTGACTGACCTTGTTCAGGGGATGCAGGTGCCCTCCCGTACAAGGCACGCCGCTGACATTCGTCAGGTTGAAGGGCTTAAATGTCGTGCTGCTCCACGTGCCCTGCACTGGCCATCAATCACAGGATCACAAGCTCAACCCGAACATCGCGATTGAAACAGAATTTCTCTGCCTTGAGAATCATTTCCGATGTCAGGTCGGCAACCGCTTTCTGAGACGCTGCTGAGAACTTGTCAGTCCTCTTGACCTGGAGCACAGAGTCTACGAAACCATACACGGACCACTGTCAAACCTGTGAATTCACGCAGTTCAGACGTGGTGAGAATCGCCCGACCTTGAAGGCCGTCAGGCTCGTTGGCGCTATCAGCTTTCGCTTCTTCAGCGCGTCCAGCTTCGCCTCCCCGCGCGGGACAGAAAGGTGAACGGATTCCAGCGTCACCGACGCTGAAGCATCTGATTCCAACGGTGCTGCCTTGTCTAAGGTACTCAGAGACGAGAGCTCTTTCTGCACGGCGTCCTCCACGGACTCCACAGATGGCGTGCAGACCTCATGACATGGCACTCGTTGAAATATTTCGAAGCTTTCGAAGCAGCGACTAGGCACGTCCGGCTGGGCCTTCGTTGCTTTGTCGATGGATACCCACTTGTTCTTCATGCAAGTCCCCAGGCCTCGTTCGGAAACACGATAAAGCCTAACATGTGAGATGTGAGAGTTCCAGTGCATACCTAAGGTCGGCTAGGTGCTGCACCGATCTTGGCGATCGCACCAAGCGCGGCATCGACGTCAGCGTTCGGGACGGAGCCCCTCGATTTGATGAAGTTGAAGACCTCTTCACAAAGCACAGAACTCTCACACACAAACTCTTCTGGTGCCTTTGAAAAAGGGCCCCGTGGCCACGGCCTGGCCTGGAACTCAGGGCTTCCGTTGTCGCAGTACTGGACTCCCTCCTCTGTTAGCTTCCAGCCTTCTCACAGCATCTGAAGGATCCCTTTATGCTTGTTATATTAGGAATACACCTGCAATCATACCAAGGATCCCTTTATAGTTTACGGACAACCTTCCTTGTTTAAGGGCGTGCATCCCAAGGGCATCCCAGAGCCGCTGAGCCGTGAGACTTTCCCTCATATCCTGGGGAACCCAAAGAGGCACCCGCCTTCGCGCTTGATGGGCTCGGTTGTGATCTGCTCCTCTCGATCTGTGCATACTGAGTACTGCGCGACTTCCACAACTGCTGCATGGTTGCATGATGCTGCATGACGCTGCATAAGTCTGTGGATGTGCGGGTCTGTGGGCCTCCGCCTGCAAGGATTTTATGGCGCCCACGAGCACTTCGTGGTCCCAGCCTGAAACAACACGACACACAACCAAATACAACCAAGTTGCTGCACAGGTGCGGGCAGCTGTGCGCCTTTCTCCCTGCAGAGAAGCTCCGAGTCCTCAAAGCCACTGTTGGCCTGGCTCTTGAGCATAGTATAGCATAGTCTTACATGAGTGAGGATAACTGCAGCGTCTCGCAACGCACAGCCTCAAGGTACTCGATCAACTGCTTCCGCATCGCCGCGGCCATGACACCTGGCAGCGCAGGGCCACCCAAAACTCCAAGACTCGACCCATCTCCCAAAACACTGAACTTGCAGAAACCTTGGCAGCCCGGAAGGGCGGCAAAGGGCCGCTCGGGCAGGAAGCACAAAACCGAGGAGGCGTCTCTGGATTGCCGCCAATTCTTGAACTAGCAACTGACGCTTAACAGGCTGAACTTGCAAAGAGTCCGGATTCGCGAAACCTGCGCACCAGTTGCTCCTGCAAAGAAAGCGTGACTGCGACAATGGTTTTGCAGCTTGTTGCCTATGCTAATGCTGTAAGCCACAGAATGAGTCAAGTGCACAATGAACAGCTCACAGCAACTGAAAGGATTGCATGTCGGGCATGTTCCGACTGTGTATCTCGTGGCCCCTTTTGTCAAGCAGGATCTTGATTCTCGGACTGGCACTGCTGGAGCATGTCGTACTCCTGATCAATCAAGTCTTAAGCCTTTCTCCTCACAGTACCTAGCTGCAGCTGCACGCAGGCTCACTGTAACCTCTTAGCATCTATTAGATACCTGTGATGTCGACAATGCGTCGATATCCGTCCTCCTGCCAAGCTTGCCCAAGCCTCGCATGGGCACAGACCGGTGGAGGCGTGACTTGGAGCAGACTACGGGGTTGGGGGTGGATCTACTTTATGGGTACCCCTAATTTAGCACGGGGTGCAGCAGCAGAGGCTAAAATGGGCTGCCAAGTGGCTGCTGCACCATGGATTTCCGCTCGTTCTGCTCTTTGCAGTCGAGAATTCCCTGGCCAATCTGCAACACGGTCAGTAGCATCTCGTAGCAAGCCTGGCACAGGAAAGAGCACATCACACCGCCCTAGCTGCTGATCCCAAGCATTGATCCCATTGCTTCCGACAAGCCTGGATGATAGAGGACTGGCTGCCGAGTAGAGCCATTGCCAGGAGACCCCGCGCTCGATGAGCAGCTTGCTGGCCCTGATCGGTCCAACACATCTCTGAACAAATTGCAAGCATCCCTGCAAAAACAACCAGCGGCCGAGCCTCCTGATTGTTTCCAGCTGAACCTGGCGACATCAGTTCGTATCAAGTGGGAAGCCCGGAAGCCCGGAAGCCCCAGCTCCAACAGTTCTAGTGTGCTCGGCCACGCCCGCCTTTGTCAGCCTCGCGGACGAGCCAGTCCTGGTGCGCCAGACACACAATCGCGTGGATTCTCGTCGGCACAGGAACGAGTCCAAAGCAACTCAAGTTGGAAGGCACCTCAGGGATGGTGTGCCTCACACCATTTTCCAAGAATTGAACTGTCACCGTCTTCTCGGCGGGACCTAAAGAAGATGCCCGCAACATTCTGAAACACAGCATGCGCCCGTACTACTCGGGCTCTCATGCAAGACATTGGTACAGGGATTGGCAGCAGTAATAGTTGGTCAGGCTTGTAGAATGGATGTCTTTAGAATCCAGATTTGGGGCAGCTGCCATCGCGCTGAGGTGCAGTTTGCTTCATCCTGTTCTGCCGCTATATCTGTTCTGCCAGGATAAGCAAGAGCAACATCTTTGGGGTCAGGCAAACAGCTTGGTTAATGGTACCGTCACAGGAGTAAAAGGAGTCCGTCCGAGTGCATGGCGAGAGGAAAGCACTCGGCACGTCTTTGGAGCCCGGCTCTTCCCCTTGCTGCCATCCTTACGCTTCGCCTGGGGAAAGGGCAGCAAGTGGCAAGTCGGCAGCACTGCACAACCAGCACTAGACTCTTGGACAATAGTGATAAAACTTCTGTGTGATGCAGTCCCTTCACGTCACTCCGTGTCACTCTGCGGCCAGTGCCTTGTAGTAGGCGTAGGTAACTTCTGCCAGTCGCGGCTGACCACCTGAGAAATGTATGGTGCAAAAGCTTAAAAGGAAGAGGCATGCTATGTTCATTGCCATTCTTAGTTACCATCCTTCTGACGAATGTGAGCAGTGCTTCTAAAATGCCCCGTGAAAATCTTAAAGCCAAGAACATGCCAAGCTGCCATCCGCAGGCCCACTTGAAGATCCAAGCGAAGGTGAAGTAATCAGCGTGTCTTCCAGCTCCTGACTCTGCGCATCTGCTCAGATGCTCAGGGCCGCGGCACGATTAGCGCATCGTCAGGGCAGTGGAATTTACAAAACATGGCCCTTGCGCCTGAGCGATCCTCTCCGACATCTTATTGTAGCCGCGCAAGCTGTTCTCAAACCACTCGGCCACCAGGACACGGGCCTGAAGCTCGAGCATCCCTCAGTCCCTCGCATCGCCTACGTACGATTGGCGGATCTGTCTTGGTCCTCAGACGGACGAAAGCTACGACCCCGCAGCTCAGAGACGCGAGCCAGCATTTTGTCAGCATAAGCTGCAGATCCCCTTGGGAGGGGGGGTTCCCCGACAACACCCCCCCCCCCCCCCAAACAACCCTACCTTAGCCCACTACCACGCCCTGAAACCGGGGGGGCCCGCGGTGTGACCTTAAATCTTGAACATGTTGAGATGATCAATGCCGATGGTGTGAAAGATGGGCCAGGGTCAAAGACACTGGGTTCAGAGGTGCAAGGATTGTCACCTAAGCTTCAACCCCGGAGTGGATACTCATGGGGCACAAAGCACAGTTACATTAGTGGCCTCTGGAAGACTCACTAATGAACACCCCTCCCCTTTCCAGAAATGGAAAGCAGAGACCCAAAACTGAAGCAACAACGGTAGTTGCAGCAGGGCGGGTGGGCGGGAAAGGAAACTAAACCTGTAGCTGAGGGGGCACCCTGCTCGGGCCTGCAGCTACAGGCAGACATACATCATGTTCATGCTTCAACAGCCCCTTCCCAACCAACCTACAAGTTGAAGGGCAAAAAGATATCAGGGATTGGCCCCTCCAAGTCCTCAAAACAAGACAAGGTTGTAAACAAAAATAACGCAAGCTTCCAGGAGTACGCCTTGACTTCCAGCGCCAACTCGTCTGTGTTGGCCGGCGGCGCCCGCGAACTGGCGGAGCGGCTGCCCCAGTCAACGTTGTTCCCGGGCAGGAGGCTGGGATCACCTTGAACAGAACGCAGCAACACATAACACAAAACAAAACAGACGCCACATCACCTCATGACGTTGTCACAGCTGTAAGGGCGCCATCTTGTACGACAGAGTTGCAATCTGAGAACAGATTGGTGAAGAGCTCATTGCAAAGCTCCTGTCTAGTGCTGAGTTTCATCACCTGTTCTTGCATGACTGCTTAAACCCAAAGCCCTGTATGAACAGCAGCTCTCCGTCCTCCATGTCCTGCGATGGCACCGGCATGCAAATGAAGCGTGCCGCAGGTAGCAGTCGACCAGTCACCATGGCATCCATGGGAAGACGCATGACTGGCTCGGTGCCGTCGGCGCCGTCGCCAGCTTCGCGGCCTGGATACATGATGCCGACACCACCTTACCCCGATACCAGCGCCCTGCGAAGCCCGTCGAGGCCGCCGCCCAGGTCCAGGCCGCCGCCCAGGTCCAGGCCAGCACGCCTTCGCAGGATGTCCAGCTTCACCTGGACATCTGGACAACGCGACAACCGGCACTGCAATCATCCGCGTCGTGGGGATATCGCGGGTAAAGCAGTCGCCTACTGCCCAGCCTGCTTCAGCGACTCTGAGCTTCCACGCCAATGCTCCGGAAGAGCTTTGACTGGGAGCTGGACCTCAGCTCAAAGCACTGCACAATGCACTGCACATGTGCAGAAACAAGAATATGCAATGTCATGGCCTTCTGCCTGTAGCCTCTTCAGATCCTCTTCAGCCTTCCGTGAGCTGAGAATGCTAAGAGCCAGGCATAGTTGAACGCATTCGCTTCTGGCACGGCCTCTTCTCCCGCGCTGTCCCTGATCTGCACCTACGCCCCGCATTGCACATCTGCAAATCCTGTTCCGTCACCTCTGCAGCTTCTGGGCTTCAGATTCCTGGGCCTCCCCGTACTGGGTGAAGAGCTCCAGGTTGCTCACGGGCTCGAAACAGTTCCGCAACTCGGCGCCAGGCTCCAGATCGCGAAGCCTCAAGCTTGCGACATCTTGCAACTCAAGCTATCTAACCCAAAACCCCGGCATGAGGCAACATGAAGCAACATGAAGCAACCCTCAGAGAAGGAAATGACACATATTTTTCTCGAGCGGCGCCACACCCACCATTGGACCGCCTTCGACTCCTTCATCTCCAACGATCAGAGCCGGGCTGGCAGTGGAGTCGTTGCCTGAGTCCGTGAGTGGATCACGTGTCGTGTTGCAACCAGAAAACTCGAAAAGAGAGGCGAAGCAGCTTTGATGAGTAAAGGATAGTAAAGGCGCGAAGGTGGTCCAGTAGCGGCACCAGGGCGCCGCAAACTCCTTCGGTCTGGATTGCCCTGCTCTCCACGAGGCAGAGGGCGAAACGCAAATCCTCCTCAAGGGCGGCGGCAACGCACCAAGCTTTGCGTATGAAGCACAACTGCTACCGCCAAAAAAATGAAGCACGCTTGCTACAGATTCTTCTGCTCTGGCTTTTCGAACCCCTCGTGCCTCCGGCACCGACAGTCCAAGCCGCCGCAGCCTTTCCACGCGCCGTTCCGCCTGCTCCTCGCGTTTAGGCACCCCACCCCCCACCCCACCCACGACTTAAGGCGACGCCTCGAAACAATCTCCTTTCTGACATTGGGTCCTGCAAAGCGAGGACGGCCGCTTGCGCTCCATCGCAGGCAGACAGCCACGAGAGCTCATCTGGCGTCCAAAACATCGGATGGTGCGAGAGATCCTGCAGTGCAGGAGCCGCTGAATCCAGTTCACGTAGTTCACTGAGTTTCTTTCTGAGAAGGAAAGAGACAACAGATGGCAAACAGTGACCCGAGCCCGAGGCCCTGCGCCACAAGAAGTCTACGTACGGTTCGCAGTAGGAAGCAGGCCCTGCAAAGCAGAAACGCAAACAAAGCTGACAAAATTCAATATAAATATGAGTAATTCTGTTGAAGGAGCCACTTCAAGGCAACCCCTGCCTTTGGCCCTTTCTTTGAGGAGCTCTGCAGCAAGCAGTTCCTCAATGTCGCTGTCGCTGGAGGCAGCAGGGTCTGCCAGAATCCAGGCCTGCCGCGGAACCTGCTTGAGTTGCTCAGGAGCGCAGCTCGACAGACTCCTCCAACAAGATCACCAACACCGTGCCTCCAAAACAATCTTGCCTTCCTTGACGTCTGCCTTTTCCTCATCGGTCAGCTCGGGCTTAAGCCACACGCCTGAGCCCCCATAAGCACTAGCAACACACCTGCCCCAACTCCAGGCAGGACCAGATTCTGACGCTTCGATCTGGGCCAGCGGCCGGACTTCTGCCCAAGCTCTACCAGGTCAATGCCACCGCACCCCATGTACTTCAACCACGTCCTCCCCCACCCCGCATTCAACAAGGAAATCGGAGGAATTAGTAGGAACTTGAAGTCACCATAGAGCACCATGAGCACCCCAACTCAAAGGATCACTCCTCAGTTTGGCCTCCGTGGTGAAGCCATCCTTTGGCCCCCGCCCGGCTCGCTGCCTCACCAGGCGATGTGCGCGATGTTTGCTTCTTCCCGCATTGCCCAAGGGCCCAAAGGTCTCCCAAAAAAAGACCGCAAAATAAAGGAACAAGCACAACCATTGCAGTAACAGCTATAAGAACAATAACGATGACAATGACAATAACAAGGACGACAACGATACTGATAATCGCGGTAGTACTAAGTACCAGCAGTGAGCAGGAAGAGTAGCTCGTGCAGCACCACGAGTCACCCGAAAATACGATTCTGCCCTTACTGCCTGCGCACCCCCCCCTCCCTTGGTCCGATCCCCCGGTGTCCTGGGCGGGGCCACAGCAAAACCCGCAGCAGCCCGGCGCAGCTTGGCAGGCTTGGACACAGCGCCCCTTCAAAACGAGGCAAAGGGGGCTTCGAGCGGCTTGTTGGCGACGGCATTCGGCATCATCTCTGGATTCACACGAAACCTCGCCTGGCCGACCGGCGTCTCGCGGTCCTACCAGGACGTACATTGGAGCCAGGGCGGGCGATGCCTTGTGAGATCTTTCTGAAACAGCCGCCACCTCAAAGCCAGCGTCGGCACAGCCACCGCCATCGCTGCTGAGCCGCGCACCCCATTGTGTCGGGCACCTTCGGTGGCTTCTGGAAGATTCTGCAGATTAAACCGATTCTACGGTGTTCAGCTTCTATCGCGCACCCTTCCAGAACGAGACTGCTTCCAAAACGGATGTAAACCACCTGCCTGAGTGCCAGTCGGGCCGCAAGCCCGTGGCTATGTGGGCCCTTTCTGGTGCATGGTGAAGAGCTGTGGTGCCTGACGCATTCCGGCAGCCTCTCACACCGACGCACGTGACAATCGCTCAGGATGTTCGGGCTTAGCGTCCTTCTCGCGCCGCTCGCGGTTGGACGACAAGGCTCTCCATCATGACACGGAAACAAGCTCTCAATGAATCCTCGGAGACCTCCGCGGCCCTTGTTTAGGATCCTGCACTTGGCGAATTAGCCAGGGGGTTTGCGTTCCAGCCATCACAACTAGCCAAGTAAGCCTGACAAGCCCTTGCTTACTTGAGTGTGCACAGCTGAAGCTTGAGCCATTTGAAGGCAGACCTGGCATGACCTGGTGTTGTGGCCGGCTCAGCTTTGACATGTCATCCAGCTTTACGGCAGCAGCCACCTTTCGCTCGATATTCCTCGCTATGCTTGGCCGGATCCACGTCTGGAGCTTGGCATCGCTTGAAACCGCACCGCTTTGCAGGGCCACCTCGAGAAGCTGAGGGAAGCTAGGCCTGAGGCTTCATGAGGCTTCATGAGGCTTCATGAGGCTTCATGAATCCGCGAGAATCCTCCGCGGCTGGAAAGCAGCCGCAAGGAAAATCGAGGCCTTTGGCTTTCGCAATGAGCGCCGAGCGCTTGTGAGACAAACAAGACATTTGTACCCTGACGGAAAGGATAGAGCGTCCGCAGCGGCCCTCACCAAAGGAAGGGCACAAGCTTGAACGGAACTTTCCTAAGTGTTTGCTCACGATCGCCAAGAACTTTTTGGGAACATTGTTATGAGGTTTCATAACGTGAGCCACAGAAATCAAGCGGTATAAAGCCTGGAGGTTCAGCTACCAAACAGAAACTGAAAAGGGGATGGGACGGATGGGACTTGAAGCGAGCGACTTCGTGTATCGCGTCCACTCCTCCGGCCGCGCCTCCAGCAAGGCCTCCTCCTCCTCGGCCAGCTTGAGCGCGAGGACCACGGCCAAAGCCACAGTGAAAAAGGCCCGGACAGGACTGAAGTTCGCCATGACGCAGGCGCCGGCGCACATGATGATGAAGCCGGTATAGGTTGGAGACCTTATGACTGCGAATGGGCCTGACGTCGCCAGTCGGCCGTTCTTGTCCTCCATCGCCGCCGTTACGGTAACGATGGAGACCAAGCCGATGAGAAATCCCACGATGGTGATGCCAAGGCCAATCTTGAAGCTGGAGTCTGGCGAAAACAAGATCTTTTCAATGTCAAGCTGCTCTGTCGGATACTGTACTGGCAGAAAAGCTCCCGCTACACAGGCACCCTGCGCTGGCAAGAAGGAATCACCAGCCTTGCTTGGAAATGGTTTTACCTTCTTCTCCGCTCTGGCTTTTGTGCCCTTTGCCTTGGACTTCGGCTTAGACGTCTTGGACTTTGTCTTTCTCGCGGTTGTCGCCATGTCGAACATGCTGACTTGTTGCTTTTTCCCTTTGGCAGGCGACGCGAACGCCGTGCTCTGGGATCCATGAGGAAGCAGGCCGAGCCATAACACGCAGAAAGTCACAGCAAGGAGAGCTGCTCTCCGAGAGCGACAAGCCATGGCAGGACGAGGGCCCAGCAACGGCCACATAATCTAAAACTCAGGTGTCGCACAAAGGACTGATCTACAGAGCCCTGAGAAACAAACACGACGACGGTTGCGGACACAAGCGTGGTGCCGGACGTTTCGCTTGAAGCCTTCGGACGAGCTCCTGTCTACGTGGAGACCTCTTTATTGCCGACTACGCCTTCGCTGTGCTTGCTGAGCCGCCCAGCAGCGTGGCGATGTCTCCGAAGACCTCGGCTGGACACTGCACACGCTCACTTGCTAAACCCGTCGGCAACTCGCATTGCGCTCGGAAAGTAGACAGACAAACTCGAAAACGGTTGAACTCTAATCCTGCAGTTCTCACGGGCTGCTGGCACGGAACCGACGCTCCCATGTCTCCTGGTCGGTCTTGTGCCTGGCACTGTGCCCTTCGCTCCGCAATAAGCAAGGGCGTCTCACCTGACATGTCATTGCGCGATTTGCGGATTTGCGACACAAGATTGCTGGCGAACTGACCTGGTCACTACAAACTCGGTCTTGCTAGCTTTGATCCTCCCTATTTACTTGTTGCTCGTGTCAGCTTTGGATTATTCTTATTTGGTATTTTGCTGATATTGTAATTTGTAATTAGTATTACTGTTACACGCTGATGCTTGTTTCTCAATTTCTCAAGCTCAACTACAAACATCCCCCGGCACGAAAACTACCGCAAAACTAGGCAGCTTCAAAGTGCTGAATGAAGCTCGACATCAGCTGAGAAATCTTGGGAAAGAATCGCCTTGAAGACCCCTTACAAGAGTATGCTGTCAGCAATGCAAGCACGACGGTGCCTGCAGTGGAACGGAATTCCTGCAAACTCCGTACGTACCAGTTCGGACATAAAGAAACCACACACGGCCTGAGGCATCTCGCAAATTCCGGTCGGCACCTGGTGGGTTTGTCGTGCCATGCTTGGGCTTTCGCTTGGGCTACTCTGCCCCTTGCACACGAAAAGCCCTGCCTGCTTCGAGAAGCTTCAGAACGACGGTGCGGTGGCCATTCACAACCGCCCAATGCAAGGCCGATCTGCCCCATTCATCCTTCGCCTTGACTGTCAAGCGATGTCAAGCGGCTCTGCACACATTCAAGACATTCGACAATCCAAACCCAGCTGAACGTGCAAGAAGGAATGACAACAGGCTGAGCTCATGGCATCGACCCTCACACATGCCCCAGCTCTGGCGCCTCTAGCTTTTCTCGGGGCGCTCGCTGCGCTCGCTTCATGATCTGCCAGGAGAAAGCTCAACACAGCTCCAGGTGCTCCGGATCGAGCTGCCCAGTGAAGGGCAGTCTGCTTCTGGCCACTTGTCGCATCCATCTTGGCTCGTGCCGTCGTCAACAAGGTCAGCACTTGCTCTGACCCACCTTGTGCAGCCAAATGAAGCGGCTGGACCCCATTTCTGTCGGATGAAGTGGCAGACGCTCTAGCTTCCAGCAGTACTCGGACAACTTCGGCGCGGCCGTTCATGCACGCTGCATGCAATGGTGTGCGGGCACATGCAGCTGACTCATGCGCACCATGCACATCGTGACGTTGGAGGAGATGGTGAACTGCATGAAGTGCTCCGACACCAGCTGCTTGCTGGAGGATTTCGTGGTAGGAGGCCTGCCCTGTGGTGCCAGTCTGCTCGAGATCCTGCGATGCCTCTGCATCCAGCTCGATCGCCCCAGACTCCCTGCGCTCCGTAGACTCAGCTGTGGACTCCGCTGACTCCTCGAACTCGGCACCAACGGACGACCGCTGCAGATGCTGCAAAAAGTCTGTCAGGTACGGCCTGCTGAGGAGATTCGCCGGCAGCCTTTGTCAGACACAGCACAAAGTCTCGAAAAATCTACAAAGCAAGAGCACCCAACCTCTCTGACAGCCCCGTGAGGTCTGAAGCATTCTGAAGCCACGCAACAGTGGCTCTGGCAGATGCTCGCCGAAGGATCCTGGCTCCGTCGTGCTCCTGCTCGGCAGGCAGCTCATGCAGATCTCAGACACTCCGCAGCATCTCTGAGCAGTCGAAAACGTACAGGCCAAGGCCATGTCCTTGCCGCCAGGCGCTGGCAAACGCGCAGTGCAGCCAGGGAGTCCCCTCCCAAAGCGAGGAAGTGGGCCCTGGCATTCCCGACGGGAACTCCCAGCACCTGACCACGGCAAATTCTAAGACAGGAAGCCAGTGGTGAGACACTGTGGTTTAGACGCTGTCTGAAGTCTGGCGTGGGTGCCTCGCCTCACTCCAGGCGGCGGCCACGCGGCCGGCGGGCCCTGGCAGCTGGCCTCCTCGGCCTGCTTGGCCTGCTTGGCATCCCAGGTCGGGCAGCGGCCTCTGCGCCAACTCCTTGCGTGAGACCTGGCGAGGAAGCCGTGTACAGCAGCTGCTAGCTCCGGCAGCAGTGTGCTGTCTGGCCTTCCCGGTGGCGGTCATGGGAAACGAGTCCACAGCCAAGACCACGCTTGGGACCATGTGGGCAGGCAACCGATCTTCTCCCAAGCGCCGTAGCAGTGTGCAGCAAACTTCTTGGCAGTCCGCTGCCTGGTCTCCTGACAAAAGCAACAAGTGCAAGGTGTAAACTCGCCTCGGCCCCCCAGACTTTCCGTTCATGTTGGAGGGCTTTGACTGTAGAACCGAATTCTTGCGGGCTGGGAATTAGGTTCCTCGGTCACGCCCCATGCCCCCCCCACCAGCCCCCCAAGCCTGCTCTTCTAGACCTGTAAACACCCCCTGGCACTCTCAACACCTAAACCCTCCGCTCTCCGACTAGGAACTGGAGAGGAAACATGGACAAGACAAGGAAACACTGGGATTTCACATCCCTGTCAACGACCGGCCTCGCAGGACACAGTAGAGAACAAGTCGAGGACCTGGAGGAACCAAAACCGCAGCAGCCGCCGCGATGATGTCAGGCCTCGTTGTCGAGCACATTGCAACACCGAAACACCATTGCTGAAAGCCACTGCTGACAGCTCCTCATCCTCTTCTCGTCTCCACGAGTTTTTGCAATTGTCAGATCAAGCTTCGCTGCTGCAAGCAGGACTTCCTCCACTTCCCCCAACTCCACCCGGCGGCCGCGCAGCTTCCTTTTTTGACAAAGCAGATGGACAGATCTGGACAGCTTCGCCAGCAACTTGGGGAGTGACAACAGCAGTGCTTCTCAGCATTTCTGAGTCGAGGTGCACCATCCCGTCACGGCGGCCTAGCAGCTGCCAGCCGCCATCTGCGAGTAAGGCAAAAAAAAAACTTCACCAAGCCAAGGTCAAAAGCCACCCACTGACAAGTCCGACTGGGTCACTGACTCACTGACTGACCCTGCGCGTTGACTCGATAGCAACCAGAAACAACATCCGCAACTCACGAAGAAGCTCCCCGCACACACGGTCTGGCCTCTGGCTGTGGCCAAGTCACCACCTCGGCATCTGCGTAGCTGCACCCGTCAGGCTCCACAACTCGGGATCTGGCAACTTCTGGGAATCTCATGAAACCTTGCAGTTCGGGCACTGCGGAAGCAGCGCCCAAGGCCCTCGATGTCACGAAACCGCTCCGACGTCAGCTCCGGGCGCCTGCGCCACTTTTACTCTTCGCTCAAGCTTTAATCTTGGGCTGAAGCCCTTAATTGGAGGCCCTTCTTCTCGCAGTCATCCCTTTCAAAACGGTGCTTAGGCTTAAGGCTTCGTCATACTCAGACCTCTGCGGAGTGCGCCTCATGTAGCCCAGGCCGACTTGCGGGCCTGCAATCCAGAGCTCGCCCTGTGCCCCGCTGCCATCCTGGAAATGAGCGTGGGCCGCGGACGGCAATCTGATGGTAGCGAAGGCCAAAGGCCAGCTGCTGAACAATTGAAATTCCCCCTGCTCATGGCATTCTCATTGCAACCAATGTTTCGCCTCCACGAGAGCGGTCGGATCATCACCTCTGACAGGGAGGGCAGCACAACAACGCAGACCAGAGAGCTGTGGATGCTGTGGCTGCTGGTGCTGCCAGTGCCCGGCCCAGCCTCTGCCTGCTGCGAGCAAGAGCCGTGTGCCAGGGAGCGCAGCACCCAACAGTCGAGGGCTGCTCTTGGGCGTGAGCACTGCCGCCGCCTGAGGCGCTCCCCCAATCACAGGATGCTTTTCTCACACACCAAGCACGACTTTCGCCTACCTCGACGAGAAGTTCGCACATGACACAGGAGAAAGGCGAGAATGAACACGTTGCGTTATCTCATGGAACAAACAACCAGATCTTGGGCTTCCAGGCTCAGGTCACAAAAAGGACATGTGCAGGCCACCTGATACACGGTGCACTCCGTCACGCCGTAGGTGTTCAGCAGGCCTGCAGCTCATCCCATACCAGTACGGAACGCATTATCCCACCTTATCCCACCTTATTCCACCGTATTCCCGCCACCACCCTATACCCTGAGAGCAACTAGGTGTGGCTCGCGTCAAAGGTGTCGGAGGCATCCCAAAGAGTTTAAAAGAATTCAAAAGCAGCTCATCGATATCGGCTCTGGCGGCTGACGTCAGCAGCCCAGGCGGTCAGCGACTGCGGCATCAGTTCGCCTGCAGGGAGCGGCACAGAAGGTGGGGGGGGGAGACGGCAGATCTGTCATGGCATGTCGTCATGGCACGTCATGGCACGTCATGGCTTGGCCCACCTCCCAATGCAACCACTCGCAACTGTAAAGCTCCTGCCTGCCGTGACACTGTGAAAGTCTTTGGATGCTCTTGCTCCGATCTTCTGCAGAAACAGATTCGGCCTAGATATGCCTCTCATAGCAGAAAACATGACATGGCCTCCACAGTAGCAAAGTGTGCAGGGGTCGTTTGCACGTGGCTGGCCTCCAAAAACAATCGAAGCGATAAAATCGTCTCAACAGGTCTCGACCGAACCATTCCACACATGAGCGATGCCTCGCCTCGGTTTTCCGGAGACAGCTCCCAAGAGATGCCTGCAGCGTCTCCCGCGGTGCCAGGGCCACGGTTGCGCCCGCCAACCACGCAGAGAAGAAGTCGCCAAGGGACCTGGAAACTTTAGGAATGCTGGGGGGGGGGGCTCCGCACGCCGGCTGGTTCGCCAGTCGGCGCAAGAGGCAACTAACTCCAATGCATCACCTATCACTTGCAGCAAGCAGCGGGTCGAAGGTGTGCGCACTGGCCACGAAGACAATGCTGGAGCTGTCAACCTACACAGGTCAAGACGCAAGGCCCACTCACTGTGCCACACCGTTGCACATGCTTTTTCAGCTTTAATTTAAATTTCTCTCTGTAGCCGCACCAAACACCTCATGCGGTGTTGTTTTTTGCCTCTTGGCCAGCCTGGTGGACAGAGTTCTTTGCCACGCAGTACGTGTCCAAATTGCCAAAGCTGCACATGCAACCTTTGGGACGTCCAGTGCTTCCCGATGTGAAGAAGATGTGCGAAATCTGCTCTGGGGCAATATGATGCGGTTGTCGACGCTCAGACGTCTGGGTTGCCTGCACCCACAACGGAGCGCGGAGAACAAGACCAGAAAGCCCCCCAAGAGCTCAAAGGGTGTCTCGCAGATGGAGCGGGGACCAGCCCAGCCTCGCGTCGCAGCAGCTCTGACTCTCGAAGGAGCCATGGTCCTGCAATGGAAGCAGTAATGGCAAGCTGGCTTTGGGCCGCTCTGCAACAGGCTGCGTGGTAGGCACTTGCCACGGGCAGCGCCACCTCTCTTCTGGCTTGGATGTCCCGAGCTCTGCAGCAGCATCTCTGCTTTCTGAAGTTGCGGCTCTGCTGCCACCAAGGCCAGCAGCGGTCCGGCATCCTTCGGTGGAACATCTGACAGTGTCGCACAGCGTCGCACTGTCTGTGTCAGTCTCTGTTAGGTAGCTGTTCATTACTGTTGGTGGCGCGGCGGCCCCCAATCACTGTGCCACTGTGCGTTTCTTCACCTTTCAATGCTCCGACCTGTTGCCTCTAGCCTCTACGTAACAATGTCCAACTGCTCTCCAGGAGCCTCCACAATGAACTCCAGTCGCGGAAGTGGTTCTTCAGCATCCAGAGGTACCAAGACAAGACCTGCAAGCAGCACCGCTAGCTCCAGCACGGGCAGGGCGACTCCACCTCAGCTTGTGTAGCTGTACGACGACACCTTAACCGATCCTTAACCGCCTTAACCGGACGTTTCTACAGTTTCCCCTGTTCTGTCCAATTAACATGCGGCAACCCGAAGCTCCAGCTTCAGGCCCCACACAGGGCCTTGAAACTTGAAACGCCGTTATCCCCAGGGCTGATACGAAACACAAAGAGCAAATATTGAACCACCCGGAACCCAAATGTACGGATCTAAACAAATGCTGGTGCCTCACACCTTGGGGACGATGGGATTTCAAGTTCGCCGCCCTCCACACACGTTTCAATGTTTCACTGCGCACCCCCAGGACTTTTCCCACGAATTCTCTTCATGTGCAGAAGGTGACTCCCTGAACACTCCGTCTCCCCGGCCCCCGCGGACTGGCCTGAGAGCATGAGGCCGATTCTTGCAGGCAGCTCCGGCTCCGTCTGCTCCGTCTCCGCCGCCAAGGATGCGAGTACGGAGGCGGCCTCTGTGGCCGCTGTCCAGACTTCGTGGTAGCTCTGAGTGCTCTTGTCCTGCACTGGTCACTTGGAAAGCTGTGCCAGCAGAGCATGACGTAGCATGTGTCACAGAGATGTCACAAAGCATCTCAGCGCCAGGCTGCAGCCGTTCCCTTGCCGTTTGGCGCATACCACAGCAACGCTGTAGCATCAGGCGCCTGTTCTCACGTCTGGCGAAGCTGCTCATTCTCAGTCTTTACGACTCTCCGAGCACACGTTGTGCTCAAGGCCTCTCTGGCCATGCCATGCCAGGCACATGTGGCAGCATGTCGTGGAACAGCTCTCGGGCCTTCTGCACAGCAGCGAAGATGCTTTGGAGGAGCCCCGCTGCCATTTCTGCACCATGGCGTCTTGCAGCATGGCTGCAGAATTCACGTGTATCTCAGTGACCTGAACGTGTGGCCTTTGCGCATGGTTGTCATACAGCTGGGCTCCATCTGGTTGCAAGCCCATGCTGACAGATTCACAATCCAAACAGGACTGACCACATGCAGCGCAGCTGCCGGCTGTTTGTAACATATGGTTTCGCCACCTTGAGATGCGCAATGATCTGCAAAGCCTTTGGCTTTATCATCGGTCTGGCAGCTAGACTGCTATACAGTACCGCCTTCTCCCTCTGGGGAAGACTTTGGGCTTCTTGCATCCCCGGAAGATTGGCACGCGGCCATGCGCCTTGGCCAGTGGAGACTGACAGCCGCTTCTCTCTAGGTCCGCTAGGTGTTTCGGTATATGCACCTCGCAAGATGCTGCTCCGGGACTCTGCTTTGTAGCACATGTGGGCTTCCACGAAAGGGCACAAAAGGGCAACCTCTTGCGTGCTGCATATCACCTCATGACTGGCACATTCGGTCTCGAACCAAAACTACTGACCTCCCACAGCAACTCTCCTTCCAAACCCGACTTGCCAGCGTGAGACCGTCATAACTGTCTAAAGGGCTGGCATGAGCAGAACAGAATCGGGCCCCTAGCTGAGATCTACATGGACATAAGTTCTGTTCTGCCATTGCATATCCCAGCGAGGCACACTTCCCTGGCATACGTCTACCAGCAAGTTCATTATCAGTCAACGCTGGAGCTCCAGTAAGGCCTGACCGGTGCTCCCGTTGTCAACTTGAAGTAGCGCTCGAGCACGCGTGTGGGGCACATGTCATGCTCGCAGGCTTCAGCCACGTGCCTCTGAGGCCGATGAGAGGTTAATGGGCAGGAGCCGATGCCTAGGATGGCAGTTGGGAGCAGTCAGCACAGTTGGTTTCTGGTGAACAAGCACAGCGCAATAGCGACTTCACTCACTACCAGTAGGGGCAGCCGCCGTTTGAAGCATCAGCTTTTGGTCCAGGAGCGCAGTGAGCTTCTCCTGCCGAGCACAATCTCCGGCCTCTGCGGCTCTGATGTTCCAAGCTGTGCCACATCTAATCCGTGCGAGAAAGGAGTGGTTATGTTGCTATGGTAGAGAAGCGACAGCAGAGAGCTTGAACAAGGGGTCTGCAAGTCCCCTCCTCGAAACTCCTGCCACACAGCCGATTTGCAACATGCCAACGTTGCAAGCCACTTCTCTGCACATGTGACCGATTGCCGGCTCTGTCTATGCGAGTCATTTCACGGACTGCTTCACCGACCACTTGCCTTTCTATGCGTTGCACAGCCGCGTTGAGCCATTCCTGGCAGATCTTCTGCTACGGCCGGAGCATCAAAGCAGGAAACTGGAAGCTGCACGCCTCCTCCTCCGGCGAGGGCTTGTCGAGCGCCTGCAGTGCAGAACAGATCCGTTTCTGAGTTGCCTGGGAGTTTGCGGATTTGCATGCCTGGTCCGAGTTCCCTGGCCTTGGCTCACATCCCCAGATCTGTCATGTAGAAAGTGCAAGGGCGCTAAGTAAGGAGACTGTGTCTGGATGCTGAGTAAGGAAACTGGGCTCGGTCGAACACGAGGGGGCCACCGATCTGACTTTCCGAGGCCCAGGCTTGGGGAGATCCTGGGGACCAAAGGCTGGGGACCAAATGCTGCAAAGAAGAATCTCTAAGTGATCTCACTATGTGATCTCAGCCGTTGCATACATGCTCGGGTCGTGGCCGCCGAGGCCTGCACGAGCCGGTCAACCGCCTTTTCTGGGGCGAGGCTGGGAGAGAGGGAGCTGGAGACGCAGAAGAGACGCAGAAGATATGGGCTCAGTTGTGAAACCTGGTTCCACACTGCTCCACACTGTCCCACACTGTTCCACACAATTTTGCGACAGCAACACACCTGTCAGCCTGCCACTGCACTGCCACTGCGCCTCGTGCAGTGCATGCAGCTCCTCTGCGCAGCCGCCTAATTTGCAGAAGCACGTTCATGCCTCGTGTCTAAGCTTTCGGTGCCGATGGAGACCGGCATCTGCACTGGGCACTGGGTTGCCCACTCAACACTCCCGTCAGGTCCACACGATCTTCAACACAGATGTCGCTCCTGCAAATGTAGAAATGTAGAAATGAATGCGTGTCCAGGCCAGCAGGACCCCCGTTACCGTGCATGGGTACCATTCGGTACCTCAAATCCAGCTCCGTGCTTTGCCGCCGGGTCCACACCGCAGGGCTGTTATCGGCAGACCTGTCGTGGCAGAACCAAACTTAGTAACTTCCTCCTGTGGAAGGTAGCCAAGTCGTCTTTTCGAGCTTTCAGCAATGACATAATTAGCAATGACGCAGCGGTGTCCTCAACTTCATACTGCGAAGGCCAGAACGGCAAGAACAAAAAACACCACAGGCTGCTCAGTCCGCAGCGTGCCGGTTGCCTCGAGGGGCTTGCGCAGGCTCAATGGCGCGCACAAATATTCGCGCAAAGCTCGAGCAAGGAAAAACGGGTCTGCGCTTGCTCAGCTTCTGGCACTTGGTGAAGCTGGTGGCGATTCTGGAACTTCTCCAGGCATTGACTCAGCCACTGTTGAAACTTGTCCCTCCTAGGTCCTGCCTTTTAGCATCCCCTACTAAGACATGTTGCGGCAGTGGGACCGGACTCGCCGGCCAGGCTAGCCATCACCCGGGTCCCCGGCAAAGGCGTTGAAAGTCAAGCTCCTGCCGCTGTCTTGTTCCGACTTTTTGTCCGCACTCACTGCAGACACCACAGCAAGGACGACGCACCAAATATGATGGCAAACTGCACTCTCCTGACAGCAGCGGGACGGGCAAAAATGCCGTGCCCTGGCTTGCTGTCAAAATACCTGGCAGCATCTGGCAATCAACAAATACCAAATCAAGCAAAAACTCAGGCACCGCTTTTGAAAGTCGCCATATGAGAGCCCTCATCAGCCCTCATCCCCTCATCAGCCCATCCCCTCCCCCGACCTTTCACCCTGAATTGTCCCGTCGTTCTTGCCATCTGGCGTGTCCTGCGATGACTTGTGTAAAGAGGAATCCCGGATTGCAGAACAGCTAAGGGACACCACATGCAGCCTATCTCTGGTCACCTACAAGTATGGTGCTCATATGTGTTCATGACATCTGGCAACGTCAACTCGGAGCGGTCCAACTCGACACCGATCCAGGGACCGGCTGCGAACTGCGTTGTCCTCAGCATCACGTGTGGGAATCCTGCTGCCACACACTCTCAACAAAAAGCACGTGCGCGGCCTGCCTGGACTCCGACTTTACTAACTCTACTCTTGTTGGCAAGACGCCCGACAAATTTCACAGTGCCCATGAACTTGCCAAGCGCCTTCCAGGAAACCACGGCTGTTTTGGTCATTGTAAGGGATGCATCTCGCTGGCGCATGAAGAATGAAACCATTGTTGAAAAGTATAGAAAAGTTAAAGATCTTTGCAAGAACGACCCCCAATGCAGCACCGGCCTCTACTCGTGCACCTACTTTGATGTTGTCGGGGACTGGTTGCAGAATCGATGCCTGGCGAAGGACCGGGGATGAAGTCATGTAGAACGAGACGGTCAGCATTGACTGCAGGGCCGACCCTCACCGCATCTGTCATGGACCCGACAGCTTGCCAGGTCACAACCTCTGAAATTTTGACATTTCGAACACGTCACCACCGACGAACCACTCATCTTTCCAGAAACCCAGAAACCAGGTCGCCGGCGGCGCTCGCGCAGAGCTTGACACTAAACGGAATCAGGATCTTGAGCCCATGAGCGGGTGCCGAATCGCTTGTGCTGGCAGATGCCTGTCGCTAGCATGTCTTTGCAGTCCCGCAGGCGCGGAAACAAATCACCAACTTCATGTCTTTCGTCCAGGCCCATGCGCACGAAAGGAGACGCGTGAAGCTGTAGAAGACTGGAAACCTGTTATCCCGAAGTCGCTCGAAAGATGTACGAAGCAACTACTCGATTTCAACATGCCTGCTGCAGGCGAATCGAGTGCGTATTGTACTCTATCTTCCAGGCAGCACCAACCCATGTCTTTCAAAGTACGGATCCCGACGATTTACCGCGAAAGCCAGAAAGAAGGAAAGAAAGAAAGAAAGGAAGGAAGAAAGGAAGGAAAGAAAGCAGGAAGGACCACACACACACACACACACACACACACCCACCCACCATTTTGTAGTACCCTTCTTTAGTCACAAGTGATAGGTGCTCTCAAGAGCGTGCTGAACGAATCAGCTTCCAAATCCGCTTCACTCCCCTCCGAAAGGCCTGTGCCTGTATTGCCTGGCTTTTGATGCACGCGGGCGTTTTTCCAGTACTATGGAAAGCAAACTGGTGAAATCGATTGGAGGAAAAAGGCAGTCGACCGCATTCGGCCATGTTGAAAGCCGCCTCTCCGTTCGGAAGCGGAGGGTTAAGAGCAGATCTTACGCAACTTTGGCATCTCAGGTCGAGCACCGACCAATGCCGACCGGCGCCGACATGCGCCTCCGAGGCTACCACGGCCACCGGCTTTCCTGACCAACGAAGTACATTAGCAATGTATATTGCATTCACATTTCTCCAAGAGCAAGACTCAGGGGACCAGAGAGGCTAAAGTGACAAAGGGTGACGTGATATGTGAGAAGCACGGGCATCCTGAAGAGGACCGGGGTTGACTCGCAAGAATTGCCAAACCAATGCGCCGGCCTTGGCTCGCTGCTCTTTTCTCTGCTTCTGGATCTGAAAGTCGATCCAAGTCGGCCTGGCCAACATCGTGCAAATTGGGCAAACCTGCTCCTTCTGACAGCCATCAATCTGCCCCAAACGGAAGAAGTAAGCCATCGGCAGATTCATGTTCACTGCCAGGGCCAGCGTATTCGCGAAAATGCCGAGAATTGCAATGATGACTAAGGAGACAAGGAATTCAGGCGTGACCTTGGTGTCATGGACTTCTTCACAACATCCACTTCAATGTGCTTGGCTGCTAGCGAGCCACGCCGGATGTCAGCGGAACCACCCCAAGGTAGGTGATGAGGGCAGTGAGAATCAGACCTCCAGTGGAACTCTTCCCTTGTGGCCTAGCTCACGCTGACATGTTTCCCCTCCTGGAATGACCGTTCCTTCCACAGTCTCCTCGAAAATCAAGGCCAACAGCACAGACCAAAGGAAAACGACTTGCAGAAGCACTCCTCTTCTGGCTTGGGGCCCGAGGACTTCCAATATCTTCGCGGAAGGCGTGAGGACCCGTCGGACCCGTCCACAGATTCCACGGCCTTTGCTCCCAAACCACATTGAAGAGGAACGCGGCGAATCACACTGGGATGCCGACAGGTCTCGCTCGGGACACACCACCAGTCGCAACGCCTTCTAAACACATCGGTACAGTACATGATAGTACATGTGTGCCACGCTTGGTGTGTCTCTCGTCCTGCGAGGACAAAGCCACAGGCTCGGCAAGCATAGAGCGCGCAGCAGCCGAGCACCAGGGCACCTGGGTGCTGACAAGAAAAAACGCGAACCCCGCCTTGCACTCTCTTGACGGGGCACTGGTGACTCGCGTCCTCTGACGTGGGCCCGCCATGGCGGGGAAGGGCATGGATGGGTCTTGGGCCGAGTCTTGGGTCTTGTACTCAGCGTACTCTCAAGCCGAGGACAGTGTGAGATGCTATTCAGCTTGTGCTTGACATGCAATACTTGCGCAGCCAGCATTTCCCGCCGGGTTGACGCCTTGTCCATGCTCGGCTGCAACAAGCATAGTAAGCCAACATGCGCTGCCAGTCTTGGCCACACAAGGCCGCAATTTTCATCTGCTCAATGTCTGCTACAACCACCAATCAGCGAATGCCCCCGAAAGAACCGCGGGCAAGAGCATCTCCAAATGGAGCAACGTCACGTGCTTTTTCCAAGAGCTAAGCAAGGTGAAGGTCCATGAGAGCCTGGTGCAATTCTGCAGCTATTCCAGATTCTGCCATCTGCAGCGCTCCACGTGTCTTATGCGAATGAAACCGAGAATAGGCTGACATGTCAGAAAGCATGAGCCTCTTTGTAGAGCTTCGCCTCCACTGGCTCCTGGACATCTTCCTGACAAACGATGATACGTAAGGGTCTACATCTTTGCTACACACGCACTGTCACTCAAACCTCATGGAACAATCCAAACAAGATTGTGCGGTTGCTTGTGCGCAACCACGGCAAGAAGGTAGCTATGAAGGACGAAGGATATGCGCATTTTTGATGACTAATGCCTGGGACCTGCACTTGCCGTTCTTCGTATCTTCCGGGTTTGATTGAATGGCCGACCAGGGCTAGTCGTTCTTAAGTGCAAGGGTTGCGAAGACGAATTGGATTCTCAGCTTGGGTAAGGCGGCCTGACTGCAAACACGGGCGAAAAGATGATCCCATCGCACTTAACAACTGCTTTCACCCAGTCTTCACCCCATCCGGGATACACCATGTTAGACCATTCCGTGCTGGCCTTCTTAAAAGAATATGAGCTGGGACATCGCTGCACCTGGCGCAGAGCTGGATGGCTTGTTGCACTGCAACGTAATGAACTGCCATCCACCCACAAGCTGACTGCAAATTCAAAACCTGTCACATTCTGCCACGACATATTCAGACGAAACCGCGCCTCCAGCTGCTCGTCACTGGGCACGATACAGTCCGTGCTCTGCATGAAACCTCCTGGTCGTGGACGGTGTGTCCGTTTGCGTAGCACGTGCGGCGTTTAAGCACGCTTGTGTCGACGCAGGTGCTCGGTCGGCCGAGAATGAACAACAGAAGCACACACCGGGACTCGAGCTCTCACGCTTGAAAGTTGAGCTGGGTGGATTAAGGCGATTAAGGGCTCCTTAAGGCCCACGCTTCATGCCAGTGCCCACGTAGGCTGTGTGACGGGCACTATCATGGCATATGTTGGAGATTGCAGCTGAACCAAACATGCAGTTGCTGGCATCAAGGGGGCTCTGCTCATGCAGAGAAGTTAACAATTGAGCTGCCTGGGACGACCATGCAAACTTCTCAGGCGTGCTCGTGCGCGCAGCGTAGGGTGAAGCGTGGAGCGCAGCGTGGAGCGCGCGCTATGGTACGGGATGCTCTTGCAAAGTGGCCGACGTTGCGTCATGACATGGCATGGCGCCTCTTCCTTGCTTCTGCAACTGCCCGGAAGGATCAAAACGCCAAGCCTTGGCGAAAGCACGAGCGCAGCAGGGACCGTCGGGCCTAGCATCTACACCACTCAAGGCAGAAGCCTGTTGCAGCAACTTTCCAGAGATATCGCAAACGAAGGTGGTGACCTTCCCAGCGGCTGCCTGGCGACCATAGGCGGTAGGTGGGGTGAGTAAAAATGCCCGAACCAAGTCTAAAAACCGCCCGGGACGATTCAGAAAGTAAAACGAGCCAGAAGTCGGCGAGTCGGAAAAGTTCCACGGAGTTTTCACGCGCACAGCTTGGCATCTGGAAGGGTTTGGGGTTGGGATGGAGACAGCTTAGCATCTAGAACGATTTCGGTCCGGTGCCAACCCTGACCCTTAGAACCCCACCAAAACCCAGAACCTCCTAACCCCAAGAACCCTAACAACCGTAAAAACTCACAAAACCTAAAACCATAAAGGCCTAGAAACCCGAAAAACCCTAAAAGCCCTGAAGCCTTCAAACCTTAAACCAAACCTACACCCCAAAACCCCGAAACCCTAGACCCTAAAAACCCGAAACCCTAAACCCTTGAAACCGTAAACCCTAAAGCCCTACAGCCTAAAAACCTGAAAAACCTGAACCTCCAAATCCTTGAACCCTAACAACCCTACATCAACCTGTTGTCATATTCCTGATTGTTTCCGACTCGGCTCCTTCCAATTTCCGATTCGGACCTCCCAGATATCTGACTCCGTTTTTGTTTTTCTTTTTTTTCCAACTCCTGTGCGGGACTTGGATCGTTCGTTTCTGGCACGGCCCGCGCTCCCTAGGCACCAGATGCCAGTCCAAACCACGCCCAGTTCGGATGAATTGCAGCCACAGCAGCGAAGAATGCCCCGAGACATGCCGGGGCCACTCCGTTGATGCACTGGTCCGTGTTCCAGGCTCGCAGGCCGCTGCAACACCTTGGTGGGTTTAGGGTTTAGGGTTTATTTAGGGTTCAGGGTTTAGGGTCCATGGGCTTGCAATTGGTTGCGCAATCTGATGCTCAGGATTCTCCGTTCCAGCTGAGGCTGCATAAATCTGCATGGCAGCCTCGCCAGCCTCTTAAAATTTTATCAGTTTGTTTTGACTACGTATCGCTTGACGGCGTTGGCCTGCCAAAGACGGCAACTTCGGCGTTAAGCTTCACAGGCACTAGAAGCTTAAGGTCTTTTTGCCAATTTAAGCCCGAGGCCCTGTAAAAGGAATCTCATCAAAGGTTTGATAGCCCAGGTCGAACACGCCGTGCAGCTGATACGGATCGGTCGGGAGCTCCCCGCCCCAACCCTCCAACCCCCCAAAACTCCTCCCAAGCCAAACCACCTGATGATCACCCTGTGTACTATCTTACTGAACGGCAACGCGCGCTGGGGTTTGTTTGTTTTCAAGGCCAAGCAGCGATTTGCCAGGCTGGCTCGGGTCCTGGGTCACATCGGCAATCTCGCAAGGTCTCACAGTGGCGCATGAGACATGTTGACAATATGGCATCTGTCAATGGCTCCTGGTTGGCCCCATGCCAGCGCTGGCGCTCATTGTCTGCAGAGCACGGCCGAAGCACCTGGCATCTCCGACTCCACATGCGCAGTGAAGGCTGTGATCTCGATCCTCAAACTCAGCACCAGGCAGCCGTGCCCTTGCCATCAGGACTCGTCCTTATCGTAGGCATATGTAGGCACTCGAGTCTTCTCCCACCATCGTGTAGTCCCACCATCCGAGTACCGCAGGCTGAGCCCCAGACCCAGGTCCGCCCTCGTACGTCAGACATCGGCCTGTCCAAAGTCAACTTGCCAAATATCTTCAGAAGATTCCAGAACTGGTCAGACAGATAGCTTAGGTCTCTGGGATTTAGGCACCATCACGTTGGATCCGGAAAGTCTCTTCTGGGATCAGGCCGCCATCCTGGCTCTTTGCTGGCACCGTCGCGCAAGTGTTGGCGACGGACACGAGGCTTGCAGATGGCAGATGACTTTTGCAAGCGCAAGCTCCTCGTAGACATGCTTGAACCGGTGCATGAACCACGCGAAGGACTTGCACCTGCTGGAAACAGCGCAGTCACATCTCGCCTGTGGTGCATGATAGCTCTGATCTTAGGCCTTGCAGAGCCATAAAGCGGCTTCAGCCCTGAGCAGAGCACCCCAGCCGCGTTTTCACGTCCAGGATGTTGTCCAGGTTTCCGTACCTGCAGTCCACGATGCAACCAAGTGCTTCCCAAAACCGGTGCAGGCGAGGTCACCAGGGTGTGCCGTCCGCATTCCTCCTCTCGTACTGCAAGCCGGGGAAGGACGAGAGCTTGAGAGAGAAGTCGCCGAACCTTCTTTCCAAAAAAGGGCGCTCTTTCCAGAAAGGGCTAGTCTTGACCGATCACGTTGCTCTAAGAGGCCCGGCCAAGCCACAGCCGCGCGCAGCCTGTTCCGTGCAGCTGCGCCTGTGTATCATCAGGTTCCATGCTTGCGAGTTCAACACTGTGGCCTCTCAATTTGGCATGTGAAGGCAAATCTTGGTACATAATAACCAAGATGACACAAGATGTTGACGCCATGCTGCCTGCCTGCTTGCACCTTGTAGTGAGCCCTGGTTCTCGCATCGTTGGCCGAGCGCCACATGTGGGCAACGAACGAGTCCTGTCAGAGGTGCTCTTCCCTCACGGCAAATGTGTCTCTTCGCTGTGAGAATCCTGCCTGCGCCATCATGATCTCACCGCCGCAGAGCCAACTCCTGGATGAAGGTTGCTCTCGGCCAGTGCCATGTGCTTCAGAACGGGTCCTGAGTGACTGGTCCAGGTTCTCTCCGCCCCATCCAATCATTTCCACATCGTAGCCTGCTTCCACAAGAGGATACAGAGCCAGATGCTACCAGATGTGCAGCCGCAAGCATGAGTTCAACCGCAAATGCCTCCGGTCTCGTTCCACCATCTCTTGCTGATGCCTAAGAGCCCACCAGAGAGGATGGGCACGTACCTCGAACTGACTCCATCGAGGACTCGGTGCGCCTCTCGTATGGTCCATCGATGTCGACTCTCCAAACTTAGACTCTCACGGATCGTCGGAGGTGAACCATTTGAAGTCCGCGTCCCAAGTCAGGTAGCACTTGGCCTGCGAAAGCATACAGTGCGATTGGTGACATGCCAAGCCAAAGTCCGAAAGCTTCGAAAACCCCCAAAAAACTACGCAGCGAGGCTTCCGAAGCAACCGGAACTACCGGAGCTGCCTGTCCCTGGTTGCCGCCCCTCTGCTGCCATGTCCTGTGATCCAACGCATGCTGGCAAAGCAGCACGGTGCAGAAAGCACGTGCGAGAAGCCGGTCCCGACATCAAGGTCCGTTATCACAGGTGTCACGATTCGGCGGTAGTTTTCACCAATCAGCCTGCGCAGGATCCAGGTGGCATTCACGTGGCATTCGCACCGCCTTCGTGGAGTAAGACAACTTCTGCTAGCCTGAGAAAGGACTCGTGCCAACCGGGCTGTGGAGCCACGTGGCAATCAAAAAACACTACCTCAAAGAGTGGTTGAAAACCACGGTCTTTGGGCGCGAAAGCATTCTCCATCTCACCACAGGCCAAACACTGAGATCCCAGCAATGTCACCAGTTGCAGCATCACCACCATCCTCACATGCATCAGTGCTCCAAACGCAACGGAAACTGCTACGCCAATCTACGCCACTGGTCAAGTCTCGTGCATGGCCGCTGCCGGTCCTTCTTTGCACCAATGAGACCAACTGTTTGGGCCTTTAGGCACCACAGAAGCATGAGACAACAGATGCGACAACAGATGCTCTTTGCTACAGGAACAAGCCCAATCACGTTTCAGCATAGGCATAGTGTCACCTTCCACTGATATTGTGAGGCCGGTGCATGGCGTATGATGGTGACCCTGTAACGCTTGACCACGTCACGGGTCAAGAAAGACTCTGCCAGTGGTGGATCGGAGCCATCGTCTACAACGATAATCTCATGCAGGACGTCCGCGGGCAAGGACTCGTAGACCGCCCGAACAGTGTTCAAGGCATACTGTCCCTGAAAGACCCAGACATACAAAGACATGCAAAGACGAGCGACATGCAACGAAAACTTGCAGCGCCCGTACAACATGACTCGCATGACTCGCTCCTCGCCAGCACACGGCAAGACGACAGACAGCCGCTGCAACACCTGCTCGGTGGCTAAGCTTGCAATGTTGTCACCTCAGCACACAGACATCCCTGTGACATCACCGACATCACATGACATCACCTCCTGAAGAGAGAAAGCACCTGCTGCGGGTGCAGTGAGGATCTGAGCGCATGGCCTAGCCCCATTGCTGCATCCGAGGCCTCTGGGCTGCTCGCTCTCCAGAGGATGATGAACCAGACCTCGCCGTCAGAGCAGGAGAGGAGCACCAGCACTTCTCAGCGAATTCCCACTCTTTTCAAAGACTTCTCAAAGGCGGCGCTTGGCCTCTGCTTCTTACGTGTGTCCTTTCCCCTTTTCCCCTTACGCAGAGCGCCTTGCAGCGTCCTCTCAGATCCCTGCCTTGCCTGCAGCAGCCACAGCACCGAGAGCCGCAGCAAGGCCGGCACCTCTCGGGGGATCCACCACTTAGCCACTTTCCACGCCACTTTCCGTTCACGTTCTCACAAACGCAACTGTCGCGGTGGGGCCGTGTTACCGGCGATAAGACTAGAGGAGAACTGTGTCCGATGCAACTTGGCCATCTGAGTCTTTTTCAAACTGAATGGTCACAGTGCAAGTCGGTAGGCCCGGCACCCGCAAGCATGGAAGCAGCTTCTTGGCGCGATTGCCGAAGAGCTTGGCGCGGATCTGACCAGCAGGGCACAGGCGCATCCGACGCCATCTTTCAGCATCCAACTGCAAGAATGCCCTTCCTAGTCCACCCCTCCACCCCACTTCCCGCCTTTGGCACCTCCAAGGGGGTTAGCAGGGCCGCCAGAAGTAGCGGTATCAGGTGAAAGCACCCTAGCAGCAAGCTGACAGAGGGCACCAGCCATATCAGGCCGACCCGGATGGTGTACTTCGGTACAGCACCTGAGAAGCAAAATGGATGGAGGAAAGTGAGTGAGTCGGTCAGTCAGTACCGTGGTGAATGTACACACTAATATGTATAACACATAGTGAACCAGCAGTCTAGGCGCACCAAGGTCTTTAGGTATGCCACCTGCGCTAGGTGAAATTAACGAAATACAACGCACTTCTCGATGAGGCCATGGTGTGCTCGGTTTATCCAATATGCACGTCACAGACGGGATGAGGATCAGACCACGCCAGATCCTGTTTAGTAAAGCATTTGGAAGCATACAAAACGCAAAGCTGGGCAGCGGCCACTTTCACCTCGCATTCTTTGGCAAGCTTTTCTGCCAGCATTGAGGCTTAAAAGGGGGGAAGATTCGGCGAGGTCATACCGAGGCCCTGAACTCATACTCATCCTCAAAACACACAACAATCACTGTTGAAACATCTCTTTTTCTAGACCCAGGCACTCTTGGGCGGCATCTGCTTTGCGAGGTGATGTCTATCTTGGTTTTGTTGCGGCCATTCGTGATACTTGCTGGCTGCCTTTTAGGCTCCCTAGCAGCAAAAGCCGCCTGCTGCAATGAATCCTAGACTCTTAGACTAAGTCTGCGCAAGCCTGGGGCAGGCAATGTCTTACGTGGCCGGTCTAGGTCATGGTTGGTTGGACTGACACAGACTACTGTTGCTACAGCTAAGCTGGGCTACAAGGTCTGAAGCTGCACTTCAACCTGGAGCCACATCCAACGGCCAAACACAACTCATGCCATCCATGCTTGATCGCAACTCCCAGGGCCCTTGCTGTCTGATTCCGAAACGACAGATCCAAAAGACAGATCCAAAAGATTCCTAAAGGCATTGGCATGTGATGCCATGTGACAGACATCTCGTGCTGCAAATGTTGCATGCCTGTCGCGTGCCAAGATTTTCGCACCACTGCCCGCCATACGTGGTCTGCATGGCCAATGCAAGGCTGTGAAGCTGTCTCGTTGACCTCGGTTCCACGCTTGCCCCCCAACTTCTCGCTCGCAACTGACTTCTTTTTGGCTTGCGCCACTATACTGGTCAGCATTCAGCACACGCTCCAAGATGTCCGTGATCAGAGGGTCTCACGATCCGCGACAAGCCTCCTTCTCGCCCTCTCCAAGCCCAGCATGGCAACCGAAACTCCCACGTGCAGACGGGTTCAGCATTCAGCTTCAGGAGGTCCGATCTCTGAGACCTTCAAACGTGACTCGTGTGGTTCTCACACGGTAGTGTTCACGAGTGCGTCTTCGGCAGTCTTGAGCACTGCATTGGCTTCGTCGTTGACTTCCTCCACCACCGCCTCAGCTCGATCCACCGCCACCGCCGGACCACCGCCTGGCCAGGGAGGGCTGTAGGGCACCCTCTCTTCAGGGGGCACCCAGCCGTAGTTGTAGTTTGGGTCGCCCGGGCGAGGAGGGATTGGCTGGACTGGTGGTGCCGTGCTTGGAGGAGGCCAGAACGGACCCGGAGGAGTCGTGCCTGGGACTTCCGTCGGCAGTGAATCTCGTTCCTCCTGTTCCTCAGCGGCCTCTATCGCTTCCTTGCTGAGCTGATTCTTGAGGATGCTCTTTGCCTCCGGTGGAATCAATTTGGCTTCATCGGGCTCGTCATCTTCGAACGTCCCGACCTTGATTGGATCTTCAGGCGGAGGTGCTGGTTTCGTCTTCTGTTCCACGATCAGACCCGGCTTGGGCTCGAATGGCTCCTCTTCCGCGAAGACTTTCTTTGGCCGTCGGCCTCGAGGCGAAACAGGCACCGGAGCCGGGGCAAGATCACCGCCCAACTCTTCTGGGGGAGTCGGTGGATCTCGAGCGGGGCGCTGTGGCAGACGCCTCGGTGGAGGCACTGCAGGTGCAGTGAAGGGCACCTGAGGCTCCTCGGTATTGGCCTTCGCCTGCTCCTGGCGAGCTTCACTCGCTGGCTGCTCCCAGGGCGAGTTCGAGGGTGGAGGTCTGCGGTGGCGGTGGTGTTGGGTTGAGGTGTTGCGTGGGCTCAGTTGGCGGCTTGGGCGGGCTGGGTTGGGAGGTTGGGTTGGCGGGTTGGGCCGGTTAGGTTGGCGCGGGTTCGGCGGCTGTCTTGGGGGGGAAGGTTGGCTTGGATTAGGTTCGGGTTCTTCGGGCGGAAACCACTTCTTCTTCGGCGGCTTCAGCTTCCTGCAGAATCCATGGCTTCGGCTGCCATATCCCGGCATCCACCTTGGACACTTTGAGTTCCAAGGCTCGATCTTCTGACTAAATGGGTCATCCTCTGAAGATCCGAACAAGAAGGCTGAGGCAGCACTTCGGCTTCGATGGACAACTTTGATCGGCAAATCCAGACATTGCAGCTGTCCGTGGGACCTCCTCAATGAGGACTGACAGTCAGCCACGTCGGGGTGCTCAAGGTGCTGAGCGTGCCTCTGCATGGCCTCATTGCCTGTGCGTTGAGGTCCACGTCCAAGTTCACTGCTGGGAAATCAGAACAAACTCCCTTGTGCCGATAAACACAACCGGACGTTGCCAACGTCTACCCACGATGCCATGAGAAGAAGTAGGAGGAGCAGCAGCAGCAGCGGTAGCAGAAGTAGCAGCAGTAGCAGCGGTAGCAGCAGTAGCAGCAGTAGCAGCAGTAGCAGCAGTAGCAGCAGCAGCAGCAGCAGCAGCAGCAGCAGCAGCAGCAGCAGTAGCAGTAGCAGCCGCAGCCTCAAGTCTATAAAACCTGGGCCCCGATTATAGACCCTTGGCCTTGCTACCTTTTCTTTGGGGGGATAAGACCCCTTCAAGAGATGTGCATCTCTATATCTTTAAAAAATATACACTAATACTAACAGGGTATATAATCGCATGTCACGAGGCAACAAACATCAAGGCCATCCTAGAAGTAGTTGAAATACTAGCACACACACACACACACACACACACACACACACACACACACACACACACACACACACACACACACACACACACACACACACACACACACACACGAGCAACAGCGCGCTTGATCACCTGGGTGACAAATGCAACTCCATTGGATAGATGTTCCTATGTACATGCGCAGGACAGCGCCCGGCATCTTCGCCAAGCGCAGATCATCAGGTGCCAGGGCACCACACAAAGGCTGCGCCGCGTCGCTAACTAGTAAGAGTAAACTTTTTCTGTGTGCCGCCGACATCTCTGGAAAGCACCACATATTCTGCAAAGCTTCTTGTAGTCAAGGCATTCACAGCTAGATGCGACACCGCATCCTTCCTGAGCTGGGCTAGCATAGGATAGTATGGCCCCGGCGCATGCATGAACAACGTAGCGACAGCATAGACAAGGCTCGCTGCACATGTCGCGAGCGCTTGCCGCAGGTCTGCTGGCATCACATGGGTCCTGAGCTTCCGTGCACCCGGCCGACTTCCCGACATTTCCCGACACAGCGGCAGATGCCAGGGCAACCGTGGAGCACGTCGTGCCGTTTGCCATTCTTATCCTTGAAAGCCAGCCGGTTGCGGTGCAGAAAAGTGCGGCCACACCACTCCTCGGCCCGAAGGTTCAACGGATGCCAAAAAACAGCCTTTACTCGCATGGTCTCCTCACATCTCCGTCGTCACAAGTCCAAGCATCCTTATCTGCAGAATGTGTCGTCGTCGTGGTATACAGCCAGTCACAAGCAACAGGGTGACCAACGTGCGCGGTCTGAGCTCGGATTTGATGGCCTTGGCTGAACCTACCTCTATGCGCGTTCCCTGACCTCCCTAAAACCCTAGAACTCACTACTTTCGTTCTCTCATTATTATCGCAAGTGAGGAACGAACACCAGTTAAAGATTCGTGAACGCGGAAACCAGCCCAAGAATCGCTCCGTTCATTCATATATTTTGGGTTCGGCCGGTCCACACTAACAGTCACCACCAGCAGACCCACAAATAAAAGCACCCGGTAAATGCCAAAAAATTGACTGAGATTCCTGCTATTGCTGGTGCTATTCCTGGTGCTATTTCTGGTGCTATTTTTGGTGCATTTTTTTGTGCTATTCCTGGTGCTATTTCTGGTGCTATTTTTTGTGCTATTGTTTGTGCTATTTCTGGTGCTATTTTTTGTGCTATTGTTTGTGCTATTTCTGGTGCTATTTCTGGTGCTGTTGCTGGTGCTATGTGACTAACAATCACCATCAGCAGACCCACAAAAAACAGCACCCGGTAAATGCTAAGCTGCTAAAATTGACTGGGATTCCTGGTGCTATTTCTGGTGCTATTGTTTGTGCTATTTCTGGTGCTATTTTTTGTGCTATTTCTGGCGCTATTTCTGGTGCTATTATTTGTGCTATTGTTTGTGCTATTTCTGGTGCTATTTCTGCTGCTATGTGACTAACAGTCACCACAAGCAGACCCACAAAAAGAAGCACCCGGTAAATGCTAAAATTGACTGGGATTCCTGGTGCTATTTTTGGCCTGTGTGTTATAAGGCCACGGCGTTATTTGACTGTTAGTGTGGACCGGCCGAACCCAACATATATTCATTCACTGGAACTCCCTCATGATGGATTAACCAGAGCGAGTGAGGTGACAGTACGAATACTAAGGTAGTAAGTATATGGACGATATCGGACAATCCCAAAAAAATGGAAAAACCCTGAAGAACCCCCCACCCCCCCCCCCCCCCCCCCCCCCCCAATATTTGGCCGATTTTGGGCCCTTTCCGCAAGCGCCACTTGCCCAACTTCTGCAGCTGCCAGACTCCAGACTCTGCAGGGAAGGTACGTCGGCCAGTGTCGATTTTCATCGCCAGCAGGCTGCATGACTGCCGAAGCCCGAGATGGGCAAGAACCTGTTCTCCCCCGGCTCTCCCACGCAAGATGAGAATGTCATGGGATGTTGCAACAAGGGGTTATACGTTCTGCTTGTGTTCAATGAGTCTGGCCTTCAAGTGGCTAAGACTCCGTCGTGCCCCAGGCACGGCCACTTGGCTTGGGCGGCTCTCCGAATCCTCGGCAGAATCTGTCACCAAATCCCGAGGCGATACAAAGCCACGATGGACAACCAGACATCGTGACATCAAGGCGAGCCAAGATTAGCCAAGTTTCCTTTTCGACATAGACAGGCAGGTCCAAAGTGGTGCGAGCGGGTGGGACCAGGCCATGCACGAGGACCAGGTACTCCCGATCCAGCTCGCGGCGCAGCAGCTGCAAGTCCTGGAGTCAGAACAGCTTCCAAAGCCCTGACAGCCTGCGATACCTCCGCATGCCTCCGCCGCCTTTTGCCTTTTGGGGAGCTCGGCTATTCAGCTTGAGGCCAGCGGCAAGATCGTGGTAGGCTGCATAGCTCTTAGCGTGTAGAACGAGGCCAGACGTGGACACCTCAGTGCTTACGCAGACATCAATGTTAAAGCGAAAGGTTATGGATGAGCTCGAACCAAAGAACAAAATGTCCTAGGCTAGAGATCCACACTTGCCCTGCCAGGTCATGGATGGGAGGTGAGTCCAGAAAAGTCGACCATGGGTCGGTAATGAAGTGTCTTCAATCCCAGTCGCATCCAAGCGGTGTAAGAAGCCGTGAGAGCTCTGCACGTCATAGACGATGGGGCAACGTTGCGGCACGGTCCATCGCACAAATGCCTCAGGGCCAAAACTGCCAGCACTCTGGCCACAGCACTTCGACTGATATCACATGATGCATCATGCTCCTCATGCTCTTCCTTCACCTCAGGTACCGGCGGAGAGCTGGTGATGTCCAAGGCTATCAGGACTCTGAACTTCCCAGCCTGGAGGCTTGTAGAAGACCTGGCCAGAGGCACCAACAGAGGTTGTGAGACATCTGGGAGTGGCCCACTTGTGCAGCCGAGAATCCGATCGATCAGATAGATCCAAAACTACACCTGAGAACGGAGCTTGTCTGTTTGCCCGTGGGCAGGCATCTGCCACAACAGCGTTGCCGAATGCTGGCTCTCAAGTTGGGCTGATCATGGTCCACTCACTTCAGACAGGCAGTTGCATGCAGTTACCATCCTCATGCTGCCACGCTCGCAGCAGGTCGCAGCTCTGAGGAAGCCACGCGGCATCTCTTCAGAGCCCACACTGAAGCCTCCTCAGCACTGACAAAAACTCCACGCGCGCCCTGCGTTGCGGGACTGGTACTCTGATGTACTCTGCGTGAGGGAAATTAGGGAAAAAAGAGAAGTTCTCTGGCACTGCGGGCTTGAATGTTGGGAAGCAGGCCATATTGGGGATGGGCCCATATGTTCGAATTTACGGCTTGGGGGGAGACGGTCTTGTGGCAGGGTTTAAGCTTGGGGAGCTGCGAAAGTCGATTTGGGGCGAGGGCCTGCACTGTGCTCAGGCTCGGGAGGTGGATTCCAAACTTCAGGTTGAGGGTTTCAAAGCAAAAGGGAACCGTAAATACCGACGCTTCGGATCCAAATGCGGGAGCCAAGCACCAAAAAAACAGACGGAGACTCAACGCAACTTTGCATCAAGGTGCTTTCACTCGGGTGCTCAACCGGCAGGACCACATCCTGGATGTTGCCTAACCTGGTGTGATTCGTGCCATCCCACGCGACGGCGGAGAGTCAAAGACACTGCCCCAAAGCAAACATCAGCCGTTGCATAAAGATCCCACTAAGACATGCATGGGCGAAGAGACTAAAGCTCCGAGGTACATGCTTTTGGACTTTAAGCATCTTTAGGCTGATCGCAACAGCACTGCATCCGAGCATCTGTCGAAGCTCTGCCTCTGCGCGCTTTTCTGTCTCCCTTCGCACGGGGCCCGCGGACCTGGCGAACATGAAAGCCGCCCGGTATGGTGTGCTGGCTATCTTGCGTTGCACGAAGCGACAATTTTTCAAGTACGGCCTCAACTGTCTCAAAAGTGCTTTCACATCACGGGCTCGTTGCGCGGCCGCTTCTTTGCCAGGCCCAAGACGCAGCCTGGCATGTGCTTGTGATTGACATGCCACACATCGTAGCGTTCATGCGTTCTGCAAGGCAGGCCTTCTTGCGAACTCATGCTCTATCGCTTCGAAAAGCTGAGAGCTCATCATATCCGCGGCGTCATAAGCCCAAGCGATACTCGAGAGCTCCTTTTTTGCACACGGATGCTGAGTCGGTTCATATCAAGAGGTGCCTATCGTTTACGAGGTTCCATGAGCAAGAACCCTTGGACCTTGCAAAGGTGTTTGCACATGCCAGAAACGTGGATATGATATCATGGCACTCCCGACAGGGACAACCGTCCAACTCCTCACCATGCGAAACAAGCTACTGGGAACAATAAAAGGCCATCAAGGTCTGAGCACCCTCACCGCACCGTGCTCGGGACCAATAACATCAAATAAACACCTACAATGACCGACCTCAACATCGCAGGCACGCAATCAGATACAGTCCTGAAGGCTGTGCCCGCACATCGTTTCTTTCACCCGCGCTTCTGCGGCCGAGAAGAGCACAGGTGCTCTGATGCCTCAGAGCTCGTGTATCCATTCACTCGTCCACATCTGCGACATTCAGGCAGCTCTGCAGATCTCTGCTGTGTGGATTGCCAGTGCCTGTGAAGAACAAGCGGTCATCTTGAGCTAAGCTATTGATGACCAGCTGCCCAAATGAGAGTAGGCCCACAGCATATTGGCCAGGTCCTGCATGTTGTACTTCTTTACAACCACTGATCCTGAAAATACCTCTCATCTTTGTGCAACACGAGCGCACTCCTGGCTGTTGAACTGCTCCAGGGCATGCAATGCTCGGCCGCACAAAGAGTCGAACAACGAAAAGTGTCGGCGTCCAAGCATCGCGAAAGACCTTAAGACATTCCAAATGCATTCTCACCGACATCGTTTCTAAGGCGAGCACCATGCCAGATTCGATATGTCTCGCGGGGCATACCAACCTTGTCATCAGCATTGTCCACTATGGTCAGCACACAAATACAGCACCTTGTTCTTTCTTCCAGTAGACAAGGAGCACTTCTCGTCCGAAGCAGCATCTGCAATGGCACCGAACAATGGGCCGTTCGAAATGCCTCCAAGCAATGTGCCGAACAGAACGAGCACATCACAAAACTGGCATCAAACAGAAAGCGTTCGTCGGACGGCGGGGACCTTTAGCTGCGAACGCCCAGGCCAATTGACCACACCTTAAGTCTACTTCAACGGCAGTTCGACCGTCCAAGTGCTTCATAAATCGCACTTGAGCTTCGGCTGAAAGCAACAGGCTGCATGCATAACGAATGTGTGAATGAAGCTGAGAAGTGGAAGAGCTCCAGCATCAGCACCAGTTTGCTCTGCAAAATCTCCAAAGCAATCGAGTCGAGGCACAGAAACCGTGGATTGAAATCAGGAATTCGGTGGACGGAAGCTTCTGCGACGGCTGGGAGCACGATGTCATAGTGCTTTCCCAACCTGAGATGGCGCATGCCTTTGAGTTCCAAGCATCGGAACTGCACAAACATGGCGAGAGGTCTGACGAGGCACGATGCGAATGACCATGCGAAGCAGCATAAGTCCTTCGGAATTGCACATTTGCACCTCAACATGAGGAGGGAAACCCCACAGCCCATTCTGCTCGCGCATCACATGCATCACATGCGCTAGAAGAAAACAAAGACCTGCTGGGCACGGCACAGCTCGACGCACCTGGACAGTCAACAAACTGAGCGCCCGCTGTTGCGCAGGCAGCTCTAGCGACTCTAGCGCCATCGCACTTGGCGACGTCAAGAAGGCTCGTCTTGTACATACTAGGGAGGTCGTCCTAGGCCGCTCCTTGCAAGGACTGCAGATTCATGGCTTGCTGAGTCAAAGCCGTGCGCCTCCTGGAAGCCACCACAAGAAATCGCTGAACCTGGCGGTAGCAGCGATATCTATACACAAAACCGGACCAGCACCGGACCGTCACCAGAGTGTCCAAAAACTTACAAGGCCGACCTCGGAGCTCGCCGAAATTGCCTCGGCAGCTTTGCACCAGACCAGAGCTTGCATCATGTTCGCCAGGTCCTTCCAGTGCATCTTTCAGGAATGCAGAGAAGCGAAGCCTTGTCACAAGATCAGCAGTGCTTCGGCCTGGGCACCGACAAGGGCAATTCTCCTGCTCGCGTCAAGTCATGGATGAGGAACTCGGGGTAGCGCTTAAGAAACGGCTTGACGTGGTGAAACCTGGAGAGCCTGGTTGACTCGGCAGCCAAAGCTCGGAACAGTCGAGGCTCGTCGGTGGCATGGCCCAACACTCGGTTTCCAAAAGCATTCATCGAATCTCTCTACGGTCAACACTCGAGATTGCTAAACATCTGCTTTGCGGCACACCTGCAAAGGAGTAGGCAACCTTGGCCATGCCCCCGGTGTTGAGGTCAGCAAGAAGGCGATCCTGCACTTGTTGGGAAAGGACTCGGAAAAGTCCAGAATCGGCCACGCCTCGGCTCGAAACATTGCATCAGCAGCTATATAAGGAAATACACAACTTCTGCAGTTGCTGAAACTTTCCGCTCTTGGAACCTTTGTTGTCCGAATCTGTGCTGAGAAAGGGTTCCATGATTTTCCCTTGAGTCTATCAGGAGCGATGTGTTTCTGATTCTTGGCAAAGCTTTGCCATGCATCATCATTAACCAACAGGAATGGCAATATCAGCTTAGTGTAACTTACATCTCGAGATGCCCTGGTTTGGAATAAACATTCCTCTGAATATTCCTTGTTCAACTCCTGCTACTTGTGCGGCTATCGGAAGGACGACTTACGGCTCTGCGGCTTGCACCAGCGCTTGCTCCAGCATGTGATCCAGCTCCAAGCACGCAAAATCTGAAATCTCCTTGAATCATTTTTGATGCTTATGCATATATATATATATACACATATATATATACATATGTACCTATGCCTCTTAGCTTTGCTTATGCATCTTACATGCTGTTGAAAGTGTGGAATGTCATTCATGAAAGTGCGAAGCTTCCCGGGAATTGCAATGTTGCCTGTGTCTATTGCGCCATGAGCTGCGTACACACGGTAGCAGCAAGTGAGGTGCTCAGTTGGCAAATTCAGCTCTAAACTAACCAGGGCGCGCACCAAGCCGTGCAAACGAGGAGGCTATGACACTGGCATCCACTGCTGACAAGTCCTCGGCACAACGAACACCACGAGACCACACCTCAACTTGCTGGAAGGCGTCGCGAGACATCCTGGGGTTCCATTCTATGCAAGCAGGTATCGTTGCCGTGCATCTGCACTTCAGCACTGAGACAGCGCAACAGTGCCAAATCCTCGACATCGAAAGCTGCCAATGCCCAAGCCAACTTCCTTGCAGCAGAGATGTGTAGTTCTCTAAATTACGGTCCCTTTTTGGGGCCCACATGCGGCAAGCACAGGTATGGACATCACGGCACATTGACAAATGCTTTCCGGGTCTCTGAATGTCCCGAACATTCATTGCCTTCGGAATGGAACTAGGCAGGTTAAGAGGCATACAAAGTCACGAGGTTTGGCAAGGGATGTGCCTCTCCAAGCTGAGCTCGTCGAAGCACCTCTCCGGAGATGCCTGCGCGAGAAGCTGTGTACTATGTTGTATTGTATTGTGTACTATACTATACAAGGAACCCTGCAGCAGACGGTCGTCACGCTGTCCAAGCTTGGCCAGAGCCCAAGCACTGTTTGCCAGCTCTTGCAAGCTTGCTGCCTCAGCTATTCATGATTCTTCTTGGTGTTGGAACTCCCAAGTAGAAGAACTCCACAAACTTCGGAAGCCTGTGGTGCCAAACCCCAGCTCTTGCATTTAGTTCGCTTCACAGGCTCTGCGAGGCACCCCAAGTGCACTGCAAAGGCCCTCCCTGAGGCCCAGACCTGAAGTTGGGCGAGCAATGCTGTAGCACATTTCGAGGCCATGGGCCTCACGCAAGTGTCTCCATCCGCCTCAGAAAGGATTCCCGGAGGCTGCCATGGGGAAGCGAAAGCGAGGGCATGTTATCTGTCGTCAGGGCACCAGGTAAACAGCCGCTACCAGGGTGGCTCGCAATGCTTCTGCATCCATCTCGCCCCTTTCACCAAAAAATTCCTGGGGTAAGCAGCACAATATGAAGTCCAACTGATGCAAGGCAATTGCAAAACAGACTGCGTCGCTTTCCAAGGCGCAAGAGCAGCCACGAGGCTCTGGAAAGGCTCTGAAGTGGTCAAGCTGCTCGGATGCCGCTTTCGGTATCCTTGCGATAGTTGCCATAATTGCCGCCGCTACGGCCCCAAGTTCATAACTGTAAAGGCTACTGTGGTTCTTGTGGTGATCTTCAAAAACTTTCTCAAATCGAGCCACGTGTGCGCCCCAGGCGGCTGAAGCAAGACACCGCATGGACGAAGCTGAACTCGTGCAAATGATCTTTAACGAATGCCTGCGCTAGACAAGTCAGCTTCTTCATGTCATGGCAGGAGCTCGATGCAAGAAAAGACGCAACCCTTCAACCAACTAACTCTTCAGCACCATGCCACAGCTACCATTGATGCAAGATGCCAGGATGTCTTCAGGTTCAGCAAGCCGTCCGATGTCCTGACTGAGCTGAAGAGCGGTGCCCCGCTGACGTCGAGAACTTCGAGAACGCCTCTGCAGGAATCGGGGAGGAATGAGTCAAGGGTTCAAGTTGCACCATGTTGCACCAAGTTGCACTAGTTCCGGGACTGCTCTCACGAGTGGCAGCATGTGGCAACTTGACATGGCACGATCTGCCTCGCGAAGCACCTCGCTCGTCCGTTGTGCGATCGCGGGACACGCGGTATGGCCATGAGCAGGACCTGTGCTTCAAATCCGCACACCGTGCCTTGTTATGAAACGGTTCCATGAGTGGTCATGGCAACAAGCCGAAATAACATCAGCCACGATGCTGACAAGCTCAAAGCGTTCCATCCACAACTGCTGGTTGCCAAGGGGAACAAGGCATGCCACCTCCAAACCAGAACGTCACAGAATGTTGGGGCATGCAGTCTGCTTATGTCTGCTTGAAGTCTGCCGGTGCTAGGCCTGGACAAGCTGGGGCTTCCTCCTGCTTGAAGGTTGCAGGGCCAACGGCTCGACCTTGTCTAGAAAAACATCAAAGTGGAGAATGCTGCGACACCGTGCTTGGAATCTGCTCGGATCCCGGCAGAAAGACAGGAAGGCCACCATCCAATGTGAGAGCCATGACCGTCCCCAAACACGGAGAAAGCTGGGAGTCACGATGTTGTTCACGCTTAACAAGTTGCTAAAGACTAAGGGCTTCCAGAACTTGCCAAGATTTGGGAGAGGCAGGACTAAGGGCTTCAGCCTCACCATGAGCTGCCAAGACCTGGGAGAGAATGTGCGTCTTGAGAGGTACGCACTCTCTCTACAGACTGCGTCGTCATGCGGGCCACTGAAAACTCAACTGCCAGTCTCCACTCCCACAAGCTGAGAAAAAAGAAGAACAGGGGAAAAAAAGAGGAAACAAGCGCTTGTTTTACAACTCTCGCCGTCGACTGGGCCGGACATTGCACTGCGGTCGGCTTGGCTTGTACACTGCTTTAGCGAAGCAGTGGTCGCATACTCTACATCCCAAGGTCGGTGCATGTCTGAGGTCCTGGGCACTTCGTTCCGGATGCGTGGATCACATTTCAGCTATGCAGGCTTTGGAAGTACCCGGCAGGCATGCATGGCATACACGCCATCACGTGTACACGCGGCACGCAGCAATGCAGCAAATTTCAAAGCCGCCCCCAGACGTTGACGGCGCCTATTGGTTGGAAAAGGACCCATTGCTGGCCATATCACCGGCCGAAAACACAACAACGCTTGTAGTTCGCAAGGTCATAGCCTTCACACACGGCCAGAGCATATTGAGACACCTGCCCAAAGCTTCTGCATGCAGCCGAATGTCAAACTGCAGCTAAACGAATTCTCGGAGGATCTCGGAGGTACAGATTCCTCCTTGGCTTCAAAGCGAAGCAAAGCGAAGCAGAGTGCGGGGAAAACATGAAAGGTACATGTTCGGTACCAGGTAATGTATAGCAGCCGTCTGCAAGGACTGACCCAAGGCTACAAGACTTGGGACTGGTCGTGGGCTCTTCGACACCGATGTCTTCCGAATTGTCGGCAAGGATCACACTGCGATTGGCCAGTTGGTGCTCTCATGTGTGTGCTCACCATCTGTAGACATCGTTGTCACCCTGGCTCTGCGCACCCAGAGACATCTGTACATGCAGCTGTCAGCTGCGCCCGCACATTATCCGGCCTTCGGCCATATTCAAATGCTGTCTCCCTTCATCCTGTACCTGGCGCGCAGAACATGTTGCCAACAAGTGCAAGCAGCATTTGCCTGGAATGGCGTCAACTCATGCTCTATAAACCAACTAAGAAGCAGGATCGAAAGAGGGCGTATCACCCACACCTACACCCATCCGCTCACATGCCAACAGTGTCCTCCAAGCATCAAGTGGCAGGCAAGACCTCGCACGGTATTCTCAACTAAAAAAGAGACAAGGCGGAGTGAAAAGAAGTGCCACCGCAGAAATTGCAATGTTCGTTGGATGTTCGGGTTTGCTAGTGGGTTATGCATTGAGAGAAGGAAGAACTGCAGTTGCAGCATGGCTAATATGCAGGGTTAGCATGGCAATGTCCGGTAGGCGAAAGATGGCGAAAGGCTTCTGAAAGGCAAAGGCCAAAGGCCGCAAAGCAAATGTCCGGTGACTGGGTGACTACCCCCGTCCAAGCCTCCCAAGCACTGTGCTCTTGTGAGCTCAAGGTGACCTGCTCAGCAGCTTCTCACCATTCTCGCCATTCCGTTTCGTACACAACGACGGACTACCAATGAGACAAGCTTGTTCAAAGTTCCTTGCCTTGTTCGGACTGCGCGGGTCCACGTAGAGCCACAAACCACTGGATTGGTGCTGCAAGGAAGCACCTGGACCTCGGCCTGAAGCTGCACAGGTCATCTTCGCAAAAAAACGGCTTCGAAGGGACATCTTCCGACAACTTGCGACCATGGCGCTCCAGCGCTCACGCCTGCCGAAGCTGCGGCTGGAGCAACAAAGCTCCACATCTGTCCAGCGCCTCTCAAGTCTCCACATTGAAGAAGAATTTCCACATGTCCCATAAGATTCTCTAATCTTTATATCACAGCTGCAGAAAAACAGAAAAGCTGCCGATGCTCTTCGATTCTCAAAACACAGGGGTCCTCCGGGAGCCCAGGAAGCGGCCACAGGACGGGACTCCCTGAGGAAGAATCAACGTTTGGCACGCTGAGGTACGTTGCATTGTGCGGCCACATGCCATGATGTGCCATGCCTCTCACCTTCTAGCGCGCTGACTTTGACTCTGTGCTTTTTCTGCAGCTCAACCAGTCCCCCGAGATCCCACACCTCGTGCGCTAGGCCGAATTCCAGATTCTCACCTTCGAGTTCAGCCAGCCTCGCCAAGAAAGGGGGCCACATGACCTTGCCTACAATCTTGTATACCATTGTGGACACATCGTGCCCTACTGTCAAGTGGTCAAAGTCACCTTTCCAACAACCAGGCCTTGATTTGGACAACTGCGAAGAAAACGACGAAGCCTCCGTCTCTTCCGAGACCTCCGGGAAGATAAGCAGCAGATGCGGGAAATTGCAGCTCTGCGCCGGCCTCTGTGCTGAAAGAGCTGCAGGCGTCGGAGAGGCCTCCAAGCACACGAATCCGCGGCACAGGCAACGTCCGGCCCGGCACATTCCTAACTGGAGTGAAAAGAACTCTTGGGAAGCGCCTTTGCCAAGAACGCAGCAAACGAAAAGGGAGACGGGCAGCTCCTTAAGGCACACTCTCGGCACACTCCGCAAGAAGAAAGCAAAACAATAATCTTGCACAGCACTTCCCAGCTTTGCACAGCAAATACGTAAAATATACATAAACTTCTACAGAGGGCTGCAGTGATGGTCACCCATTCCGACCTCTACCCCGTCTTTCCAACCAACCTGGGTCAACCATGTCGGAGATACCGTCATGATGATGCAGGCGTCAGTCGACGAGCTGATTATGGACAGGTACCTCGAAACAGAACTTCGAACACTTCGCATTGCATTCTGCGACTGTTGTGGCGAACGGATGAAGGTACTTTTTTATTGAGTTGTGTTGATGCCATCGTGCTTTGTCTAGTTTCGCACTCATGTTGGAAGTGATGCAACGCAGCATATATTGCAGAGGCAAAATTAGACGTGTAGGCTACTCAGCACCGACAAACATGGGCTTCTTGCTGCGCACGACTTGGACTTGGTGAGCCATTGTTGATTGCTTGTCGACATTCTTCCAAGTTGTCCAAGCCAAGCCAAAGCCCGCACAACATGATCAACGTGCAACGTAGCCTCCCTTCCGTGAGAAGCAGTGCCCCCTGCCCCTTGTTCTTTGAGTCTTTGTCTTCATGACCATCCATGGCCCATGTCGCCGACGAGATGCCTCTTCGATTTGCTCTCGCGAAGGAAGACCCTGGCTTCATGCTCCAACCTGGCAAAGCTCAAAGGAAAAACATGGAAAAAATAGAACCCTTCTGTACGTAAGTATGCAAGCTCCGCACAGGCGCTGGTAGATTCGCCTCACCTTCCAAGCTTCCAAGTTGCAAATATGCAAGGCAAGCAAGGGTCCTTGAGGGTCCTTGTCCCGGCCCAGCCTGCAGTTGTCGCAGGGACCAGCGCCTGGCATCCAACCAAAGGCAGGCCGAAACTTTTTGCGGCTGCCTCCCACCTTCAGTTCCTCGGCCAGGAGCCCATCTGGCCCGCCCAGAGCTTCCTCCGAGCGAAAAGAGAGATATCAAAATGAAGAACGAGCAGCGGCTGAGGAAGCTGACTGAGACGAAGGCGAGGCGAAGCTAGGCTCCAAGCTGAGCCCGCCAGGAGCTCCTGCCAGGAAGGCGACGCGTTGGCCAAAATGGCTCCCAGCTCCTCACAGCGTCGTGATCGTTATCATCAGGGTCTTGCGATGTTTGCGATGTTTGCGATGTTATGCTCGCGACCTGAGAGCCGAGCCAAGACGAAACTTGCGATGTTGGGATGTTGAATGATGTTGACAGCGCGAAACCGACGAAATGAGCATCACACTCACACGGGGCCGAAAGGGAAACTTGAAGGCTAAGGCTAGGACGGGGCCTCCCCCAGCCCCGCCACGTATAGCTCCTTCAAACCCCTCCGATACAAAGGATTAAGCTCAAACGGCCCGCTGATGAACCTTCACTTGACAGCATGGGCCACAAAAGCCGAGGTTCGGCTTGTGCCACAGTTCGACTGTGCTCCCGCTCTAGATCCCATTGCAGAGTTTTTTACTCTTGATTCAACGGAAGGAATGTGTGCGCCAATGCAACAGACCCATGAGGCATCATTGGCCCGCCTAGTTTCTTGCCTGACAAAAGCTGGAATGGACGCTGTGACGCATTTCGTGCGCGTCTGGTCGGCCGGGAGAGTTTGGGGAGGCTCAAGGTTTCCACAAAGGCTTGGCCGGTGGTCTTGGGCCCCTCACGGCGCCAGCAAAACTTGTCCGGGCAGTCCCTTTCAAAGCTCCTTCAGAAGTGCTGCTTCAGAGGCACCTTTTGAGGTTATCCGAGTGCCTCAAGTGGGCCTCTTCAGGCCGATTTCTTGCTTTTCCCCCGAAGACTGCTTGCTTGGGGGTCCGAGCTCCTTCGCAGAAAATCAGAAACCATCGGCCCGAAAAGGGCCGAAGCCCGCCCCCAGCTCGGGGTCAAACAACAATGGAAAGCCTCCCTTGAAGGGGTTTGAACCCTGAACCCGAATCGTGGCCAGCGCCCGGCGCACGAAGGACGCAAACCTCAAGCGCACAGAATTAAAGAAACCTAAACCCTAAACCGTAAAACCACCATTAACCCTAAACCACCAACAAAGCGTGTTGGGGAAAATATCTCGGACCAAAAGGACGCCGATGCCCCACAGAGAAGATTCCAAAAAGCAACCATGACCAAGCTGCTACAGAGCTAACTGTCAGGACGACGTGGCTCCTGCACCCGCCGCGATGCCCCTCGGCGGATCTCTGCAATGCGCGTCAGGAAGGCTACAACGATTGCCTGCTTCTCGACAGGCACCTGCCTGAAAAGCACGAATGGTGAGGAAAGGTGAGGAATGGTGTGGAATGGTGAGGAATGGTGAGGTGTTGATATCCTAGCACAGGTACGGCCCACATAGTTCGGCTTGAAATACGCTCTACGCAGATAACCCCCACAGGAGCCATGCTTTTCCAGTCGCCTCAAGGCCTCTCCTCCGCGAGTGCCCGAGCAGTGGCGACAACCCTTCCGCAGAAGAGCAAATGCTGCCTGGAGCGGGACCCGTCTCTACAAATTGGAACCGCACACGGGGGCCACTACACATTCCCTCGCCTCGTTCTCGTTCGTAAAACGAACCTCCCCGGACATTGCATTGCAAACGGCTTCGATGCCGACAAGCAGTGCCTCCGGCATGCGTGATCTTTGAAGCATGAACGCAGTTTGAACGTCACGTGGCCAGAGCGTGAGGCGAAAAACATCACAAGGATCCAATAAGCGCCTTCTCTGCCTGGTCGTTGCCAGTGGCAGGACCACTGTTGCCGGCCTCATCAAGAAGCTCAAGAACTGTCAATGTCTGGAGGAGCTGATGGAACGGCCCGTTTGCTCTCTTTTCCAAGACAGCCGCCTACACCTTGTTTCAAGACGGTGTTCTTGGGTGCTCGCAGCTGCTCCTCCTTGTGCAGAGTTCGCCATCTACCTTGGTGCTTGATACTCGATTCAAGCTGCTGCATGGTGCTAGCACACTCTAGCCCATCAGGCAGAGGAGAAGCACCGAAAGGCACTCTATGACTTTATGACTTCATGACTCTGTGACTCTGTGATTCGGCGACCTTGTGACCATGTGATTCTGTGACTCTCTGATTCTATGGCTCGTGGCTCTATGGCTCTATGACTTGGCTTAGGTACTTCACATGACCGATCTTCCTCAGTTGCTAATTGTGCCGTTTGTTCTTCTCGGCTCTGCTCAATCTACCGCCTTTCTGTCGCCTTCCATACCATGCGTATAAAAGACTCCTCCTATCGGACTCGTGCCGGCGAGCTGCGCCAGGAGGCAACATGCCGCAGAATCCTTCTGGGCGGGCTACAGAAGCTGGAACGGCATCGGACACACCAACGGTGCCCTCGTTGCACAGCGCTGCTCAAACAAGTTGCCAGACTGAAGACATGACCAAACTTTTGACAAACGAAGGAAAGCGAGGAAGCTGGCCGAGGCAAGCTTTCAACATAATCCAACTACACGTACGGCACGAGTGCGCTGGACAATCTCTACTCTCCGGATTCATGTTACGTAAGTTCTAGCGGCAGTCCAGAGGACGCTGCAACTTTTCAACTTGCCGCGCAGGTCTTGTAGTCAAGCTGTCGCACATCCAGCATGAGTACGAGCTTATCCCTGGCAGACCTGTTTTTTGCATCACCAAAACAAGATGATGAGTGGGCAACAGCTGCAGGATGTTGCGACTCCGCATGATTATCTTCATCGGGCACTGCCATAAGCAGGCCCAGCTGAAGTTACAAGTGCCTGCGAGATGCAGCAGATCGGCTGTGGTCTCAGAAGGAGCTTACTCCATCAGGGTACACGGAGTCTGACAAGATTCCGCACATGCCGCAAACCGGCAAAGTAGATGGTCCTCCATCACATCCAACACCTGCCACGACAGGCTGCCACTGCTAGCTGCCACGATGCAACACGATGCACCTTCCCTTGTTGCTCACGTGCCTTGCTTTGGATCGAAGTCAGTCCCGCAGTATCCGGCAGCTCCCTCATCTGAGGAATGCCTCAGAACCCTGATGAAGCCATTCTCGCCCCACCACCTTCCAGGCAAAGAGCTTGCACGGCAAGCCGGGATAAGCCAGGCATGTTCCACGGATGTCATTCTGAGTGCAGCAAAGGCGCTCTCCCCATGAGTTGCGAACCTGGAAGGCATGACTCATATACAGCAGGAGTGTTGGCTCAGAATTCCTTACTTCAGAATTTGAGGGCCTGAAGTTACTTACGCATCGCGTTTTGTGCGCCCCTAACTGGGTGCCTTTGACTTAAGAATGTGAGCCCCTCCTGAGATCCAGCGAGGCCTTGAGGGCCGTAGGTGTTTTGGTAGCATAAAAGCAGGTGCCCCACCTCTAATCATCCTCTCCCCAGAGAACCTGAAGCAGGTGCCCCACCTCTCCATCAACCGCTCCCCAGAGAACATGAGCCCCTTGGATTCTTAGCTTCTTCGAAGGCTTTACCTAAGAATCTGAGCCCTTAAATTCTTAGCTTGCTAAGCAGGCAATCTAAGCCCCTCAGATTCTTAGCTTGTAAGATTTTTCACAAGCAGACCCCAATCACAGAATTTCCCCCCAATCAATTTCTGAGCCCCTTAGATTCTTAGCTTCTTAGCTTCTAATGGGCTTGACACAAGATGGCACATTCCCGAAGTAAGAATCTGAGCCGCTCAGGTTCTTAGCTTCAGCTCCAAGATCATTATCAAACAGGACGGGGTTGTAGGATGTCTTGGGCTAGTGGCTACAGCGTTCTTTTGTAGGGCCCTAGGTTGCTGGCTCGAATCCCAGTTCAGAATTAAGAATCTGAGGCCTCCGGAAGCCAGAACAACAGCAAAATACACCCCAAACGAGCCAGTCTCTAGTTAAGAATCTGAGCCGCCCTGACCTAACCCTCGCACATTCTTGGCTGTTTCCATCAGCAGAAGCTCATCAAGAAGAGACCGCCACAGCATCCGCCAAGCAACCAACCAGTAATCCTTCTTCACCTGGAGGACATAACACACGCCATCATGCACAAGGCATCACGGCCTCAAGCACTGCACACACGGAAACTTCTGAATGCATCCAAGACTCTGTCTCATCACGACCATACCCCACCAGAAGGACAGCATGGTTGACGGTAGCATCCCTGCGGACTGTCAGCCACTACAGATGCATTTATCTAGGTTTTTCGAGGGTGTTTGAACCCAGGGTTCGGAACGATGGTTCGATTGCCAGAGTTCAATGAAAGCTTGAGCTTTGAACTGATCAACTGGGTTTCCACATGTGAACTCATGGGTCAGGTATTCCATCAGGCCAGTGACGATGGCAGAAAGTAAGCTGCGTGCTTTTCATGGCCACCTTTGTACAGGCTGAACTAACCCTTGAGAGAGAAAGAGAGAGAGAGAGAGGCTGAACTGGGAGGATTCTCGCCAACTGTTCAGTCTGATCTTGGCACGTACGGCGCCTTCACCCTTCTTGACATTAATCTCCCAAGAGTCGTTTTCGCATCTTTGAGAGTTCTACGTTTCTCGCTTGAGGAGGGCCTGTCGCATCCAACTTCTGGAAAAGCTAGAACAATTCATTGAGGCTGTGAGCAGTGAGCAGTGGCCGCGAAATTCTGTGACTTTTCAGTTTCATAGAACCTCTGAACCTGTCATCGTGGGAGAACCACCCAACACAATCACAGCTCCTCCGAGCGCTCAGAAGTATCAGCGGTCAGGGTCACGGATTGACTTTGAGTCCTCATTGCTACCAAGCCATGTCTGTTCTTACAGGAAGCACGAGGGAGACTCCCGGCAAAGCAGGGCAGCCCAGGCAGCCCAGGCAGCCCAGGCAGCCCAGGCGCCGAAGAACTCTGCGTGTATAGTAATAATAACAATAATAACAATAATAACGATAATAACAATAATAACAAGAATAACAATAATAACAATAATAACAATAATAACAATAAGAACAATAAGAACAATAATAACAATAATAACAATAATAACAATAATAACAATAATAACAATAATAACAATAATAACAATAATAACAAGAATAACAAGAATAACAAGAATAACAAGAATAACAAGAATAACAAGAATAACAAGAATAACAAGAATAACAAGAATAACAAGAATAACAAGAATAACAATAATAATGATGAATAATAATGATAATGATAATAGTAATAATAGTAATAGTAGTAGTAGTAGTAGTAGTAGTAGTAGTAGCAGTAGTAGCAGCAGCAGCAGGAGCAGCAGCAGCAGCAGCAGCAGCAGCAGCAGCAGCAGCAGCAGCAGCAGTAGTAGTAGTAGTAGTAGTAGTAACAATAACAATAGTAATAATAATAATAGTAATAATAATCATCATCATCATAATAGTAGTAGTAACTATTCTTATTATTGTTGGTATTGTTGTGATTAGTGTTTTTGTTACTTTATTACTATTGCTATCAGTAATAATAATATTATTATTCCTGTGATTTAAATATATATATATATGTATATGTATACAGTATAAATATATATATATATATACATAATGCAACATTGTACTGTGTGTGAAATGGCAGCAACTTGCCAACGTTTGACGATACACATCCTCCCCTGCATGTGTTGTGTGCACTCTGTCCGAGCCTTCCACAGCCGTCGAACACTCCAGACTCGTAGCTTCCCCAAGGCCCTCCATCCACCGACACGACGACGGGCCCCTGCGACCGCTGCCAGTCTCAAGATTGTGCACAATGCGGCATCATGCTGCTCCGACTATGTCTCCCACATGCTGAATCGCCATCATGAGTGGTGAGAGCTTGTTCACGGGTAGCTTGACGAAGCCTGAGACTTGACATGAACCACGACACTAGATTCAAGAGAGAGAAAGAGAGAGAACTCCTGACCAAAAACTGCAAGCTGCAGGCTGCTCCATGTCAGCTCAGTAGCTGCTGGCTTTGACAACCTGGCAAATGTCAAATTCATGGCGTGTATGGGGTACAAGTGTAAAGCTTGCATTGCTTGCATCAGCTTGCGGCCGTGGTACTGCTGATCGAGAGCCCGTCTTGCATTGCTCCGTCGACTCACGGTCACCAGAGTAGGATGAACTTGCCTGGGATCTCGAGGGAGCGACATGGAGCGACACCACTTCCGCAAAACACGAACATGTTTCAAGATTCTTTGACGAAGCACGGAAAGGCCATGCATGGAGATGTACTCGAAGGCCAGCTCTCCGGTGGCCCCCCCGCAGCCACCATCTCCGCCTTGGGACAGGAATCTGATTCTTCCAACAATCAGAAAAAAGTGCCCCGACTTGACACACACCACTGCAACCCGAGCCACCACAATGCTGTGGGTTCTCCACGCAGTCCTTGGGTCTCCAAGCAGTGGAGAGCCGGGGAACAGAAAAGGATTGGCACGGGGCTATGCCACGTCTGTCATTCTCCAAGAGTCCACCAGCTCTTTGTAGGACAGCATGCTTGGGGCTTTCTTGTGGGCAATCTCAGCCTCAGGGAAATCTCAGCGGAATCCCATCAAAGGCAGCGGCAGTGACTGAGCTACCAGGAGCTACCGGAGCGACTCGGAGCCACCAGGAGCTACCAGTATATCCGACCATCTGCCACAAAGGCACCCTCATCTCCAGGGCTCCAGTTGCCGCGACGGCCCAGCAGGATCCACAGGCCCCTTGGTCGATGAAGTACCTCGTGCCGCAGTATCCACATTCCGCGTCACTATCCTACTCTGCACCCTTCTGCACCACTCATCCACACCACTCTGCCACTGCATCCCTACACAGTGGGCACTTTCCCGACCGCGTCTTCGAAGCCCAGTCCAGGGATTGAGCGAAGCTCTCCTGTCAACTTGGGATTCGTGCCAAGCTCCTTGTGATGGTAAGGGCCCTTGGAGTAGGCCAAGTCAGCAATTCCAAGCCTGTCCTGGGTCAGTGAGAGCCCCTTTCCTACTTCCTTGTTCCCCCGGCCTGCGCAACGCCAGTCTGCACAAGGGAGGTGGAAGTGCGGTTCCACCACCTCGGCTGACAGATGCTGACAGCACCCATCCGCAAGCGAATCATGATGGAATGGCGCAAGCTAACTCTGATGAGTGTGCATAAACGTGCCAAAGTGCGAACCCAGTCTGCGATATCCCAGAACTCGGCTGAACTCTTCATGTGTCTGGTCCTTGAGTCAAAGTCGGAATTGTTGAAGGCTTGCGTCATTCACTGTCTGAAGCCTGGACGTGAAAGTAAGCGTAAGGGCCTGACTGAGAAACGGTTGAGGGTAGCGGTCCATGTACCTCACTTGGTCAGTTGCTGCAGCTGCCGCCAAGAAGAATACCAGGCAAACAAGCACCTCACAAGGCAACCCCCAAGAACATTACTCCAAACACCTTCTTCGACTAGACTAGCCTGGTTGTCATACCCACGTAGGATGGTTAAGGCAGCGAGGGTGCGATCAGATCTCTTGTTGTGTTCGGCGACCTTCGCATGGCTTCGAGCAAATGCTGCCATCCGCTCTGATCTCGAGACCATGTCGCCCACGCGCTGCACACCTGGACATCCAGCACGCAACAGTGCCAAACACAATCAGTGGACCCTGGCGTGATATCCTTCGAACTTTATGGCAGAAAATCGCACAATATGGAAGATTGAAGATCCAGGTATTCAAGTGTTTCCAAGCCGCCATGACGCTCCAAGAATGCTGCCTGGGGTGATGCTCACTGCAAATCTAAAAATGCTATGAGTCATGAGAAGAGCTTTGAAGGACCAGATAGACACTGTGTCCAGCCGAGCACTGGGCGTACGCAGTCTCCAGGCTCACGCCTTCGATCTCTGCCGTGCGTTCAGACCCAAGCCTCTCGTGAACGGGGAAGGTAGAAAATCGGTGCGGAACATTGGGAAGAAGCTTGGCGGCCCCTACATGTAGTTAGTTTCAAAGTGAAGAAGACTGGTGCCCCACTGGTGCTCCATAGGTGCTCCAAGAGAGCCCTTGCCTTAACTTGCTGGCAAAGGCAGCGCCAAGAGCGGCTGCGAGCACCAACTTCATTCCTCCTCGCTTAAGACAACTCTGCTGACAATGAAAACCGTTAGTGGAATTTAGTGGCTCTGTTTGTGCATGTGAAGCCCTGGGCAAGAAAGTGTACCTGCGAAGCTTCGTTAATCGGGAGGCGCGACCTCTTCAAAGAAAATCACAGACAAACACTTCCGCAGACACAAGACAAACACAAGACGAAGGCCTTGGCACGGAGCCCAGATCACTCTGGGAGCATGTGAGGAGGTCTTGAACACAGCATTGCGGTTGATGAAAACCATGCTCAATTGCAGTCACTTGGTCCAGGGTGGGGCTATCAATCCGTGGAGATCTCCCTTTGTGGGAGCGGCGTGTGCTAAGGCGCGTATGCGTGTTGCAACAAGGGTCTGGCCAACTTGTCCAAGATTTTTGACTATCGCAAATGCATCAGCTACAGAACGCTGTTCGACTCTACCGGAACCAACGGTGAGGAACCCTTGCAAAGAAGGTAGCGAGAAACTAGCAAGCAGATTCTGTGCTACGTAACCTTGGGAAACACCAAACTGCTGCAACAACAGTAGAGTCTCACCACCCAGGATGACGGATGAGGGTTCTTTGGCTCTCACATGCTACAGGCAGCTGCTTGGTGCACGAAGCGAAGTTCTCATTGCAGGTAGTCACGTAATCAATTTTTAGCCGCGCAGCACGAAGGTGTCCGCATAAGCTTGTTCAGTTCATCACAGCCTGTACAACTCAAGCCCTGAAGCTTGCTGCAGCCCATGTGCTAGCAGTGTGCTAGCAGTGTGCGAAGGTGTCTGCAGTTGTTATGTTGGAAACGTTCTCCGCTTTGCCTTAAGCAGGTCCCCAGTGTGCTGATGCTGGCTTCTTGGTTACTTGGAGCGAAGCGGAGCATTGTGAGCGCGTGCAAATATATGCAAATATTAGGATCCCGACAGCTGGAACCCAAGTCCAAGCGTGAGGCCGACAAGTCGAGGAACAAGGAAGCGACAACTATCGACAATTGACATGTTCGACTATGTAACCGAAGCCTCAACAGCAGTCGGGACTGCAGAAAGTGCGCGGGGCATTGCCGGGTGCGACAGGAAACTCCGTACCTGAAGAGGTCTCGAAGCGGTCTCCAGGCTCTTTGGGACAATCCTGTCCACGACGCTCTTCAGCTCGTCACGTGAAAGAAGGCGCGCAGTGCATGCACTTGCATGTCAATGAAAGTTGCTAGCTGAAGGCATCAGTGCACCAGGGAGGCACGTTAACAGCATGCAAGAATAGCTCAACCATCAGCTGAGCCGCACACTAGGTCAGCCTCGACACTCGGAGAGGTCGCGGCCAGGCATTAGGATCCGGATGGGCCAGGAACCCCAACCACAAAGGACCCAGAGTTTCTCCATTCCAAATGCTCGTAGACTTTTTCATACAACTTACTGTTGTGGCTCAGGTTGTTGTCCCACCCGCACAAAGCACATGACTCAGTACCAGCCTCCACTGGAATGCTTACAAGTCAGGTTGTACTGGTAGTAGGAACAGACACAGGCTCCGTCGCGTTTGTCTCCGAATTATTCTAACTAGGCAAAGGCACATGAGGCCTGCGTGGAGGCTGGCATCTCTTTTGGTGGACAGGCCAGAAGCCGAAAGCCAAAGCCCCGAATCTCCTGAGAACTTGCGAGCAGGAGCCACCGAACTGCACAGTTCCGTCGAATGTACTGCCGAAGCCAGCAATTCCTCAGCAAGACCTCCTGAGAGCGTCGCCAGGCATGATGAGATACTGTCAGACTTGGAAATAGGACACAAGGATTGCAAGTCTCAAAGCTGGCACGGCACTACACTACAGCCACTACAGTCACTACAGTCAGAGGCTGCGTCAAAGCACATGGCGCCCTCTGCTGTGTGACCCTCTCGTGGCCTCATGGTGCCATTGACGGCCACGGTTCAACGTTTTCTCAAAGCAATTGAAGTCATAAGAGTTATAAGCCACAGAGCATGGCAGATTGAAGCGGGTGGATGATGCGGAGCCCCATTCCTCAGATTCGACTCGGGTTTGGATGCACAAAGATTGCCTGGCGATGGGCACTAGCTTGCTGAGCGAGCAGCCTGATGTGAAAGACACCTTTGTTGCCATTGGATTGGTTGCACGAATCTCCAGCCGGATACAGCGCTTGCCGTCATTGGGAGAAGAAGCAGACTCCCCGCAACAAGGACATGTTTCTGCTGACACGCCTGCATCCACATGAGTTCTGAGAGCCTTCTCTGCCTTCGGGGACAGTGCACCGCTGCTTGCCCAACTTCGTACGAGGTGCAAGAGCCACCACCATGATGCGGGCCAGCAGCCTGACATTGAGATCACAGCTGGGAAGCTCCAATCGGACCATGTCGCACAACTCCCACCGCCCGCACTTCGCACTAACTCCACGGTCTCTCTCACTGACGGAAACTATCGCCTCAATGTCCTCGAGAGCCCTGACGCAGTCTCCAGCGGCTCTGCCGTTTCCGACAGTGTCGACATATTGATTTCCTGCTTCAACAGGCTGCTATCGAAGATGTCAGAAGATCACTTACAAACTAAGGCTGTGGCCTCGGTGGTCGTGCCATCGCAGAAGACCTCGTCGGAAGGTGTAATGATTCTAATGGACCTGCTTGAGTCCCTATTTGACGACTTGGAATATCCTGGGGCCAGTGCCTGTGCCAAAAAGCTGGAAACCACAAGAACTCCACAAGCAAGGCTACAGAGGATCAACACGTTGATGGCCTGTCAGATCCGCACGTGTGGGCACTCAAGCAGGCCATCGAGCTCTCTCTGCACTCCACAACTTTCATTGAGCGCGTGGCCCAAAACAGACCAAGAGGAGCTTCCTCCAAGTCTTCACCTGTGGGCCCATGACACTGAGCCCGACTCGACATGAGGCAGTCCTTTGCCATGGAACGCAGTGGGCATGAATACACTTGAATACACCCTGAACTTTCGCAGCAATGGATCGGTTCCACCAAGGGATCGGTTCCGCCAAGTCAATGGAGGCTTGCCACGGCATTCCGCAAAACGTACATCTGGAATGACATGTCGCCGAAACCGATTCGAACGCCGCGATTCGCTCACAGCTGCACTGAACGGTGGACGCACTGGACGATGGATTCGAACACGCAGAATATGCGCACTAAAATGCTGGACTTGCACACCGGCGGGTTCTCGCACTGAGCCGGCAGATTCATGCACCAGCTGTATGATTCGCGCATAGCTCAGGGAGATTCGCGCACGCTGGACTCGCGCACCAGAGCATTAGCGCACGGGCCTTTGTAACCCTCAAAACGAAAGAACCCCTAAACCCTAAACGGTGTCGAGGCTAAAGCCCTCAATCCCAACAGCCCTAAGAAATAAATGCCTCCTCAAACACACTCAGCCCCGAAAGCCATAAGCTTTAAAATCAAGATGGTGCAAAAACCAATGGGCGCAAAGCCCCTAAACCCAAATCACAAACCCTGAAGCATTAACACGGAAGCCACAAGATTAAACCCTGAAGCCTGAAACCGCAGCCTAGCATAAAAACCCTCGACCATGAAACCTGAGCCCTGAAATCTAAATTGGCGCGCAACAGCCTGAACCCTAAACCCTAAAGTCACAAAACCCTGAAAGCCCTACAAGCCTTAAAACCTCAAGATAAGCCCTGGAAGCCCTAAGAATCCTAAGCCCTCGGCCCGAAAAACCCTGATTGGTGTGCAACAGCCCTAAACCCCGAAACCTAAAAGCCCTTCAAGCCCTCAGAAAAGTTGTCTAAAGCCCTGAATCCCCTGATTTGTGCGCAAAACCACAAAATCCTGAAGCCACTTTAAAGACCCTTGAAACCCTAAGAATCGACAACCCTTAGGGCTGCAAACCCCAAACACACTTCCACACCTCAAAGCCTACACCCCTGAGCCATAAAACACCCTCAGCCCTGGAAACCCTAACCGCCCTAACCTTTAAAGTCCACAGTGCAGTCGAGGTGGTAGGGCGGCCCAAATTTCTAATGAGTCGGAATTCGTTGGGATGGTAGGGGGGCCGAAAACGCCAGCGCTTGAAGTGCGTTTGAACCGCACGTGCTTGAATCGGCGGTGCTTGAATCAGAAACACTTTAAATCGAGAATTGTGCATCACTGGGGCTTGAACCCCGTATGATTGTCTCTTGGAGGTTATGAGCTTGAGGGTTGGTAGAAGGGGTAGTAGGAACCAACGAATAATGACTAGGAGCAGGAGATCTACGAAACTGAATAGGTACGTCATCAAGAGGGTCGTAAGTAGATTGCATAGCTTACATGCACTACAAGCATGGACGAACCTCAACCCCAATCCTTCCCTCAAAAACCCACACCCTCGGCGATCTTTTGTCGCACTTGAGCCATGTCGAATGGCGGTACACTTCTCGAGTGTGCGTGTCATCTTGTACACTTCTCGAGTGTGCGTGTCATCTTGTACACTTCTTGAGTGTGCGTGTCATCCTTGTGCAGGATCCGAAACACTCAAAAGGTCCTCGGAATAAGGATCCCCGGATTGGGGCCTCATGTGTTCTGCGGGCAACGGATCCTGGGATCCTGTCGCTCTGGATTGGCGTACTTTCGGAGGACGAGGGCTCTCAATCGCAGCCAAGAAAAGTTCATTTCGCGAGGGGCCAAGATCTAACAGCCATGCAATGACTCCGGGCCTTGCAACATTGTCCTCACACATGATCAACACGTCATGCACCGACACTATCTCTTGTTCTTCATCAATTGGAATGTTATATGCTGGGAGTCCTTGGTCCAAGTGAGCAACGTTGACCATTACCCCCACCGCTACGTCCAGGCCGTCTGTTTCCATCTGGAAATCCCTCGGCGCCGACATGATCTGTCCTCTCTGCCACTCCAAGAACTCGTCCGGCCTCATGTGAAGTTTCCACAAGGGATTTCTCTGAGGACCTGTGTCAAGAAACTCCTCCTCTGAGAACTCATCCTGGCTCTGTCTCGCATAGCTTGCTGTGGATTCATCTGACGCAGCCTCGCTGATATGAGTCATCTCTGAATCGGAGCTCGATGGAGAATTCTCATCCTCTAGAAGATCTGAGCGAGCCATCTTGCACACACTTGCCAACACCACCGACGAGGCCTTGGGAACTGCGGCTGAAGCTTTGGCTTTTGCTGCTGCTCCCTTCTCCACTCCCATCAGGGTTCCACTGGCTTTGGCTGCTGCTTTGGCTGTAGCTGCATCCTCATGAAGATATCGGCACTTGTCCCCAAATTTGCACGTGCCCTTCTTGTGGTTCCGACACGGAATTTTCTTCCTCTGAGCATCTGTCTTGGGATTCGTAGGCGGAGGTTGGTGCGATGCGTCAGGATGCTTGTAGTAACAGCGATCTCCGAAGGAACAACTGCCCTTCTGTAGGAACGGACACGGGATCTTCTTCTTGTCCTCTTGGCCCTTGACCCCTTTGGTTCCATCCTTGCCCTTGCCTTTGAATCCCTTTCCTTTACCTTTGTTCGCCAAGCTGATCTCATGCTCGCCTGAGGTGTTGCTCTTCGAGTACTCGTCCGCCGACAACAATCGGAGTTCTTTCTCGATATTCTCCAGCATGAGTTCGACACCCTGAGCCTTTCCCAGCTGTATCGACGTGTCCAATCTGCAAAGAGACATCCTTGTCCTCAGTGAATCATGCTTCTTTTCTAGCCTGGCAATAAGGGTTTGGAGACCCTTGAGCAGCTCAAACGGCGCCGCTTCCGGCAACCCTAGGCTCTGGATCCTGGAGCGAGCCAGTTTCCACCGGCGTAGCACCTGAACCGCCTCGGTTGCTGAACCAGCCGGCTCAAGAGAGCGTATGAACTTGGTCAAGCTCGTTTGCTCTGAGCAACCTCCTGGTTGCACCTGGCCACTTAACTCCTCCAAGATCTGCACGGGGTGGATCTCATTGGCTGAACTTGTCATCTCCATAGCTGGAGCAGTGATCCTCTCTGGGAGCACTCTTAGCAATTGCACCACAAGTCGTCCTGCATATCCCGAAGGGTAACGGCTGTAGGAGCCCAGGGCGGGCATCTCCCGGTCCTGAGCTTTGCACTGGTATCTCATCTCTGCTTCGGCCACACAAGCTTCCACAAAAGATTGGAACTTCCCAGACGCTGTTCCCGCAACCGTACACAGTTGACGTTTCCAAGTGGAATAAGACATTCCCAGCTCCCACGGAGTTTTGCCTGAGAAGTCAAAGTTTGGGATGTCCGTCAGCACCTTCCACTGCTCCTTGTCGGTTTCCATGCGATCATCTTGTCTAGATTTCTCGCTCGTCTCACGTCCTCCACGCACCAGCCCCGGCGATGTTGGCGCAGCCGGACCAACATGGCCTTCTTCTCCACGCACCAGCCCCGAGCCTGAAGGCGCGCTCTGACCACGCTGTCCATCTTCCCCGCGCACCAGCCCCGCGCCTGCGGGCGCACTATGACCATGCTGGCCATCTTCCCCGCGCACCATCCCCGAGTCTGTAGGCGCACTCTGACCACATTGGCCATCTTCTCCGCGCACCAGCCCCGGGAACGTAGGAGTTTGCCGGCCAGGATGGCCAACTTCCTCACACACCAGCCCCGGCGGCGGCGTGAGTCCCCAAGGATTCTGGCACCCAGGGTCTTCACGCCACGCATAGTGATTGTCCATCTTCTCCCTGTTGTTGCCCTGCCAACCCCACCATTCATTCTCGGCCTCGTCGGCGTCGAACTGCGGCTGACCACTCGCTTCCTGGCAGTAAGCGTCCGGGGTCAAAGGGAAATGAGCAGCACGGTCGTTAGCACCTTCCGCCAACACGTCCATGTCTTGCCTCAGTTGTCCCAACTCCTCCTGAACTGCCTCCTTCCAAGAATCTTCTTCGATCATGGTCACCCTGGCTAGCAAGGTCTCTGCGGCCTCTGCCACATGACTTGTCTGATTGCTCAAGCTGTCCACCCGAGCCCGAAGTTCTTCCACTAGCATATCACCTGTGGCTGAACGCGACGCCCCAGTCTGCCCGGCTACGGTCTGCTGCAGGGCTTCCGCCTGGCAGTTCAATCTGATGTCCTGGGCTTTCATGAGGTCCCGAAGTTTGGCAACCTGTGCTTCAAGCATTTCCATCTTGGCACTCATGGCTGCCTCCCGTTGCAGGAATCCATTCAACTCCCGCTGGTGACTTGCGTGATCCTGGACTTGCATTTCCAAGCTCTGCTTCACCTCATTCCTCATCTGTTCCATTGTTGCGCGCACTTCCATATCACCTCTAGCTTTGGCATCCACCAAGCCTTGGATGACTTCTTGCTGTCTCTGCAGGTCGGCATGAAGCTTCTCCATACCACGGACCATGTTTCCATAGCCCTCCTGCACGCCGTTGACTGTCTGACCAACATTCTCCAAAGCTGTAGCAAGCACTTCGGTCCGATACTGCACCCTGGAGGACAGTTCAATCATAGCCGCCTGGATGTCAGCTGCAAAAGAAATGTCGTCGGAGATGCTAGTTGCGAAGGATCTCAGTGCATCTGCCGGCATCTGGATCTGGGTCATCTGCCTGAAGGTCACGACAGGGGATTGCTGCAGCTCTGCTGAAGCTAATGCTGCTGCTGCTGCTTGTTGATGCGGAGTGGTGCTGGGAGCCCTTGGGCTCATAACCTCTGTTTGACCTTATACCTGGTCAGTACAATATGCCCACCCCTTGCCCGCCCCAACACTCACAAGTAGAGTGTGCGGTGGGGTAAGGACGCACGCCGGCAAGGCGCCTTAAGGGCTGCAGCTCACTACGCACTCCCCCCACTCCAACACGCAGGGATGGAGTGCTCCCCCGCTGCAGCTCCCCCCAACCTGTCGACCAGGCCGTCGGGCTTGAGCCACCGCACCGACTGTTAGGCGCCCAGCCATCCCTGTTAATAGCACGCTGCTGTAGCTGCCACGCCTCTTGTGCCGCCCACAGCGCTAGCATGCCCCGTGCTGCCCAAGACCAGCAACCACCAGGCAACCTAAGTGACACCACCCATGGCCAGGCCGCCCCAGAGTCCAGACCGCCCCCATAGCATCTCCATAGCATCTCGTGCCTTTTGGTCCAGGCAGTCCCCCCAGTTCCCGGCAACCCCCAAGAATGCTCCATCACCAGGTCCTGCAGCTGCAAGCTTCTTGAGTCCCGGCCACCTTCCACGAAGTCACGCAGCAAGCGTGAATTTGGGCGTCATAACCTCTTGGAGGTTATGAGCTTGAGGGTTGGTAGAAGGGGTAGTAGGAACCAACGAATAATGACTAGGAGCAGGAGATCTACGAAACTGAATAGGTACGTCATCAAGAGGGTCGTAAGTAGATTGCATAGCTTACATGCACTACAAGCATGGACGAACCTCAACCCCAATCCTTCCCTCAAAAACCCACACCCTCGGCGATCTTTTGTCGCACTTGAGCCATGTCGAATGGCGGTACACTTCTCGAGTGTGCGTGTCATCTTGTACACTTCTCGAGTGTGCGTGTCATCTTGTACACTTCTTGAGTGTGCGTGTCATCCTTGTGCAGGATCCGAAACAGATTGATCAAGGATTCGAGCTTCAATCGGCAGTGATTGGACCGCTCGGGTGCTTGAATCGCCAGTGCTTGAATGGCGTCGCGCTTGAGTTGCAGCCAGTGCTTGAAGCTGACTTTTACAAAAGGACGTTTGGTTTGCATGCAGAAACCCATACATCTGACTAATTCATGTCCGTGTTTAAAGACATGATGGCAATGGATCGAACAGCTTTGAGGCCGTTGGTGCCCGCTGAGGTCTGAACTGGCAGCGGCGACTAGCGAACGCCGTAAAGGTGATTCTCCGATTACCTTCAAAGAACCGAGCACTCTCTTGGTGAACGAGCTGCCTTTAGATTCTTGGACATGAGTCGACATGAGCTACTGATACCCGACCGAAATCAGGACAGCCAAGGTCAAAGCCTCCTGGACCGTCTGCAAGAGGATTGAGAGAAGAGCAGCCAAGTGCACCAGGTATGAACCTGAATGAGCTCTATCCACGACGCAGGAAACTCTTGGCCGCACCAACAAAGCCGGAAACCCGAAATGTCTTCTTCCGCTTCTCCCTCGGCATCGCTCTCAAAAAACTCACAACCATAAACCTGCCCCAGAGAGTTCGGGTTGAAAACCTTCCCTCTCTCTGTGAGCATAGCCCCCAAAACGGGACCGTGCCGAAACGCGATCGGGTCCCTCTCTCCCACCCTCTCCCTCTCCTCCTGGAGCGAAGCAATTCTGAGCAACACACGCACTGAGCTGCTCACTAACCTGAAAGCCAGGACTCTCACTGCACTGCTAGCCAAGAAAGCCACTGAACGGAGTGCTATGGGCCTGCATGTCGAAGACAAAGAGTTGCCTGACACACATACAGAGCATCAGCTTCTGATACTCCTAGCAAGTTAATGCTCACGTTTGTTCCCGATGCCTGCTCCTGACGGTCGATCTGCGCCACGACGACTCTTGAACTTTGAGACCTGTTTCGTGACGAGGACTGTTCTGTTCTTTGACACACGTGCTGGTAAATACCTCCCGCCCTGGTACAAGTATGACTCAGTGCGACCCCGGCAATGTTGGGATAGGGCTGCCTCGTCCAGCTGCGCGAAAGAGCCCACCCTTCTCTGGAGAGCCGATGCCGAGAAGGAGAATGCCACCACACCTCAAAGCTCAGAAGAGTCAGAAGAGCCTAGCAGGGCCTAGCAAGTGCATATTTCTACATCCATTGCTGCGTGACAAGGTTCTTCTGATCCTTCAACCCATGCGTGTTCTTAGCTCTAGACCAGATCGGGCCATGCAGCGGTGCAAGCGATGCAACATCCTGGCGGCACAACAATGACGTAAGGAACCCCGCGCCGTCCAAAGGAGCCATCATGATGTTGGACACCGTCAAATCAAATGCGGTATGAAGAAGGGAAACGGGGCCATGACATGTGATGGGATGAAGAGGCAGAACAGGGAAAAAGAGAGAGCAATAACACCACAAGGGTGGAGGCACCGTGCAAGCACTTTTGCAGGTTTCTCCCAGGATACGGAGACTTCGCTGATGCTTCCTAGGACCCCTTGACAAGCCACGACTCCTGTGGAAAACTCTCATGGTTGGGCATGCCATGACTTGCAGCCCGCCAGCGTGCTCTCCTCCGCACTTGCTTTCGCTGCGTCTTCGCTGCCCCTGCATGACTCGTCAAGTGTTCAGGGGATACTTCTCTCAAGTCGATTGCCCTCCCATGCTCTGCCAGTAAGAGCCTCGGAAGCAAGAAGAAAATGTACGATTCCCAGCCCTCAAAAAAAAGAGCCAGAAGTGTACCCGGAGGAGCCCTTCCTTCGAGTCTAAAGGTCGGCGGAAGCGGCGTTGGCCTTTGAACATCTGAGCAACCAGGTCAGTAGAAGCACCTGGCTTCTGATCGGCACAGCTTGCACCGCACCTTGACGCTGACGCAGACATACGCAAACCATCTAGTGATATCTAGAGTTTCGAAGGCCGCAAAAGGACAGGGACGCTACGGGGGCATTGACCAGGCAACCGAGTCAGAGGCCCAAAGCTTCTCCACGACTTGGCGCTCACGGTCGAGCAACGGCTCCGAGTGCTACTCGGTGATCCTTGAAGCGGCCAGAGGGATGCTGTCCGAAGACAACGAATACCCTTAGAAACCTTAGAAACCAGAGCGCGTGGTAGAGCCCAAGCAAGAGCGAATGCGACCGCACATCAGAGGAGCCTCCTCCAGTGCAGCTCTTCACGTTGGCTGCGGGGCCGCTACTGTCACAAAGCACAGCCTCTGCGGAAGCTTTTGTTCTTTTAGGGGAGGTGGAATGTGGTGGACATTGGTGGAATCCAAACAGGGAAGGGCCTTCTCAGCTGGCTCCGCCGCATATCCATGAAGCTGCGGGCGGTGCGCTTGGGACCCCGCCTGCGCAAGGCCGTGCCATGCGAAGTCGTGTTTTCTGTTGTGCTTGTCATCGACTTGCATGGAGCTGTTATGAGCCGTTCAAGGCTCGGAGGAAACTCCGGGGCTTCGCGAACACGTCCAGCCTCGCTGAGCGTGGCTCCCAAAACACGTCGCCGGTACATCTTTCAGTCTAAAGGAGAGGGTCCCAAGTGAAGTGTGAGCAAAGGAACACAATAAATGGCTTCTTTTAGAGAAAGACATGTACGCAATCGCTGCACTACCTCGGGAATCTCTCTGACCGCGACGCAAACTACACCCTGCTGAGCTGCACTGCAGATGAGACTTCGGATCCAAGAACAACAGACATGGCACGTTAGCACCCTACTCTGTATACAATCAGACGAGATTGTACAATCATGCAAATCATGTGTTGTTTGAATCCTTGATCCTCATCCACTTGTGCAGCGCCTGCTTTCCTAGCTGCTACTTTAAGCGAAGAGTTGCGTGAGAAGCTTAGGGGCGTCGGCTTCTCGGACGCACATAGAGCCTGGGTTGGGCACACGGTTGGGCACACGGTTGGGCACACCGCTGTGTCGATGCCCTCGACGCGTCCAGGGTTGTGCCATGTCGTGACATCTGAGGGTCCCGCAGCTGCGATGGGAACCACTCCGGCCCGCAGCTTGAAACAGCAAGAAGCAGCAGAAAAGAGGATGAAGCACGACAGCAAAGGATCAAGCCACATCAAGCCTCAAGCTGGCAAAATGTCGCAAATCTGTCACAGCTCTTGCGTTTTCCAGACGAATATTGTCAACATTGGGCACAGCCGGCAGCACTTCGTGCACCAGCGCCTGCGTGACGGAATTCACCATTTGCAAGGGCATTGTGCCCTGTCCGAATTTCTGCGTGACGGAAAGAAACACGGGCATCGCACGCCTGAACAAGGCTGAACATGGTCTAGGGCCGGAAGGCATGGTTGTATGGTACTAGTGTCTTCCATAGAGTGCTTCTATAGTGCCTTGGCCTTCTGGATCTGCCACCAACAACATTGGGGTCAGGTACCCACCCGGAAAAGCTGGGCAACAGCCCAGCCCTTTCAGGTCGCATCTCGAAAAATGGCAGCACCTCACATGCGCACGTTGAGGAGCAGCCAGTCCTCCTCTACCTCGACGACGGTCTCGACGCTCTCCCATTCCTCGTCTGTGCAGGTGGATGCAGTTGCCAATGACGGTTTTCGACCATGGTTGGCATCGCGGAGTGTCTGCTGATGCAGCAGCAGTGCTCGCCCAGCGCTGGAGAGGTTGGCCTCCATTTCCTGGATGAGCTTTGCGTAATGCCGGATAACGTGTAGCTCTCCACCCGCGGCGACGCGTCCTGCCAGGTGCAGGATCTGGTTCACCGCCTGCAACAGAGGGTGCTGTAGCTTTTTAGGATTATGTTGGATGTTGGTGTGTAGGCGGAGTAGGTTTTGCTTTCTGTCCCCCTTCCTCTTCATTACATTTAGAAAGAACCGTGCTTACATACGTACGAAACAATACGTACAACAACAAAAGCCCTCCTACCCACCTGCAAGTCAGCGACGCCTTCCTCACCACTTTGAGGTGAGCGCGTGGCAGCTGTCATGTCATACTCATCGTCTTCCGGGCTGTACTGAGCCCATTCTCCGCGATCCCGCCTTTTTCGCGGGGGCGGTGGAGGCGCTTCCACCTGGCAATCGCGGTTTGCAGGGAGCTCGACCACGACAAAGTCCTCGCTTTTGAAGCCCTTGAAGCCTTACTGGCTCAGTTCCCCTGGAGAAAATTGGAAAGAGGTTAACCTTGGGGCACTCAGGGGGCCGCTTACAGCCCACCCTAAGAGGATCTTGAAAAAATACAAGATTCCCTCCGCACGCCTAAGAAACAGGCAGTGTCAAAGCAAGCCGTCGCTATGCTGTGGAACTTGTTGTACAAGCATTGCACCTTGCTCGCCGCCATCACAGGAAGCATCCCAAGGGCTCTCGCTCCACCGACCGGCTTTGAGCCAAGGGACGCCAGCGCCGTGTGCGTCCGCCTCTCCTGAACCTGTCTGATATCCTAAAGGGCTTCAGGTTCAGGACTTTACCCAACAAAAATTTTGAACCTGGAGGTCTTGAAAACTTGCAGTTTACAGAACAATCTGAGAGAAGAAGGGGCTCTATGACAACCACCGTTCTCACAAGTAGGCTGTTGCTTGCGGGGAACCCTCACCACGCAGACTACAGAACTTCAGCTGAACCCTAAAACTTCCTAAACCCTATCTTGTGTTGAAAGGATCTGGGATCTATAGGGTTTGGGGGTCTTGGAAGGTTTTCGGGTTTTGAGGGGTGCCTCTACCCCCCCCCCCCGCCCCACTCGCCCAGCCCGACCACCACACGCCGAGGCTACCACGACGCCTGAACGCCAACAACCAAATACACGGCCTAAACGCAAGGCATCTAATTTGAGGCCACGTAGTTCGGCACCATCCCGGCGAATATTGTCAACATTGGGCACAGCCGGCAGCACTTCGTGCGCCAGCGCCTGCGTGACGGAATTCACCATTTGCAAGGGCATTGTGCCCTGTCCGAACTTCTGCGTGACGCAGAGAAGCACTTGCGAGCACCCTACGTCTCAGGGCTGCTGATGGCTTGCAGGGTGTAGGGCCACAAGGCATGCTTGTACAGGATTGAGGCTTCAGACGGCATTAGACTTCTAGTGTCTTCCAGTAGTGCTTCGGCATTCTGATGCATTCTGGATCTGGCACCAACAACATTGGGGTCATCCGAGCGACTGGCTGCTCCTGAATGTGCAGCTGCGAAGTGCTGCCAAGCCATTTGTTCTCGAAAAAATGGCTTGGCAGCACGTCACCTGCGCACGTTCAGGAGCAGCCAGTCCTCCTCCACCTCGGCGACGGTCTCGACGCTCTCCCATTCCTCGTCTGTGCAGGTGGATGCAGTTGCCAATGACGGTTTGCGACCACTGCTGCATCAGCAGACACGGAGTGTCTGCTGATGCAGCAGCAGTGCTCGCCCAGCGCTGGAGAGGTTGGCCTCCATTCCTGGATGAGCTTTGCGCAATGCCGAATAACATGGCGCGGTGACGCGTGCTGCCAGGTGCAGGATCTGGCATATCCATGAAGCTGCGGGCGGTGCGCTTGGGACCCCGCCTGCGCAAGGCCGTGCCATGCGAAGTCGTGTTTTCTGTTGTGCTTGTCATCGACTTGCATGGAGCTGTTATGAGCCGTTCAAGGCTCGGAGGAAACTCCGGGGCTTCGCGAACACGTCCAGCCTCGCTGAGCGTGGCTCCCAAAACACGTCGCCGGTACATCTTTCAGTCTAAAGGAGAGGGTCCCAAGTGAAGTGTGAGCAAAGGAACACAGCAAATGGCTTCTTTTAGAGAAAGACATGTACGCAATCGCTGCACTACCTCGGGAATCTCTCTGACCGCGACGCAAACTACACCCTGCTGAGCTGCACTGCAGATGAGACTTCGGATCCAAGAACAACAGACATGGCACGTTAGCACCCTACTCTGTATACAATCAGACGAGATTGTACAATCATGCAAATCATGTGTTGTTTGAATCCTTGATCCTCATCCACTTGTGCAGCGCCTGCTTTCCTAGCTGCTACTTTAAGCGAAGAGTTGCGTGAGAAGCTTAGGGGCGTCGGCTTCTCGGACGCACATAGAGCCTGGGTTGGGCACACGGTTGGGCACACGGTTGGGCACACCGCTGTGTCGATGCCCTCGACGCGTCCAGGGTTGTGCCATGTCGTGACATCTGAGGGTCCCGCAGCTGCGATGGGAACCACTCCGGCCCGCAGCTTGAAACAGCAAGAAGCAGCAGAAAAGAGGATGAAGCACGACAGCAAAGGATCAAGCCACATCAAGCCTCAAGCTGGCAAAATGTCGCAAATCTGTCACAACTCTTGCGTTTTCCAGACGAATATTGTCAACATTGGGCACAGCCGGCAGCACTTCGTGCGCCAGCGCCTGCGTGACGGAATCCACCATTTGCAAGGGCATTGTGCCCTGTCCGAATTTCTGCGTGACGGAAAGAAACACGGGAATCGCACGCCTGAACAAGGCTGAACATGGTCCAGGGCCGGAAGGCATGGTTGTATGGTACTAGTGTCTTCCATAGAGTGCTTCTATAGTGCCTTGGCCTTCTGGGGGTCAGGTACCCACCCGGAAAAGCTGGGCAACAGCCCAGCCCTTTCAGGTCGCATCTCGAAAATGGCAGCACCTCACATGCGCACGTTGAGGAGCAGCCAGTCCTCCTCTACCTCGACGACGGTCTCGATGCTCTCCCATTCCTCGTCTGTGCAGGTGGATGCAGTTGCCAATGACGGTTTTCGACCATGGTTGGCATCGCGGAGTGTCTGCTGATGCAGCAGCAGTGCTCGCCCAGCGCTGGAGAGGTTGGCCTCCATTTCCTGGATGAGCTTTGCGTAATGCCGGATAACGTGTAGCTCTCCACCCGCGGCGACGCGTCCTGCCAGGTGCAGGATCTGGTTCACCGCCTGCAACAGAGGGTGCTGCAGCTTTTTCGGATTATGTTGGATGTTGGTGTGTAGGCGGAGTAGGTTTTGCTTTCTGTTCCCCTTCCTCTTCATTGCATTTAAAAAGAACCGTGCTTATATACGTACGAAACAATACGTACAACAACAAAAGCCCTCCTACCCACCTGCAAATCAGCGACGCCTTCCTCACCACTTTGAGGTGAGCGCGTGGCAGCTGTCATGTCATACTCATCGTCTTCCGGGCTGTACTGAGCCCATTCTCCGCGATCCCGCCTTTTTCTCGGCTGCGGGGGCGGTGGAGGCGCTTCCACCTGGCAATCGCGGTTTGCAGGGAGCTCGACCACGACGAAGTCCTCGCTTTTTGAAGCCCTTGAAGCCTTACTGGCTCAGTTCCCCTGGAGAAAATTGGAAAGAGGTTAACCTTTGGGCACTCAGGGGGGCCGCTTACAGCCCACCCTAAGAGGATCTTGAAAAAACACAAGATTCCCTCCGCAGCGCCTAAGAAACAGGCAGTGTCAAAGCAAGCCGTCGCTATGCTGTGGAACTTGTTGTACAAGCATTGCACCTTGCTCGCCGCCATCACAGGAAGCATCCCAAGGGCTCTCGCTCCACCGACCGGCTTTGAGCCAAGGGACGCCAGCGCCGTGTGCGTCCGCCTCTCCTGAACCTGTCTGATATCCTAAAGGGCTTCAGGTTCAGGACTTTACTCAACAAAAAATTGAACCTGGAGGTCTTGAAAACTTGCAGTTTACAGAACAATCTGAGAGAAGAAGGGGCTCTATGACAACCACCGTTCTCACAAGTAGGCTGTTGCTTGCGGGGAACCCTCACCACGCAGACTACAGAACTTCAGCTGAACCCTAAAACTTCCTAAACCCTATCTTGTGTTGAAAGGATCTGGGATCTATAGGGTTTGGGGGTCTTGGAAGGTTTTCGGGTTTTGAGGGGTGCCTCTACCCCCCCCCCCCGCCCCACTCGCCCAGCCCGACCACCACACGCCGAGGCTACCACGACGCCTGAACGCCAACAACCAAATACACGGCCTAAACGCAAGGCATCTAATTTGAGGCCACGTAGTTCGGCACCATCCCGGCGAATATTGTCAACATTGGGCACAGCCGGCAGCACTTCGTGCGCCAGCGCCTGCGTGACGGAATTCACCATTTGCAAGGGCATTGTGCCCTGTCCGAACTTCTGCGTGATGCAAAGAAGCACTTGCGAGCACCCTACGTCTCAGGGCTGCTGATGGCTTGCAGGGTGTAGGGCCACAAGGCATGCTTGTACAGGATTGAGGCTTCAGACGGCATTAGACTTCTAGTGTCTTCCAGTAGTGCTTCGGCATTCTGATGCATTCTGGATCTGGCACCAACAACATTGGGGTCATCCGAGCGACTGGCTGCTCCTGAATGTGCAGCTGTGAAGTGCTGCCAAGCCATTTGTTCTCGAAAAAATGGCTTGGCAGCACGTCACCTGCGCACGTTCAGGAGCAGCCAGTCCTCCTCCACCTCGGCGACGGTCTCGACGCTCTCCCATTCCTCGTCTGTGCAGGTGGATGCAGTTGCCAATGACGGTTTGCGACCACTGCTGCATCAGCAGACACGGAGTGTCTGCTGATGCAGCAGCAGTGCTCGCCCAGCGCTGGAGAGGTTGGCCTCCATTCCTGGATGAGCTTTGCGCAATGCCGAATAACATGGCGCGGTGACGCGTGCTGCCAGGTGCAGGATCTGGCATATCCATGAAGCTGCGGGCGGTGCGCTTGGGACCCCGCCTGCGCAAGGCCGTGCCATGCGAAGTCGTGTTTTCTGTTGTGCTTGTCATCGACTTGCATGGAGCTGTTATGAGCCGTTCAAGGCTCGGAGGAAACTCCGGGGCTTCGCGAACACGTCCAGCCTCGCTGAGCGTGGCTCCCAAAACACGTCGCCGGTACATCTTTCAGTCTAAAGGAGAGGGTCCCAAGTGAAGTGTGAGCAAAGGAACACAGCAAATGGCTTCTTTTAGAGAAAGACATGTACGCAATCGCTGCACTACCTCGGGAATCTCTCTGACCGCGACGCAAACTACACCCTGCTGAGCTGCACTGCAGATGAGACTTCGGATCCAAGAACAACAGACATGGCACGTTAGCACCCTACTCTGTATACAATCAGACGAGATTGTACAATCATGCAAATCATGTGTTGTTTGAATCCTTGATCCTCATCCACTTGTGCAGCACCTGCTTTCCTAGCTGCTACTTTAAGCGAAGAGTTGCGTGAGAAGCTTAGGGGCGTCGGCTTCTCGGACGCACATAGAGCCTGGGTTGGGCACACGGTTGGGCACACGGTTGGGCACACCGCTGTGTCGATGCCCTCGACGCGTCCAGGGTTGTGCCATGTCGTGACATCTGAGGGTCCCGCAGCTGCGATGGGAACCACTCCGGCCCGCAGCTTGAAACAGCAAGAAGCAGCAGAAAAGAGGATGAAGCACGACAGCAAAGGATCAAGCCACATCAAGCCTCAAGCTGGCAAAATGTCGCAAATCTGTCACAGCTCTTGCGTTTTCTAGTTCGGTGTCGTCTCGCGACTCTGCAGTCCACAGTAGATCCAACACAAGCTCCGGATATTTGCTCCACGAGGCACCGAGAGTCGCTTTTTTGCAGGCTCAGGGCGTTCTTTCCTGAGGCATTGACTGCATCTTGCACATGCACACGCACCAACCCACCTGGACAAACTCAACTGTTCTCACTACAAAGCCAACATGCAAAGGAGCGTCTAATCTAGATTTCCGCCGCCGCTTCAATGGAACGCCCAGCACACGCTCCAGTTCCTTCCACCGCGTGGCGAGCACGTGCACGCATCGAAGATGATGTGCGCACAAAAAGGAGAATGAGCAGAGCAAGAGAAAGGTGCGGCATTCTCTCACGTCCTCGCGGCACTCGGGCAGCAGCCTGGCCTCACCCTGCTCCACCTCACCATTATCCACGGGCCACGAGCCCTTTCACTGCAGAAACTCACATGCCTTCTCCAAGTAGGATCTGGAGATTGACGTGGCCTCGTGGTGCAAGAGCTAGAATGGCAAGCCATCAGGCTCACTCTTTGCGAAGGCTGCGTACGGTCCATCGCTCCTTTTTTGCCATCTGCTGCCGCGCCACTGCAGGTCCGCACAGGAGGACACAGTGGCTACAGCTCGCTGCAACTGCACTTGCTTAAGCTGAATCATACAAGAAGCTAGGATACACTAGAAGCACCCCATCACGAAGTGGCTGATATGTAAGGTCTTACGTCTGAAGGTCTGAAAGTCTCAAGGGCTCATCTTTGCGCGATCAACTCTCTTGTTGACGTAGTAGGACAAGGACCAATGCAGCCACCTTGGCAAAAAGCCAACGCTGTGGGCCGACCAGCGTCCATCAGTTCTTTAGCTTCAGGCCCCTGTTCGTCAGGGGAGGTGCTTAGCTCCGCGAAGAGTTGGACAAAACTAGGGTCGAGTCTACTTCTGGGGCTTCGACAAACAAGTGAAAGCATCTGCGAACTAATGAGGCTTTCTTAGCTTGAAGTTTCCTTGTATTTAGACATCTCAAAGTATATCGAAAATCGGCTATGAGATTTTCAGACGCATATTGAATCTTCAATTTCCTTTGGGCGAGAATCACCGCATGAATGTTGATCTGCTTCGATCTGCAAACTGCTTCGATCTGCAAAAGCCCCAGGCCCGTGGAGGGAGGGATAAAGAGAATTTCGTGGCTGATGGAGGAGGGCCGCAATGCTGCAATATAAGCAGACATTCTGAGAACTTGCAATACACATAGTGCTGCAACATGAGCACTTACAGAGAATCGCCAAGAAACGCTCATGCACGTCTGCTGCCCCTAGCTCAAAAAAGAACATCGAGCGAGCGCTGTGTTTGCTTCGTGTTTCGGGTTGAAGCTCTTGAAGATCTTGAAGCTCTGAAGCTTTCAGCTTCGTGCTTCGCCTGAAGCCTGAGGCTTTCTGCTGTGCTTGAAGCTTGTAGCTTCGCGCTTCAAAACGAAGCTTTTCTGACCCACCACTGGCGTGCCATCCGTAAATAGGAATTTTCATAAAGCGCTGAAGATTTGGCAGTCTCTGTTTCAACATACAATGTTCGCACGTTCGTTCATAGAACAAGAAGGCCATGCAGATCACAGGACACGTGACACAAAACCGCAGCGGGTAAGCAAAGCGAAGTTCCTTGGCTCCACGCCACCTACAGCGACCGCCATGAGACGAAACAACATCACCAACAAGTCAAACCGCACACATCGCACACTCGGTAGCCCACACGCCACAACGTCCCCGGACTGCGGGTATTTTGTCACTTGCAAAGCAAGAAGGTGGGACAAGCCTCTGGTGACTGTGAAGTCTGTGATCCCTCTCAAGAAGTATACCATCCGCTTCCCTGAGTTTTTTTGCGAACCCTGAAGCGCCGAGGGCCCCAGCGAGGGCATTGGCCGAGGCAGGTCGCCGTTGCAACATGTTGCAACAGTCCAGCTTACAAGACTGAAGTGTCCCGTGCCCCCGCTGCAGACGAGGAGCATTGCCACGATCACCGCGGCACAAAGTCCCGCGAAGCACTGCACGAAGGTCTGACAAGTTGCGTCCGAAAGTGGCGGCAGATGGTAAGGACATGTAAGGAATCTAATCATTGGAACGGCAAGATGGAGTCTCCGCCTCCACCAAACCCTGGTGCAGAAGCTCTGACTGAACCTCGGCTAAACTGAGACCTCACAGATCAGAGTAGTTCAACGAGAGCACCACGTTAGCCAAGGCGTCAGATGAGACTGGGATGCTGACGCCTTCGGCATCTTCAAACCAGCGTACAAAGATCGGTCTTTCCGGCAACTCCCATCCATACACCTGGCCACCATGAAATCAGCAACATGTTTACCAGTGGCGGACCGAAACTCACGGCGGCACCTCAGCAGCCTGCTGAGCAGCTTTGAAGAAGTGCTTCCACCTCAAGCAAAGGCTCCGCTTTCTCCCCGAAGCTGAGCTGGCACGACCCAAAGGCAAACCTCCCCTTATCACCCCTCACTGTAAACTTTAACCCCCGCCCTCTGGCAATCACTATCCCCTTAACCCCCCCCCCCTCGTGCAATCATTTCCTGCCTTGAGGGCATGGCTGCTCCCCCCTTTGCAAATTCCAAGGGACTGTTTTCAATAACGGCTTCACCCGCTCGCAGTCATAGCAAATTCCAGGGAACTATGGGGGAATGCTTTCGGTAACGGTTTCGCCCGCTCGCAGTCATAGCAAAATCCACGGAACTGTTTTTGGGTAACGGCTTCGCCCGCTCGCACTCATAGAAAATTCCCGGGATTGTTTTCGGTAACGGCTTCGCGCAGTCACAGCAAGTTCCCGGGACTGTTTTCGGCAACGGCTTCGCCCGCTCGCACTCATAGCAAATTCCAGGGACTGTTCTCGGTAACGGCTTCGCCCGCTCGCAGTCATAGCAAATTCCCGGGACTGTTTTCGGTAACGACTTCACCCGCTCGCAGTCATAGCAAATTCCCGGGACTGTTTCGGTAACGGCTTCGCCCTTCTCGCAGTCATAGCAAGTTCCAGGGACTGTTTTCGGCAAACGGCTTTGCCCGCTCGCAGTCATACCAAATCACAAAGCGGATATGATTGCAGGATTGTTGCAATCATTAAAACCCCTTACCTCACTGCAATCTTTTTTAAGGTAGCAGTGATCTCCCCTTCCCACCACAGAATCATAGTTAGTACCGTTGCCTCTCTGCCGCATGCTCAGAGGACTTTGCTGGTAAAACCACACCCGTCCTCACAAGACTTGCACTGGTCAAGGTATGCTCAGGACACTGTTCCCTGATCGTCCAGTGCTGCAATGTGCTGCCCCGTCCTGGCATCTGCCTTTGCCGTATCACCGCAAAGGAAGCTGCGGCGTGGCTCGCAACAGTTCACGTCAGCAGCAAAATAGTTCACATGCTTCGATGGCGAAGATGTATCCTGACAGAACATAATATGACATGTTCAGCTCCGACAAGAATGGCAAAACACGGCACACATTGCCATGCCTGTCACATTCACAAGTTGGCTTCGAAAGCCGAGTAGCTATCACTGGCGCCACACAGTACGTCATGCCAGAGCCAGGCGACCGGACTCCAAGAGTTCTCTGAAGATCTAGACGCGTGCCAGCCTTAGCTTGGCGTTTGCTTGGGCTCTGAGGTTTCTGGGGTTCACGATTTTGGGTTCAGCGAGGGACTAATTCAGTTACTGGAGTCGATGGATCAAAGACAATCGAGAAGCGGGCCCTGGCAAACTACGATCCCATGGAGGGCAAGGAGGGTGGAATTGCCAAAACAAATCGGACAAGAAAGGCGCGTGCATCTGCGCCATCCTACACCTAGGATAAAACCTTACAAGAAGCTACTGTGCTCCCTCATTGCTATATATTCCTATGTGTAGAGATCATGTCGCCCAGGAGGCCGAGAAGTCCAGAATGCTGGCATCCTGGTAGGCGTCGGCCGGTTTGGTTGGCACCTGCACCAAGTTGCCGTGAGAAACTACGACCTGGCAAGCAGTCGTTGCTCGTGGGCCTATGCAATCCTGCGCCGTGTGAGTTAGGTTCTGCAAGGCCCCGGCCACGTCCCGGTATGTGACACCCTTCTTGTGCATCCAATAGCTGGCCATCTTTCTCTGCTCGATGTGCATTCCAACCAGTGGCCCCGCCACACAGCTCAGAAGCACCTCTGAGCGACATGGCCCAGCCCTGGCCACACAAAAGAGAAAAGCATGGAAAAGTCTTTGTCCAGGAGGCCATGAGGGCCAGCAGCTTGTACACCGGGCTCCCTCCTCGGAGATGCCGCTCATAGGCCTGGCCTCGGAGCCCAGCTCGAGGCACTCGGATCGCTCCGGGGGAGAACCTTCCCCTTGGCACCGCACGTGCCACCAGCAGGGCAGCAACCCAGAAGATGCCGGCCAAGAGGCTCCAGAGCCATCCTGCGAATGCCACAAGAGGATCATACAGGCCCCGTGTGCCGTGACGAGCCGCAGGGGATTGTGGACATTGTTTCTCCCGGAGAGAGTACTACTGTGAAGCAAAAACACCCCAAGCTTCAAGCCAAGTCCAAGCAAAGCGACCCTGCGGAGGCAAGGCAAAAGCGATCACCAGCGCAACCTCACGAAAGCCAGTGAAACACTCACACTCAACATCCATCCTAGAAGTGGGCAAGGCATTGAAACAAACATTGCAAAGCATGTCAAAGGTTCTGGCATAGCATGACCATGGTGCAAAGATAAGAACGGCGACTTCCTGGCTCACCTGACGCAGACAACGATTCACTGAGGCCTGGTTCTTCTGCAGAAACTCTCGGGTTTCGTGAAGTCTCTTAGAGCCTCTAGTCACCCGTCTTTTAGATCGTGCCGCAGCCGAGAGCAGGGCCATGTGCTCGCGTCGAGCCGCATCGACAAGGGAGGCTGTAGCCTTGTAGTCCGGAACCTGGTATGCTTCAACCGCAACAACAACCTCTGCAACGTGTGAATTTGCCTCGACATCTGTGAGGAACGGATCCGCACGGGCAGCCATTCCTTCAGAATGAGGCACCGAACAGCTAAGAGAAGAGCCTTACTGCAGCGAAAACCAGCATAGGCTGTAAACCGTTGCACGCTGCACAACCTGCAATGGGCCTTCGTCGGTTGGCTAGCACATGCGGGGCTTCATTGCGCTATCTTTCTGGGGGTGAGACGCAAACTCCAACCCTGGAAGCCAAAATCATGCAGAGCATTGCAGAGCCACTCAACACGTATCTGTGTTGCAACCTTCACTCTGTCATGTCTTGCAACGCTGCACACCACGTCACCTGGCAGCGTTCTCTGAGACCGGAGCCCATCCCAGTTTCCAGATGGGAATACGTTTCGACCTAGAACTGATGCACGATGAGAATCAGTACAGTTCAATCCGAAACGGCCCCCCTCTAAGGTTACCACACCCGTGCAAACTGGAGAGCTTGGCCTTCATGTTCAAATCGTTCTGGCCTCCAGCCCTCGTCATGAACTCGCCATCTCGTCGCGACTAGTCTGTTGCAAAAGTTGGTATACGATGAAGCCAGCAAGCCTTTGTAGCTTGCGGGAAGAGCCACTGTCTCCAACGTTGTTGCCTGTGGCAAGAGCGAGCTCATATTGAGATGTAATCTTATTTACGATCCCAGAGCAGCACAGTGTGCCTCGCAATTGGCCCACAAGCACGAATGACCTGTCATGCATCGTTGTCTGATGGGGAAAAGTAGATCCGCTGAAAAAACCTCAAGCAAACACGCTCTCGCGAACTCAGCCACTGACATTGAGCAGACGGCTTGAAGAAGCTTGAGAACAAATCATCGATGCTACACCATGGCCCGACAGCCCTTGTTCAACAATTACCTGTCAGTCTGTCAGTGCAACAATGACTTCTGCATGTCGACACCGTAACATGAAAGAGTGTAAGAGTGTAGCACCGGAGCATCTCCTACCGACACCCAGCTCAATACAGGCACGTGTCCACCTCCCGGAGCACTGATGTCCGAGATTGTGTATACACACCCAAGCCGTGGGCTGCTGTCATGTGTGGTCAATGCTCTGCGTGATTCTTTCAGGGCTCTCACGGCTCGAATGCCACATTCACTCCCAAAGACATGTGAGAGCCCCTCATGAAACTCCACAAAACTTGTTATGAGCTGGAAGAAACCTTTCCTTTGAATTCGAAATCGGAAAGCTGGAGTTGGACACATCTGCAATTGCAGCGGCGGCCTTTTTCGGGAACGACTGCTTCTGAACCCAATGATTGGAATTTGCTTATAAGCAACAATTAAACGAAACGATTCCATGGGTTCCACGGAGCAGAGACACTATCACACGCGGCTTCGAACATGCCAGAACAGGAAAGATCGCCTAAGATAACTGCGCCATGAACATGGCAGTGTGGCAGGCCATCATCTTCACAGCCCTAGCATCCGATTGATCAAAGGGAATGATTGCTCCCTGCTCGTCGAGTTTATTGAGGAGCTGGATGACGGCGATGACTTTGTCTTCCAAGACCACTGGGGCACAAAGCATTGATTTTGTTGCATACTGCGCATTCGCATTCTTCGTCCACCTTGAATCTTTGGTCACGTCCGGAATGTTGACCATTTCCTGATTGCAAGCGACCCACCCAGCCAAACTTGTTTCTTTTTTTGGGATGCGCATAGTGCCTTGGATGCCATCTGCAAATGTGCTCCACAACTCGTTGCTTTCTTCTTCGACTGCCCAAAGCGTTGCACGGTCACAGTGTAGGACAGTTCGCCCATCCTCCATCACAGTTTTCATGATCTTGGCTAGTTCCTTCTCTTTCTTCGCACGCTCTGCGGCTTTGAGGTCGATCAGCAACAAGTTCCCCATCCCTATAAAGCATCCGAGGATCACCCCGCACACACCACCAAGTGTAGAAACCCGCTTGACGCTGCCCAAGCGCTGTTGGGCATCTGTCAGTCCTGGTAAAGGCAAGCCAAGTTTCAAAGCTGCTGCTTCAATGGTACCACCAAATGCAACCCCACAAGTGTCACTCATCACCTGGCCCATGGCTGCAGCGGCAAGCGTCGGCAGGCCCAACGCAACACCTAAAGTGTTGTCAATCGCATCACCTGCATACAACAGAACGCTTTGGTCGACGATGCCAAACGCCACGAATGGAACTGCCGAGATGACGAAGAGCCTTCGCATCTGGAGCGGTGTTGGCTTGGCGACTATGTCGGCTTCACTGGCAAATTTACAAACTCCAAGCATCGGCACGGGTTTGGACCGAGCCAAGACCCTGTGAGCGAATCGCACACGGAAAAGAGCCATGCTTGGGAATACACGGGGGTGTGACTCGGTGTGACGTTGAACAGGTTCTCATTCTGCAAATCCAGCTGTTTAAATATGAAACGGAAGTTGCCTGCAAAACAACACTGCTAGAACACAATGATAGCAAAGCCAAATGCTACATCACGGGTGGCATGAGCCCAACCCCAACATTGAACCAGAAGGAGTCGACGAGCGCATGGAGTCTGACCCGTCATCCACACACAACAAGGACATCAACAGCTCACAGTATCTTGTGTTTGGTATCCAACCCACTTTTTTCCTGTGAGCATTTGCGTTTCATAACAGGTCTTGCTGTTGTGACCGTTTGTGCTAAGAACTGGGGCCCAAACGCAACAAACCAGCTGGAATCGATAAAATGCCAGGAACAGGAACTCGACAGGTAGCGTCATTGCGCCCACTGCCTTTTCCGGAGTGTTGCCATCTGACAAAATCCTTCATTGAAAGCACGCCATGTCCATGTGACTCCAGCGCGAGACTGTGCTGTGTTGAGTTTTGGTCGTTCCAACAGAGCCAAAGTCACTGGCGTGGCGGCTGACATGTGCCAGTCCAGTGCCCTGATGGGTTTAGGGGTCCAGGCTAGAGGTTGCAGGGTTCAGGGTTCAGGCGCTGCGATCACGCCTCGCTCACCACGCATGGTACCTTACTTGTAGGATTGCACAGGTTTGGGCTTCCCAGAGTGTTGCAATGCTCATGGCGGCTTCACATTGCACGCTGCCAACATCGGTTGCGAATCCGAATGAACCCTGAAGCCTGCGGGAAACATTGCAAAAGCCTCTAAACCCAATATCCAAGCCGCTGCCACCACAGCTGCTGCTTGCAGGTGCGAAGCTCTGCCTCCACCTGAGGCAATGTGTCAACGCACGCTCAACTTACAATTAAAGAAACTTCCTGAAGAACCCTCTGGGCCGTGCGCAGCCTCCTGGTTGCAGTTCCAAGCGTACTGCAGCCTTGGCAGTCAAAACGCATTCAGAAATTCAGCCTAATCCTCGTGTCCGGCAAAAGCCATGCGTGCAAACAGAATGTGAATAGGTGCAGCGCAGGGTCGCCGCTTCTTGCTTCTGCACCTGTCGAAGACAAGCAGAAGAAAATTGCAGCGCATAGGCTTTTGATTGATGGGAGCAGATCTGCCTCCTTCTCCCTTGCTTCGCCCTCCAGTTGCGAATTCTTCTTCTTCTTCACTTCTCTCAGGGGCTCATTCGCTTTTCATAGGCTCCCGTAAAAACTGCAGTGTCCTAGCGGCAACGCTGCCTCAAGTTTCGCTCAAGAGCCTTCACCTTTTCTTGCAGCTCAGCGCAGCTCTCCTCAAGGGCAGCTGCGAACTGGGTGCTCATTGGTCGGCAATACCCTGGCGACTGCAAGCTGCAAGTCAGCTTTGCGCCTGCGATTGCTGCAACGAAGACTGGGCGAGCTCCAGCTTGCCGTTCGCATCATCGCAGATGCCCTGGACATCCGCCAGCAAAACAAGCGTCCACAGGACAGCAGCAGAGTCTCGTGCTTGCAGAAACTCAGTGCATGCAATTGCAAACATACATTCCATCACTGCTGCAGAAACAAGCATGTCTAGTTGTGTGTTCAGCTTCTCAATAAATCTACTAATATATATGTACCATGATACTATCCAAAATGGCACGAAAGCAACTCTCCAATAACTTCACTCATCCACATTGCTTTGCTTGGCGGCGCGTCTTTGTTCTACATGCGCTTGTTTTGCTTATAAGTGTGTCTTCGCCTACGATGTGCTTGCTGGCGCGTCTTCGCTCACTATGTGCAATTGTTCTGCTTGTAGTGGTGCGTCTTCGCTCTATGTGAGCTTGTTTTGCTTATAGGTGCGTCTTCGCTTACATGCTCTACATGCAGTTGTTTTGCTCATTGGCGCGTCTTCGCTTACTATGTGTGGTTGTTCTGGTTGGGTGCGTCTTCGCTTACTTCGCCCGGTCTACTCCTCGCCCATCACCCGTGTGAAGCCCCAGAATATTTCCAGAGAGTCCCTGGGGCACCCAACCCCAGAGTATCCCCTGGTGTGCCCAACCCCCGAGTATTTCAGAGACTCCCTGACCAACGGAGCGTTGTCAACTCCTTGAGGTCGATGTGAAGCGGAGGGGCCTTTTGAAAGCAAAGGGTGGGTTGCTCTGACTGTTCAATTTTTCCCTTTTCCACCGAGCCACAAGAAAAGATCGACACGGCAACACGCAACCTCCTTTCTCTGGGCGACCACATGCGATCACAAGGACCGAGACACAGCGGGGAGGCTCTTGGTCACAAGCGCCCCCACTCCGGCGAAGTTGACTTCGCTAGGAGGCACAGTACGGCCCTCCATCTGGTGCAAGAGATCGCTATTGCTTTGAATTTGGCTAAACACATTTGGCGGAACGCCATCTGCCTTCATGGCTCCTCTTTGCTGGGAAGGCTTTAAAGAACTCATGGGAACGGTTGTGATTTAAGCTTCCGCCTGCCGATGCTCGCACATCCTCTCAAACAATCCAAACTCAGCTCTCCAGTTCCCAGAACTCAAACGTTCATGCCACGCTGCCACATTGTAGCCAGAACGGAGGGAAGTCTTCTTCGGTCTTGAAACCCAGGAAGCGTCGCGAGAGGTCACTGGACCTGCTGGGTGGCATGCAACCTGTCAAGCTGTCCAAAAAACCGCAGTCCAAAGCGTGTGTTTCAAGCAGCAATGGCACTGCCCGACACAACGATGGTCTGCGGAGCAGAATGCGAACTCCCAGGTGTTGTCTGTTTCAAGTCGTGCTATGTCTTTCTCAATTTTTCCTCTTGGCGGACACGTTTTCTTCTTTTGTCTGTTTCAAGTCACTTCTGTATTTCAGGCAGAAGAGAACGAATACGATCGGAATGAACACCAGCAGGGATAGAACGAACACGAGCAGAATGAATAGGAGCAGAAAGACAACGAAAACGAGCAGACTGAAAACGAGCAGAAAGAGAACGAATACGAGCAGGCTGACGACGAGCAGAAAGAGAATGAATACGAGCAGAATGAATACCAGCAGAAAGACACGCATACGAGCAGAATAACAACGAGAAGAAAAAAAACGAATCCGAGCAGAATGAATAAAATAAGGTTTGGGGACAGGGCTTGCTGATGACGAAATCTACACGTCATGTCTCGTAATGTTTTGGGAGTCTCTGGGTGGGTGCGGTTTTTTCTAGAGTCCAAACCGCGGCTCTACTAGAGATTGTTTGACCCGGGGCTGCTTTTTTGCCAATGGCCACGGCTTTGTGGCCGATTGACCCGTGGCCATTGGCAAAAAAAACCGTGGCCATTGGCAAAGAAACCGTGGCCATTGGCGAGCACTAGCACTAATTTTTCGCCAATGGCCACCCCCTACCCCCCCCACACCCACCCTACCCACAGCTCGCCCGGGCCGCCCACCCCCCTCATCGCCCCAGCAAGCACGAACAAGTAAGCCATCAGCACCCCATAAGCACTCGTCCAAACCCACAAGTAAGCACCCCCCCTTCCCACCGAGTTGTTCGAGGGTGGGGTGGGGGAAAACAGAAAACATGAGGTTAACACAATTATTTACTCTTGGTGGTCACGTTTCTTCTTTTGTCTGTTTCAAGTCATTCTGTGTCTTTCTCCGTTTTCCTCTTCGCGGTCAGGTTTTCTTCTTTTGTTTCAAGTCATTCTGTGTCATTCTCCATGTTTCCTCTTGGCGGCCACACGTTCTTCCTTTGTTTGTTTCAAGTCGTTCTATGTCTTTCTTCATTTTTCCTCTTGGCAGTCATGTTGTCTCCTTTTGTCTTTTTCAAGTCATTCTATGCGCCCTCCTCCTGGCGGCCATATTTTCTTCCTTTATGTGTTTCAAGTCATTCTACGTCGTTCTCCACCCCTCCTCTTGGCGGTAACGTTTTCTTCTTTTGCACTCCTCAAGCCACCCCACGCGCCCTTTCTCTTGGCGGTCACGTTTTCTTCCTTTGTGTGGTTCAAGTCATTCTATGTCGTTCTCCATTTTTCCTCTTGGCGGTCACGTTTTCTTCTTGTGTTTGTCCCACCCTATGAAAAGGCCTCCTGTGGCCCAGACCCCCCATTCTGGCTCGAAACTCTGGGTCTGGGGCGTTTCCCCTCTTAGTCTTTCTAATCTTGAGTGGTTCGAGGGTGGAAGCAACAAGCATGGTTAACAAAAGATCCCTTTGCTGGCGCGATAGTTCCCCGGTGACGGTGCCTCTCTTTGGGCTCATGGACCGCTCCATGACAGAGTTCCCCCAATCCGCCCGTTCTGTCGTGGAGCGGTCCAAGAGCCCAAAAAGAGACAGAGTCACCGGGAACTTTCAGTCGCAGGAGCGGCAGGCACGAAAAACACAGAAATGAAGCAATAAGCAATCAGCACCCCATCCAGAAAGTAAGCAATCAGCACCCCAGCAAGCACAAAAAAAACAGAAAGTAAGGAATCAGCACCCCATCAATCACCAAAATCCAGGAATACGAGCAGAGAGAGAACGAACACAAGCAGAATGAATACGAGCAGAGAGAGAACGAATACGAGCAGAATGTATACGAGCAGGAAGAGAACGAATACGAGCAGATTGAGTACATTTGTTTTCTCGTCATTTAGTTTCTGGTCGTAATGTCCATTCACAACGAAGTCAAATTATAAATCTAGTATTGCAGCTACGTTCTGTGTATATTCCTTATTCATAATCCAAAACTAAATGATTCGCCATTAAAGACACAACGAAAACGAGCAGACTGAAATCGAGCAAAAAGACAACACGGCATCTGAAGCGCTCGGGGCCACCGCTTGGTCCGAGCAGCAGCCACAGCACCCAACGCCGCATTGAAGTGACAAACATTCGTGAATGGAAGCTGCCAAAATCAGTTGAAGAAGATGGGGAGCCTCCAAACATCCAGCACTCAAAGGACCCAAAATTGAAGAAGGAGGAGGGAATCTTCGCGGGTTTCTCACCGCCAAGCTTGAAGCTTCAGCGACAGCTGGGGCTCCGCGTGCGGGGTCTGCATTGCAGCACTTGAGTGCCACGCAAGCTTGGCGCAAGCATTCCTGAATGTGGATTTCTGACTGATTTTGGGGACGGCTGCCTCGGATCTATCTCTGGGAACACTCCAGCTTTCTGCAAGCCGGTCTGGGATGCTTGTGCGCTGTATATTTGAGCCAACAGTGCACTGTTTGGTGTCCTACGTAGTGCTAGCTTTTGAATCAAACGCGCAGGCAACGCGGACTGAACCAGCGCAAGCTCAAGAAACTGTTCGATGCCTCGCTGCTTGGGAAGGAGAACCCGGCAGCGGGAAACCAAGCTGCGGGGATCCAAGCCAAGCCTGGAGCCGAAGCCATATGAATCATATGAATATGGTGAACTTGCACTGAAAAAATGAAAAACAAGATGAGCCCCGGGCCTGTAAGAAAGTCACGAGACTGGCCGCAGCACCGGCCATGCGAGCCACCGCTGCAGGCGTCTTGCCCTGCCTCGGTGCGAGCATGTCCAAAATGAAACGCCGAACCGTAGCGTTGCCCACATCGTGGAGAGTCATACTCGCAAAATCCCGGCAACCGCTTCAAGTTGCAAGCACATGCCATGTTTCACAAGGTTGCAACCGCATCTGACCTCCAAGGCTACAACTCATCTCGCGCAGCGATGTCCACTTTTGCGCAGCACAACAGTAGCACTGCATGTGCTGCTTTGGCCTGGCCAGGCTGGATTGATTGCTGGCTTACGCAGTTTCCTGCCAGCAAATGCATCTTCCACGTTCACTCTTCAACTCTGCCAGGCGAATTCTGAAATACTTCCTGAAAATTCCCCCCCCCCCCCCCCCCGTTTCCTCCTCAAATACCCTCGCTCTAGTCGGCGCGGGCGTACCCGGCTGCGACAGCCCTCTTCAATGTAGATAGCCATATTGAACACCGCAGGCTTTGTCAAGCTTGGGATACTAGAGCCGTGGCTTGCTTGCATGTCTTCATGCTGCACGCTACGCGTCAGACCTCGCAGACATCACACTCTTGAAGCGCGGCTGCTGCTGCGGCGCAGTGAAGCGGAGTGATCTGGCGAAGTGCACTCCTCTCTTTTGCTGAGGCATCCCTGCGCACCCACACTGCGACAGTGCAACAAGCAATACGTAACAACAGCAACAAATAGCAGAGAATAGCAGCACCCATACTCTCTCTGGGCGCTGCACGCCGAAGTCGTTTGTTGAGCATGGGTCAGCGGCAGCCTGTCGAGTCTTTTAAGGGGGTTAGGTGCAGCAAGCAGGGCTGGCGCCAGCCTGGAGAACCTGTTTTTGTAACCTGGCCCCGCAGTGAGACAGGCCTCTAGCAGGAGGCGGATAGTTGGCAGCTGCTGGTGGCAACAAGCGTGGTGAAGCGCGGTGTCCGCTTCATCCTCGGACTCTTCTGGGACTCTCTGCTCGTGTCGTGTCGTACCCCTGTTCGGCCAAGAGACCGTCAACCCTGCTGGGCTTGCAGCTGCCTTTCAGCCTTGATTCCAGGAACGGCTCAAAAGGTCTTCTTCGGAAGGTGGCACTTACACTGTGTCGAGTCGAGCGGCAGAAGTTCGACA